GCTGCCTTCAGTGCCTTCTTCTCCTTGGTCTCCTGCGACTTCTTGACCATTTGGGCCGTCAAAATTTGCTGCAAATATACTCACTGCCAAATGCTATGCAATATAATGCTCACATGCTCACGGCATGCACAACACAAATACAAATAGAATTACAAATACTCACCTGCATTTGTGCATATCAATATCTCATTCTATCTCTAATCCATATATCAAAAATCTTATCTTTAATCATCTTGTTCGCCAACAAACTCCTCTAATCACAGCTCCTTTCCTTCCTCATCAAAAAACTTCACATCGGGCCCTGCCTTCCCCACCTTCTTCAAGTCCCCAATATCAAACCAAAAATCATCCCGGCTATTCATACTAGCATCTATACTCTTCTCATGTGCTTCTTTACCCACTTCAAATCCAGGAAGCTTAAACTCTCTCTTCACATCTCCAGCATCTTCAATTGCTTCCTCGCTAACCATCTTCTCCTTGTCATTGGCTTCATTCCTCTGCTTGATCCCCACTATCTTCTTCTTTTCGATACTTCCCACTCCCTCTCCTCGGGTACCCTTAAACTCTCCTCGCTTGAATTTCTTCTCACTCAGCATCACATCCTTGCCGTCCCCAGAATCACTCGGAGCATACATCATGCCACTACTATCACTGCTTGCATCATCAAAAAACAAGTCATCAACCGCCTCCCTCACACTATCAGACTCATCAGCATCGGCATCCACCTCCTCAACATCAACATTGTCCAGTATCTTCTTGATCAATGCCTTGCTGTCTGTTCGCTCCCTGAAGTCCTCATCAAACCCCATCGATTTCGCAATCAAATCCATCAACCTGTCCGTCTCCTCCTCAGACAACAGTCTCTTCTTCCGAGCCAACAAAAAATTCAAAAGCTCCTCATACATTCTACAGGGCTTGTTTTTCCAAAAATATACATCCTGCTTTTCCTTCCGCTCACATTCCTTCTCAAACAACACACACAGCAAACAAAACGAAGTACGTCATTTATTATGATGCTCAACAAGCTTCGGCTTCCAATTTCCAGGTATCTTCATCGTGCGCTTGTAGTACCTTGCAAGTCGGTACATCCTTGAAGACACAAGAATAAGATGGTGCTTTGCACAATTGTCCTTCTTGAACATGTTCAGATGCGTCTTCAGCTCATTCACCCGCTTTACCAGCGACTCAAGGTCAAATGGAATCTTTGAGATTGTTCCATTGTTCTGCAGAAACTTGCAGATGTCCTCTCCAAGCACATCTCTTGCCTTCCCAATTCCATACATGTCTCTGAGCCTGCATCCTATTACTGGTGCCGGGACTCCCTTGTTCCCCATCTGGATCACATCCGCCTTGACTTGCTCAACAGATGCCGAAATGTATGACGGGAACCTAGTTGCATATGGCTTAACGCTTCCTGAGCGACCTTGTCCAGTGGAATGCATTTTTACCATCGTGATTGAAGGGCAATTTTTTTTGTATGCACAAATGCAGGTGAGTATTTGTAATTCTATTTGTATTTGTGTTGTGCATGCCGTGAGCATGTGAGCATTATATTGCATAGCATTTGGCAGTGAGTATATTTGCAGCAAATTTTGACGGCCCAAATGGTCAAGAAGTCGCAGGAGACCAAGGAGAAGAAGGCACTGAAGGCAGCGTCTGGAACACGCAAGGACAAGAAGAAGTGGGGAGAAGCAAAGAAGAAGGAGGATGTGCGCAAGATCGTGACTGTGTCTGAGGAGCTGCTTGGGAAGGTGCGCAAGGAGGTGATGCGAGCGAATGTGGTGACGCGGTTTTCTGTCGGGTCGCGGCACAATCTGAATCTTGGAGTGGCGGAGAATGTGCTGAGGCACCTGTGCATGGAGGGAGTGATTGAGAAGGTGCGGGCGAATCCGCGGATAACTGTGTATGCGGCTGTGAGGGAGAGCAGTGAGGCGGCAGCAAGCGTGGTAGCGGTGCAGGAAGCAGTACAGTGAGTGTGAGTATGATATGAGTGTGAAGCACATGGTAGGCAAATAAATACATGCATGAGAGTTTTATTCAAAAACATGCTCTTTCTCTAAAATCAGTTTCTTCCTTGGACTTGTAACTCCATTGTAGTACTCCTTCAGTCCACTTCCAAACATCTTGTAATCTCGAAATCCACCAATAAACAGCATAAGCATGATGAACATGTAAAACAACGATTCCACAATTGATTCTCTAAAATTAAACACTCCACTTACAATTTTGTAATGTTGTTGACAAAGAAATGCACTGTGTCAAGTGCCAGGCACATTATCCCGCCCACAAAAAAAATCCCTGAGAGCACCAGAAAAGCAATACGATGTGCTACATACTCTTCGTTCGGGAAAGGCATCATTACAATAAAAATAATCCCAAGGCTGATTTGCTTGAACAAGATCATATCAACCTTTGTAAAGTATATGCCCAGAACCTCCGAGCATACAAACACCGTGGTAAGCTTCTTGATGACATTCAGTTCCTCTCTTCTTTGAAAGGCTTCTACAAATTATATGCTTGAACTTACCATTGATCTTTGGGTCTGCACCTATCTTCTTGAAGTTCGACCACATGAAGCTTGCCTTCAGCTTCTTATACACAGGAATATGAATCAATATCTCAAATATAAGGATGCCTGTGTACACATACAAAAACCCTGCTCTGCCTTTCACAGCGCCTGTCTTGAACTCGATGATTTCTGCATTAAGAATCGTTGCAAGTATAATCAGCATTGCATAAATGATGATCGGAATGTACAGCAGCAGCTGGAATATGTTTTCACGCTGTATGACGTCAAATATGAATATGAACTGGAAGATGCTTGTGATGTCAAGGAAAATTGTGTTTATCCATGCACCTTGTATTCCTTTTGTAATCGACAAGTATGGATTGTCATGAATAGCCAAGCCCAAAATGACTGTCCTTGCCACAAACATAAAGAACTCTATCAGGATGTAATTCTTCTTCAGGTTTGTTTTGATCTGGTTCTGTGCATCCATGCTGCAAGGCACGTGATTTGGCATAATTATTCACTGCTGCATGATTGCAATATGCAATATATTGCATATGTATTACCTTGCTGCATGATGCCAGCAATGCACTAAATGTTTTGCAGAGCATCCTCCCATGGACGAGGACAATTACACAAAACTCATTGACGCAGTTGGCCGAGGAGACAGCATCGAGAGCATGTATGTATTAGGCGCTGTTCTCGACAAAGTTGTGGAATTATCAAAACAGGAGACAAGCAACGACGTTGAGGTGCTGTCAAGGCTTGTTGAGCATCAGAGGCTAGTGTATGAGAAAGCAGTTTCTCTGTACGAAAGCATTCAACCAGAAGGCATAGACATCAGTGCAATTGCTAACGAGTGTATATCCAAGATCGATGAACTCAAAGATGCAATCAATGGCTACCATCTTTCGTTGAATGCCGCACAGGAAATGCAAGATGCAGACCCACTGAATCAACAAGAACAATAAGTGTGTAAACGCTCAGCTTAATCAAAACCTATACCATTAAATCCTTTATTGTCTTCGTGTTTTAGTTTCAATCCAATCATTAATCATTGGCAATAGCATCGCTAGGATTTACATAAGCCTTCATTGCCTGATATACTCATAAATCTAAGAATGCTATTCAGCTACTCTCCACTCTGTTTATACCTATTTGCATCTGAATTCATAATACACCATCTACTGCTTCATCTGCTCTAGCAATCCTGTAGTTGCTCTCATGCATTCCTAGTATATGTTGTGTTCATCTGGCATCTCAGTGCAGCAGTCAACCAATCTGGCCACCAGCCTTCAGCAATACACCCACATGCTCTCCAAGATCACACACCGTTCTCTCGCCATTCTTCTCAACCATGCATTCAAGCCCATTCGAAATATTCACCAAAACCTCTCTTTTTGCACACTCGCATGCATCCAGCATCCTTATGATTATCAGCACACTTTCATCCCTTAATATACACTCGACATCGTGTTTGCACTTCACTGCTTTTAACTCCTTGATCAACCCTTCTCCAGCCAGCATTGCATACACAATCTCCTTTATCCCTTCAAAAAAAAACTTACGAGTGCTTCCACAACGCTTGCCAACACACTCAATATGCCTTCGCAAATACTCATACAATGCCCCTGAGCACTTGTCCTTCCCATCAAGGCTCACACACTTCACCTCAACCATTCTTATCACAAATCCTTCGTCCATCACAATGTCTATTTCGTATCCCATCATTCTCAGCCTCACCCCATGAACATCCACCCTTACAAGCTCCACACCAAAAATCGCACAGAGCGTCTTGAACTCCTGCCTTATCTCCTTCAATTGCGATTCATTCACATTCTTTACCTCCAATCCCTTCTCAAGCTCCTTGATGTCATCACTTACCTTGGCAATTGCTTCATTTAGCACCTTTCTCTCCACCTCTTTCTTCATCTTCAGCTCCTCCAGATCATGCACCTCCTTCCTGATGCCTTCAAAAACCATGTCCTGCTCCCTCATCTGTGCCTTCAGCTCATCATTTTTCATATGCCTGTTATCTCCTCCCCCGCCAATCCTGCTGCGGATCCTTTGTATCTGTTCCTCCATTTGCAGATTAGTTGCTCTTCTCCTCTCAACCTCTTCCTCAATCGATGAAACTCGTTCAGCCAGCCGGTTGTACTCATCTGTCGCCTCATTCTTCCTGCCAACAACCATCTCGTTGAACTCAAGCTCCTTCTCCTTCCGCAGCTCATACCACTCAATCTTGGCCCTCATCCTGCACTCGCTCTTGAGCGACTTCAGCTGCCTGCACACATCTTCCTCTTCAAACACACTTCCCTTCATCTCAAATTCACCCTCGAGCTTTTCATTCACTGCCTCTTGCCTCTTCATCTTGCCCTCAAGAATCTCACTAAACCCCATCAGAAACTGCGTCCGAGGCTCCACAAACTTCTCATAGAACCTCACTTGCCCTGCACGCACCTCATTCTTCGACTTTGATATCGTGTCTCTTCGTGTGCTTGAAATCACCAGGTTGTCCAAAAACCGTATTCCTTTCGAAACCAGCAGCTCAGACACATTCACTGCATCTCTCCGTGCCTGCGGTATGATCTTCCGTAGGTCCTGGGTGTTTATGATTTCCTCAACATTCAGCGTTGCATTGCTGAGCAGCGTGTTGTCAAGCTCTTCATACTCCCTCGATGCATCATGAGCCATGCCGTTCATGTCTACGTCTCTACCTTTCTCATGCATTTCTATTTGTGTACTGTTTGCGTCATTCTCATTCTCATCCACATGCTGATCCATTCGTTCATGCACTGGTCGCATACATTCATTGCCAAAATCCCCTGTCCTGCCACTCAGGCATGCATTTCTCACAAACTCCTCATTATTCACAGAATCAGCCCATTTCTCCCATCCTGCCAGCACATCAATGTCCGTATTCAGTAAGCTTTTCCCATTTGCATCATTGCCCACAGCTCCACATGCACTGTTCGTACACATCATGTCTTGCGCGCTTCTCCTGCCACCATCCATGCACTTCAGCTCCTGCGCATTCACACCCGTGTCTTCGTTCTCAATACATCCTTGGCCATTCTTAATGCAATCCACTGTCATCTCCACAGACACTTCGTCGTCACTAGCAACTCCAGACTCCATCCCACTGCTGCCTTTTCCTTCGACATCGGGATATATATATGTCACCTGTGCCTCCGCAGCAAACGACACTCTTTTCTTCCTTGTTTCGCCGTTCTCGCCCATTGCCTGGATGTGCTCTTTTGCATTTATTTTTGTTTCGTTCTCAGAGCCTGATGGGGAAACGCCACTTCGATGTCCGAGATCTGTTTCCTCAGAGCGATGCAAACACATGCAGCGAAGAAGACAGTGTATATGCAGAAATAAGCACAAGAAGAAAGAAAAAGCACGCTCAGGGTACGCCATCTGTCTTCTCTGCAAGTGAGATGAGCATGCTTGCACACATCGACATGGACAGCATCCAGCTGCAAGGCGATTATTTGCCACCAAAAAGAATATGGAGTCATTACAAAGACACTGACTGCAAAGAGGCCAATTGCGACGAGATTGAATCTTCCGCTAATGAATGTGATAACAAGTGGAAGATTAACATACTTACAGATCTGATCAGCAAGAACCGCCAGAATATAGATGCCAGGATCAAGCTTAGCAGGCTTCTGTCATGTGCCGATGCAAGCAGCGTTCTGCTCGATGCAAGAGACACCAGAGATGCTTGCCTATGGACAGAGATCATAAGCAGGTGCTATGTGCCTGAGCTGCTTGATGATGCATTGAGTGTGATGAATGGGGATGAACAATTCTACATGATTCTATTTGAATGTGACAAGAGGATAGATGTTTTGCAGGCGGGCATTATGAAGCATCCAAAATCAGTTGTACTGAGAAAAGCAATGGCCGATGCAATTGACTGCATAGACCAGAAGCAGTGTTTTTTGTACGACTCTGTCGTAGACATGGCTGGCGCATGTATGAAAGCAAGTAGCGAGAAAGATATGTCTACAGCTGAGGATGTCTCGAATGAGTTTGCAGCGATGTTTATTGCTTCGCAACCTGCTATGCACATGGTCAGGAGATTATATGCTAAGCTTAAGTGCTGGAATGTGTATTTGCATGCATTGATTGTGTATTTGCTGAGGAATGGCAACGATGATGCATTAGATGATCTTTTTCGCCTTCCTCTGCACAGGATAGTTTGTGTTTTGAATGAGTGTGAAAGAAAGGTTCTACTTCCTGTAGAAGCACTGGCGAATACCGATGCTACAGTGTATATCAAAGGCGTTAGAGTTGATGCAATGTGTGCTATTCCGCATGGACTGAGATGTCTGCTTGTGTCGATGAGCAGGCATGGAGTGCATGATGACGAGAGCTTTCTTGTGTGCTACGGGGTTATCAAGCAATGTGTGCTTGATGAGCAGTTTATAGATGAGTTTTTCGTGATGCGGAAGCGCAGATATTTCGTGGATCTAATGAAGGCGAAGGAGTACTGGAAGCTTTACATGATGCAGAATGACCTGAGGTTTTTCAGAAAGGCCGATAAGATCCTGTGGGGCGGAGCTGTGCATTATGGCAAGGAAAAGAAGTTGTTTGTGCTTGCAAGATCGAAGATGCATTACTTTGCAGGTGATTTTGTTGGTAGCCTGGGTGCGATTCCAAAGAAGATGAAAACAATCAGGAGATATGTTGTGCTGTCACAGATGAGTGTGCAGATGACGATTGCTGGGATATGCAGCGACCTTCATGACTATAAGCACTACTTGCTGTATGCAGAGCTGATGCATAGATCTGGGAAGGATGCATCAGGGGTGTATGAAGAGTGTATGAGAAAGTATCCGAGTAATGCAGAAGTGGCGGTTGGGTATTTGAGATACATGAAGGCTGTTGATGCAGAGAAGGCAGCGGAGCTATCTAATGAGATGGTAAAGAGGCATGCTTCGGACGAGAGGGTGTGGTATGAGCGATTTGTGATATTTAGGCATTGCGAGAGGATTGCACTTCCGGTTTTGTACAATTCCAGAAGGCATGTCAGGTCTGAGCTGATTAATGCGGAGATCAAGTATTACGAAAACAAGCGAGTGCCTGCAGAAAGCAAATACTCTGGGTATTATGAGTATAAGAGGATGGTAGACATGGAATGCAACTCTGCAGGTGTTTGCGAGCCCTGTATGCAACAAATGAAGCAGCATTTCATCCACAGGATAGAGAGCGATTATGATGACGGAGACGGCTATCTGTTGCTTTATGGAGTGCTGAGGAATGTGCCTGAGGATGCGATCAAGATGGCAAAGTTTTTTGATCCTAGGAAGGGGATGTATTGGGTTAGGGTTAGGAATGTGGTCAATGTTGCAGAGCGATTGAAGAAAGGGCTGGAGATGCTGGAGTTTGATATGATTAGGCGGCACAAGAACAATTGATGTAAGGCCGTGTTTTTGATCCCTCATGGAGTTACTGCAGGAGTTTGTGGATGAATGGATGCAGCATGTCTGTAGAGTAAGGGAAAGCTTGCTGGCAGATGAAAAAGGAAGCACGAAGAATGAAACGAGGAATGTGAGCAAATTGAGCGCGGAAGAAGATATAAGTATAGATGAGAAAGAGAACAGAGCAGAAGACAGCGAATGTGGAGGAGAGGCCCGTGGGATGTTTGGCAGGGAGAATCTGGCTGCTAGCTGCATTCCTGTGATTAAGAGCAAGGCACATGGTGGGCCTGATGTATGTGGTAAAAAGAAAAGCAAGTCCGCAGAAGAACGGTGGAATATTGAGAATTTGCAGGCGAGGAGTATTGGAGAGGATGCGAGCAGGTTTGGATATAACGATGGAGTGGAGAGTGAGATGAATAAAGACGGTAGGGAGTATGGAAGCTCGAAACTCAGAAAGCCATCTGCCAGCGGATATGTGGCTGAGCTGAAGGGCATGAGCGCTAACTGTGCCGAGAGTAATAAAAGAGCAGCTGAGAATAACAGAGGTGAAGTGAGGCATGAAGTAGCCAAGGAGAAAGAAGTGAGTGATGGAGGGGAGAATGTGAAGCTCAATGCAGCTCTACAGCTGATGAAAAAGAGGTATATGAACAAGGTGAATGAGTCGATCTGCATAGCCAAGGGGGATGAGTTCAAAGAGGAGCAGGCGATGTGTGCTGGCATCGCTGTTCCAAATGCTTTGAGCAAATATGAAGTGGTAGAGAGAGAGGATGGCAAGAAAAGAGATGTGAAAGGATTGAGTGGGAGTAATCTGTATAAGAAGGTGATTGACAGTCAACTTCTTAAGTCAGTGCCTGGAAAGGAGAAGTATGGAGACAGGAAATCCAAGACATACATTCCAAAGGTTGGCGACGATGATGTGATTGCGGATCTGAATTTTGTGGTTCCTGAGTTTGCAAAGGATCCAGCAATAAACTTCAAGGTGAAGATGCAGGACCATGGAGTCCTCGAAAGGTATTTTTCGAATGGGCATGAGGTTGATATTGAGGTATTGTTTCCACACGTGAAGAATGTGTCGAATGACAGTCCTAACAAGTGGCCATCGCAAAGAAGTGGCCGATGAGTGTTTGATTAAAGCAATATGTTTATTGTTTCGTTCACAGATATGATATGGCATGAGTCTTAGACAGCAATGAGATGTGGAGCTGGAATGCTATGCAGGCATGGGGCATCCGTCTCTGTGTTTCTGCAGAGTGATGCATTCTCTGCAATAGTATGCAGTGTGTTTTGGATCTCTTGAGCCGCACATGATGCATTTGTTCTTGTACATAGAGTGGAAGCAGAGCTCACACATGAGAATGCTGGTGGTATGTATGTGTGTGTCTTCTCTGCACACATAGCACCTGGCTGAGCATCTGCCGCACAGCATGCCTTGTGTGGCTGTGTGTATTCTGCCGCACCTTGACGTAACCGAATATGCCTGCATGTGTGGATGTAAATTCATGTTTTTTTTGGCCTGAAATGGATGAAGACGGGCTTGATGGGTATGAACTTAGTGTGGGGGATTCTGGCGAGTCCATTGCCACAGGGCAGAACGAAAGGGCAAGAATAGCAGCAGTGAATGCCGAGAAAGCGCATTTTGAAGGAAGCAAGGATCATGCCGAGAGAAGCATAGAGTGCGGTGAAGACGGTAGAAGATGTACACGGGGGCCAGGAATGCTGTATGGGAACTTTTACGAGCATGCACAGCAACATAGGCAGAAAGTGATTTGCTTTTTGCAGAAGGATCTGGCGCAGATTGAAAAGCCCGATCTCCGACGATTTTTGAACATTAGCCATGCATATGAGTGTCTTTTGCCATACCATTTGTTTGGATCGCATTTGTACGAGGACATGATGTTTATGCATACGAAGGAGATGGAAGGCAACGAAGAGGTTGATGCGGTGGTGCAGCTGATGAGCGAGACTGCAGAAGATGCCAAGTCGCCTGATATAAACGAATCTCTTGTGTGCGAGCTTCTGCTCTATTACCAGCAGAGATATATCAACTCGATGTATGCTGAGAGTAGAGAGCATAGGCATGCAAGACGGCTCAGGCATCAGTTGAACAGAAGAAACACGGTCTTCAGGCTAAGGATGGGTGCAGACGAGCTCAAGAGAGATGTGACGATCAGAGAGGGGCGATTGTATTTCAAGAAGTGCGAATGAGATGGAAAGCAGGTCTTTGTTTAGGTTCGTATTAAAATTGGTATAGTATCTTTTGTTAGGTGTGAGCTGTGAGCAGGCCGGAATAATTCCGCAATAATTGCGAGGCTGTGTTGTGTATGGATGGGGCAAGGATCTGGGTCTGAGTTTGTTGAGAAGCTGTTCAGGATGGTGGAGGATCCAGCAAACTTCAGGTACATCTCGTGGAGTGCAGATGGGAGGAGTTTTGTGATAGGCAGTCAGGAGGAGTTTTCGGAGGTTGTTCTTGAGAGGCATTTCAAGCATAAAAACTGGAGCTCGTTTGTGCGGCAGCTGAATAAGTATGATTTCTACAAGATCAAGAACGATGCAGAAAAGTGTATGGGATCTGTGTGGACGCCGTGGGAGTACAAGAACAGATATTTCCAGCGGGGAAGGCCGGACCTGCTGAGCAAGATCCGAAGGAAGAAGGCGCCGAGCGAGATGGGAGGAGGGGAGGGCTCTCGGCCGAAGCAGATTGAGAGCAGTATTGTTTACCAGTCACACGTTCTGAGTTCTATTCGAAGCATTTCTAAGTATTTGAGAGCTGTTGTTGAGGACATAAACGAGCTGAAGAGGGCTATTTATTGCGAGAGGCAGGGTGTTACTGCCCGGGTGAATGTGCTGTGTGTTAGGGAGTCAGGAAGCATGCCTGAATGTTTTGTGGAGGCCCTGAGGAGCCCTGGATATGCATTGACGGTTGTTGATGGAAAGTGTGGTATTGAGAGTGTTGCGAGGTGGGGATATGATGTAGTGGTGATGTATGTGGTTTCTGTTTATCATGGTGTGTTGGTGTGCCGCATTCGAGATGCAGACAAGGATGTGCCGATTATATTGGCTGTTGATGAAGGATTCAGGGATGAGTACCTGGGGATGGGAAGCAGTGATGCAGCAGAGGTGTTTATGGCGCCTTTTGATGCAAAGTCGCTGGCAGAATGCATAAGCATGCATGGAAGAGCAGGCCGTTTATGCAAGGATAGTGTGTAGATTAAAGTGGTTGAAATGATATTGGGAAGCATGAAGTATGAGGTTTTTAGCGGAGGAAGAGATCCAGAGGAGATGGAATGCTTTGATAGTCAGAAAGTGGGGCAATAGGAGGAAGGCTGATGCAGCAGATGTGGTAATGATGGTTTTGAAGCTTGGAAGCAAGTGCAGTATTGAGGAATGCAGTTTGGCGCTGAGGGAGGTAGCTAGGATGTATGCTAAAGATGTGAGGCAACAGTTGGAAAGAGTTGGAATGCTGCTGAGTATGATGGATATCAGAAAGCAGAGTAGAAAGGTTGTGGCTGGCAAGAGGAATCGGAATATGCTGCCAATGGAGAATGAGTATGTTACAGCGATGTGTGATTTTGAAGCTGATACTGAGTGGAATGGAGATAGTTTGGTGTTTAGCAGCAACGAGGTGTGTGAAGAACGTGTTGAGGATGGAATGGGATGGAAGCCGAAGAAAAGAACGATTGACATGGAGACTGAGCTTGATTTGAATGATTGGCATGGCAGAAGTGCTATTAGAACAAGGATGAAGCTTGATATTGATATGAGGATGTTTGGAGGGCAGGATGTGTTTGTTATCAATGAGATGATGAGGATGATGTGTGCAAGGCAGGTGTTTGAGATAGAGGAGAATGAGGCACCAATGCTGAGCTCAGCAACACTAAGTTCGATTGAGCAAGTGCGTAACTCATCCACGTTAACGGTTGAGCAAATGCGCAACTCATCGACGGGTTTGGATGCTAGCGAGTCTGATGTGGATGCAGAGAGTGAATGGCTTTCTCTTCTTGCGAGCGGGGCTGATTTCAATAGTCATGTGAGTGAATGGAGCAGCAAGATGAAGGCAAAGATGTTTTTGAAGGTGCTGGAATTGAGTGGCGAAGGGATAATCAGGCCTGTGCAGGAAAATCCATATGGAAGAATTGTGCTTGAGAGGTATTGGATGTAATGTGATAGTTGCTGGATAGCAATACATGAGGATTGATGGCTGGGATGTGTGCTATGGCATGTTTGCTTAAGGTTGGATACCAGGTATAGGTATGTGACGAGATTCCCGCCAAAAAGAACAATATTAATTTAAGCAAATCCCTGAATAATGAGTCACGAGATGTCTGAGATGGCCAGGTTTGATGAGTCTGTAGACAAGGAGAACTACAATCCATGCATCAAGGAGTTTACGCCGACAAAAGCGAGGCCTAGAAAGAGATACATGGCATTGAAGGAGATAGCAGAAAGAAGCGAACGAAGAGAAGAAAAGGAGGAGGAGTGCAATCAGGAAAGGGAAATGGATGTGTTTTTCTCAACATTTCCTGGATCACCATTTAAGTCCAGGAGTATGCGTGAGTTGTGAAGGGCGACATGTGCTTGAGTGTGGAGAAAGGAAGAGGCATGGATGAGCTGTGAATAAATTGATTATATTTTGTGGGCGTTTGATTATGGGCATGTGGTGTCAAAAATGAGTGAGTGTGGACGAGGGACTCTCAATAGCTCAGTTGGAAGAGCACTTGACTGTAGAAGTAGCTGATATCGAGGGGCCGTCGGTTCGAATCCGGCTTGAGAGATTTTTTGCACATGGAGTTACGGCTGGCAACATAATACACATGCACAACAACGATGTATTTTGTGATGTGCACAGGCAAACATGCAAAATTGCCTGCGATTCTGACAGCAATATAAATATCGGCGGTGTACGGCACATGCCTTGTGGCACAAAAGAGTGTGACCTCCCAGGCTCGAACTGGGGACCTTTCGCGTGTTAGGCGAATGTGATAACCACTACACTAAGGTCACTTAAGCCTTCATACACATACAGCCACTTCACATCTGTCTTGCTCTTCAGCCCAACTCATTCAGACCATAATTCACTCTTTATTCTTTATTACTCCTTTTTCCTCCTCATGCTTGCCACTCAACACAGGAATATGTGCTACCTCAATTCCTGTCACAGCAGTAAATCCTACACGCAGCACCTCCTTAGGTACAACAATTCTTACCTCTCCATCATCAATCTCTCCCTCCCTCACAATCATCAGAAACTCAGACTCGCCTATCTCAACCCTGCTTCCCTTCTTGTAGTACGCAAAGCTTAGCCGGCTCATCACACTCTCATAATCATCTCCATCCATTCCGTTCTCTCGCAGCCCCTCAAGAACAACCTTCTTGTTGGCAATCCTGTCCATCATCCGGATCCCTGAAAACGATGTTTGCTCAACAACCCACACCTTTCCATCAGTAACTGCCTTAACAGTCGCTGTCCTTGGAATGTTATGCAGAAGCGCTATTTCCCCAAAAAAACTTCCTCGATACAGCCTACGCAGAACCTTTCCGTCCTTGCTGACCTCAAACTCCCCACTCTCAATAATATGCATCTGTGATCCAAGCGTACCTTCCTGTGTCACAACTGTCCCGTTATGCACATCCATCAGCTCCATAGACTCTATCAACCTTTTCTTCTGCTCAGGATTCATAAACCCAAAAGGTATGTCTGCCACAAGAATCTCATTCAGAAACCGCACTGCTGCCTCGTCCTTTGGATAGCTCCGCAGTCTGAATGTCCCAGGCGTTATTTTCTCCGAATAAACTGCGTTTCTTCTTGACCTCATCCACTGCCCATCGTTTTTTCCCTCATCGCTTGCTCCGCCATCCAGCTGCAGCGTGTTCAGAGTCCCGCTCTCAACCAAGCCATCAACAAAGACATCAACATCTTCAGGTGTGCTTGTTGTGCTCTTCTTCAAAAACATCCTGAACACTTCATCTGTTATGTCCTTGTTGATGTTCAATCTCAAGGACTTCAATCTGCTTTCAATCAGCTGCACAACCTCGTCATGCTGCATCTTCTGTAAGGGCGCTTTGTGCAGCATTCAGGTAATATATTTCTCATTAATCGACAGCCATCAATCGCATGTGTCAGCATTTGTTAGCACGCCACATATCCCATGTAGATGAACTTCGAGAAGCTTCTGAGCACACTCCGTAGAAAATATACAGTTAAAAAGCTGTCCACCGATACATACTCAGTGTCAAACAACAGCAGAACCATACAGATAACAGACAGCGATCATGCCATTTACGACGAGGCGTGCATCGAACATCTTTTAGATAGGCCTGAATCTCTGCCTGCTAACTTTGCAAACATAGGCCGTGACGATTTGGCTCCAAGCACCGAATACAGACAGACATTTACAGGAGACAGGCACATCAAGGGATCGATGATGGACTCAAGCACATTCATGAGATATGGAGGTCAGAGCACAGTTCAAGAAGACAACTCCAGTACAAACCCATTGATCAAAATAGATCCAATAACGCCATCGAAAAACAAAAAAGACAGCTTTGAGCCAGACAGAGACGATTATGTACCAGACAGAAGTAACAGGTTTCTGTAGTTCTGTACAAAGCAGCACTTCAATAGGCACACTGCAGAGCATGCCACGATCTATCGGCAATGCCGGTAAACATTGTATTAAACACCTATGCTTGACCAATCGACCTCTAATTGTGTAGCTTATAGGTATAGCATACTTCAAATGTAATGCATCAAACCCCATGCAGCGAATAAGATTTGCAGATATCCGCCCAGTAAAGCCAGATGACTTTATTTTTGACGAGACGATCTGCACCAGCCAGGAACAAAAGCCAAAGATCACACAAGAGTATACAAAGGAAGAAAGAGATTGTATAGCAAAGAAGAAGATTCTTGCAGTGGCTATAAAGAAAACTGCTTGGGCATCAAAGAAAGCACAGAAGAAAGAGCCTGAAACAGTGTGGGATGGCGATCTGTCAAGAGCAGAGCAAGGCCACTTTGACCCGAGGGGAAACTTTGTGATTGGAGATCCTCCGAAGGCATCGTTTCTGTGGCTGGTAAGGACATCCCAAGGCGTGCTTGGGCCATTGACAGATAATGAACTGAGAATCATGATTGATGACGGCAGCATTGCAAACTCATACATCAGAAGAGATGTGGACAAGGAATTTGTGCCGTACAAAAGCGTCGTTGATGATCTCGGGGATTTTCTAGCATCAGACAAGGTAGATGAGTACTTCCAAAAGAATGCTGTTGCAAAGAGCCTGCCCCAAAAGCCTCAGGAATTCTTCGAGGATCTTTCGTCCATGTCGTTGAAGAAGGAGCCTGTGAAGGATATTGACCGTGCAGAAATACTTGAGAGATGCATTCGATCCAAGGGGTTTCTTCATGGTAAGAATCCATCAGTAAGCTTAGGACAAATCGAAAGACGGATATCCGGCAAGTCGTTCTCAGAAGCAGTAAGCATAATCTCAGGCATATCAGGGCTAAAGGCACTTGAGTCCGAGGAGTTCTTAAACATGTTTCTTGATGAGTCAAAGCTATCGATCCTTTCGGACATCTGTCCAGATGGATTTGTAAAGGTTGCTCCAAAGCCAAAGAAAAGGACAAAGTAGCCTGAATGAATAAACATTTCCAATCAAAGTACTCTTGCAATGCTGAATTCATCCAAAGTTACATGAGCATAGGTCATTGCACACACAAGATTTATTATACTTCATAGCAGAGGTTTTATTGCAAGGTTCTTGTCACATACTCATGCTCCTCATGTATACTTCTGTACTTCTCTCTCTTTCCTCCCCATTTCTTCTTTCCTCCCTTTGTATTGTCCAGAGACTTCTTGTGCAGAAATGAGTATATTGGCAGGTTGATGCTTCCAAGGATTTTCTCCCACATCTCCTTAATCATGTCCTGGTTATAGTCTCTTCCAAACCATATCGATATCTTGTATACTGATTGCTTCTCGTTAAAAACACATCCACAGATATTGTCTATGCTGTTCGACACACATAATATCATCGTCATCTTCCAAATCTCATTCAGGTCCACCTGCGTCAGCACCGGTATGTCAAGGATCAGTCGTCCTCCATCCACATTCGCCTCATCTTCCCACATCGGCTTGATCCCATTCTTAAACAGATTCATCGGGCGCAGATTCTCCACTCGGACCCTAACTATCTCGTCACACATGTACAGAAACTGAGGAATCATCGAAAATTCCCCAACCTTCGAATTGTCTTTTTCCCAGCTCCTGATGTTCGAGTCATTATTGTCATTCTGCCACAGAACCCACGACGACTTCAAGCTCATATTCATGCCAGGGTACCAAATTATCGAAATTTACCGTCCCTACACTTTTCAAATGCACCGCATTCATACATAGCTCACGATCTACATCGTCATAAGCCTTTTTAATCATTCAAATAAATCTCATACAGTCAAGCACTCACTTAGCCATTCATTCATTAGTCCTCATCAGCTCCTTTCCGCTTCATCATCAGCCCAGCCTGGCGTCTCCTGCTGTCTGACATGCTTACAAAGTATTCGTGTATATCAAGCAGAAGCTTTCTATTCACATCAAAGTCATGCTGAGATATCTTGCCCACCTCTCGCTCCAGACACACCAGATCACGTATTGCATCATCAACAACCTTGCTCATCTCATTTACCTCATACTGCAGATTCAGCATTCCAGCTGGCATCGAGCATGGCCGAATATCCATCAACGCTATCTGTGCCTTCAGGCTCTGGTTCTCCACATCCAGCTCCTTCAGCTTACTTTTTACATCCTCCAGCTCTCCATTTACATCAGAGTTCACAGTTGCTGGGTTCTTAATCATTCGAGACCTTCGAAGAAAGTTCATCGTTCCAACACTATCGCTTCTATTCTCCAGAGAAACATTCCCAATAACAGTCAACTTGCAGTTTCCACCAAGTGAGTCTTTCAGAAGAAACGTAAGCTTCGACTCTCTGTATCCTATATGCCCGTCTGCATCGCCACTCAGCTTGTTTATTACCTTTCCAAGACACAGCAACGACTTGTTGATGTTCATCGCCTCCTTCATCCGCAACTCTTCAATCTCCCTTTCCCGCAGCCTCTCAGACCCTGCAAGATCAACAAAGCACAGCCTCGACGCCCTGTGCACAATATCACACTCATTACAGAGATACACCATCAGAACACAGTGGCTCCTGCTGCTTTCCTTATTCATCGCCGTCGACGAAATCTTCCTTATCTTCAGCCCGCGCATGTACAGTTCCATACTTTCGTCATAGCTGCTTGACTCCACAACAGTCAGGTTGTCAACAACAACCCCAGCACATGGATCCTCCCTTATTGATAGCGTGGCATTTGGATCAAGCAGGTCAAGCATCATCTCATTGTATATCTCAACAAAAGATAGCGACACCTTAAGCCCTGTGTGTCTGTGTAGAAAGTCCAGCGATCGTTGCACTATCCCCATGTTGTGATCATTTCCCTGGATGGTGTATGTCTTTCCGCTTCCTGTCTGCCCATATGCAAACAACGTGCAGTTGTATCCCTGCATGCACTCTACAAGCAAGCTTTTCGAAATTTCCTGGAAAACCTCTTGCTGCGTTGAATTCCTAAAAATCCTATCAAAGCAAAACTCGCTCCCATCTATCTTTATTGTGTCTCGAGTTGCAGTAATGCCATCTGGAATCGCCTGCGGCTTGATTCTTAGATACGTCCTGACATTCTCGGCCATTCTGTATTCCCGATGGGACAGATCCTCGGTGTTTTATTGCAATATTCCATACAAAGATGCATCGCACAGCCATTTATCGTCTCGTAACAACTTATGCATGCGCTTTACCATATACACACTTCATGCATGAAATATAGCATACACTTATGCTCATGCAGCCTGGATGGTGAAGTAGAAGCCTTGCCAGTCTGCACCGCTATTCAGTGCTCAGCAACAATAAACTTCAAACAATCGTCCTTGCAAGCATGCACGATTCGGTTCAGCTATACAACGAAATAAAGCATCATAGAAAAAGCATCGTAGCACCTGTGGATTTGATGGGATGCTCAGTAACTCCTCGATGCACTTCATACGAGCAGAAGGCACTGTATGTCCTGATTGCACTTCTTTTATCATCACAGACACGAGACGGCATAACATGGAATGCGATGCAAAGACTGTGCCAATCCCTTCCGGAAGGAACACAGAACAACTGCTCAGAATACAACGGACTCACCCTCGAAAACATACTCATCACAAGCACCAGGCACATCAACGATTGCATCAAGAAGGTTGGATTTCACAACAAAAAAGCACTATACATCAAGAAAATCGCACAGATATTGAGTAAGACGGGGCTTCCAAGCACTCTGGACGATCTACTTATCCTTCCAGGCATAGGAGTAAAAATGGGCGTCCTGTATATGGCACATGTCCACAACAAGACAGTGGGAATAAGTGTAGACACACATGTCCATAGAATCTCAAACAGAATAGGACTTGTAAACACCAAAAGATCTGTTGACACACAAGCAAGACTCCAAGAAATCATCCCTACAGACGAGTGGATAGCACTTAACACAGCCATGGTCGGGTTCGGCCAGACAATATGCCTTCCGCGGAATCCAGACTGCAGCAAGTGCATAATTGCTTCAAAGTGCCCAAGCTCTCTTTTCTGACACATCCAGATAAGCATTACACAAGTAAGTAAACGAATGGTTTTATTCATTCTCCTCAGCAACCTCTGCATCAATCATCTCGCCAAGCCTCATGTTGATCTTTTCAAGCTCAGAGTACTTGATTCCATTCTCCTTCAGCAGCGTTATCCAGATGTCGTCGCGCGACTCCCCAATAAAAACACAGTTCTTGTCTGCACACGAAAAAGAATGTCCCGCAAAGTCAGTCATTCCGTATATCTTGGCATCTGCATGCTTGTTAATCGTGTTTACCACTCCGATACATCCCTTTGATCGCCCATTCAGCACATACACCACCTTATCTACCCCAGGCGTTATGTACCCGCTAACCTTCCCGCTTCCATTATCAATCCTAATTGTGTCCCCAATTCGTATTGCAGGGTCGCAAAACCTGATGTTCAATCCACAGCTCGACACAACATACGGCACATTCAAGTGCGAATACTTCTTGACCACTTTTGCCAGTCGGTACTCCGCCTCGCTCGATGCTATCTTGTGCAAATGGAATTTCTTCGACACTGTGTAAAACACACGGAAGTGCTCCCCCGTCTTATCAATAGACAGCACATCAAACAATCCAACAGGAAAGTGCGGATCCGTTCTGACCCTCCCATTCACCTTCACATTGTTCCCCTCCAAAATAATCCTCAACTCCTTCCTGTTTCCTGCATACTTCAGAAACCTGGACACCAGATACCCAAGAGGTATGCATCTCTTTGCACTGTGCGGCCCACTCGCAGGTTTCAGTGCAAACACTCCTCCAAGCTTCCCCAGCATCCATGACTTAGGTGCTGCCAGACGCTTCAAATGATCTTTATGCCCAGTCGTCATTTCCCAGGGCAATTTTTTCTTGCAAAAATCATCGAGCCATTGCTCAACCAGCCATGCAGTCATGCCCATTCCGCTCTACGCTTGCAACCAATCACTTATAGCCACGCACGCAGGTATAGCCTCATCGCATGTAAACACATTCAACAGCACATGCACACTTGCATCATGCTTGTTGCATTGCATTCAGACACTTCACACAGCCAATCGCCAATCACAATCGCCAATCACAGTGAAACACCTTAAAACAAGCCAATTCGTTATAACAAGCCTTACATTCAAACTGCATGGTCAAACTGAACTCCAGGATAAAAAACGAGATCCAGAAGCTGTATAATGCAAGGTACGAGGTCAGGATGATCGAGGGCACCCACACACAGATGGAAGTCCTTATCAATGGCCCTGCTGACTCACTGTACAGCGGTGCAAAATACATCGTTGGCATCCTGCTTCCTGACAGCTACCCGTTCAAAAGCCCGTCAATAGGATTCAAAACACGCATCTTCCACCCAAACATCGACGAAGCAAGCGGATCAATCTGCCTCGACGTCCTCAACCAGATATGGTCTCCAATCTACGACCTGTTCAACATCGTCGATATCCTTATTCCACAGCTGCTTACATATCCAAACCCCTCAGATCCACTCAACTGCGAAGCCGGCTCGCTCTATCTGACAAACAGAGAAAAGTACAACGAAGTCGTAAGAATATATGTCAAGCAATACGCAATCCCAATAGCCAAAGAATCCTCCGGCTCAGATCCGCATGCATGCCTGACCGATGACGAAAGCATGGAAATATAATAAAACATCCTTAACCAATCCACTCAGCAAGCATAACAAATCATTTACTTCAATTCCAAACAGCTTACACATAAACTCCTTCCCAATGCTTTTGTTAAAAAGCGTCTCCCTTGCCTTAAAAAACGCATGAGACGTCAGCAACGCATCGCTTCCTGCCTGATGCTGGATCCCTTCCCTCACCAGCCCAAGGTCATTTGAAATCTCCTGTAGGCCCTTCTTCAAGTACTTGCTGTTCTGCACTAGAAACTTTATGTCGCAGAAGTCCGGAAAAAACGCATTCAGGAGCCTGTAGAACTCGTCTTCTCTCTCAGGTAGCATGTTGCATGTCAGGATCTTAACAAGATATCCAAAGTCAAATGCAGAGTGGAACGAAATCCATGTCACCTCCTCGCTCAGCACAAGCCCAGATGTCATCAAGGCCTCTCCAAACTCCTCAACCCCTATTCCTCGCCTTCTGTGTTCCTTGAAGTCTATCCTTGCCTGAATAAGAAGATCTATCGACTCCTGCGAATACATCTCCGTCTCAAGATTAAACTCAAAGTTAAACTGCCATGTATTCGTTGGCTGCGGCCTGTTGCCCTGCTCATCGCTTAGCGAAATCCCAATCTGTATAATCTTCAAGATATCTACATTGCATCTCAGTTGCTGATACACAAACGACGAAGGAGACTTGAAACACCCAACAGGCTTCGCAACCACTCCGGGAAATTCAGTGTCCATCCCAACATATCTATATCTCCTTACAAGCTGCGATATCCTTCTCATCTCCGCATTCAGATTGTCCCTCCACACATTCAGTATATGTCCTTCTCCCATTTCAAGGGTGCCAACAAACCACCACAAGCATCACTTGCACTTGCTGCTACACAAGCATTAGCATTCATCCAGGATCCATGCTCGCATATCTATCTTCCATTACCTCTATCTACACACTGCATCTCGAAACACCTGCATCGTGTTGCTCTTCTTGTATATAAGATACAAGTTGAACTCTGCAAGCCGCTTCAGCTCAACATCAGATGCATTCAGCGCCTCCAAGTAAAAACGCTCCGCAAGGCCAGGAAACCCAAAAAACTGATATGCCTTCCCAATGTTGTACGATGCAATGCATGCATCATCTCCTCCCCCCTCCGCAATACATCTCTCCCTCAATCCCTTCAGGATCGCAACTCCTTTCTTCACAAACATATTCCTATCACTTACACGCCTCGACTTCGAGTGCATCAGAAACATCGATGCAAGAATGATGCTTTCTGAACGGCTGCTCTCCCTCTCAATCGACGACACCATCTCTACCGTTTTTGCCTGCAACAGGTTCGGAATCAGTGAATTCAGAAACAGAAAGTGCGTCACTCCAACCACGCTCCTTCTCAAGCATTCTCTTTCGCCTGCATCTTCCTTCTTCTGCATATGCATCTCCTCCATATCCTGTACCTCACAAACCTCTTCTTCATCACTCGACGAATACTCCGTGTTGCTAATCATCAGCCTCCGCCTGCAAACGCGTTGCAGATACTTCTGAAAATACGAAAACTCTCCATCCTTGTGGAAAAACATAAAAAAGTTGCTGAAGTAGAAAAGCAGGTATGTGTACGAATAATTGCCCGTGTGGCATATCATACTTCTCACAAGAGTCACAAAGTCTCCAAAATCCCCAAGCACTAGCGAGATCTTCAGCCCAACAAACACCAGCTTCATCATCAAATCATTCCTGCACCGGAACACATATGCCTCCAGCCCCTTGAAAACCATCCCCGTTGCCTCCTCAGACCGTCCTGCTATCAGAAGATAGCATATATGCCCAGATACAACATCAAACCATTCGTCAACGCTTAGTCCATGCAGATCAGCCAGTCGGAATCCTTCATGTACATCATCAGCCTTAACACTCCCAAGATCCTCCCTGTCCTGCTCCGACTCCCTTCCTATGCGCTTCTGCTTACATATTCTTGACATCGTCATGCTCTTGCTCTTCTTCCTCCTCTCATAAACTCGCTTATTCTTCAAAAAATCATTCACAAGCACCTGGTTCCTCTCAAGAAACCGTTCAGGCTCCTTTTTCAATGCCTTTGTCTCCTCATAAAGCACATGCATGTCTATGCATTTCTCAACCGAATATGCCTCCCCGCATTTGTTCCTTTCATCAACAATCTCAATGAGCTGCTTGATCGTTTCATACCTCCGGGCCATTTCTGCATTTCCTTGCTTCACATATATCGAATGAATGCACGATTTCACCATGTCATTCACGGGATTGATTTCTAGCACAAGTTTGTAGTACAAAAGTGCCTCGTCATCTCGTCCGCTGTCATGAAAAACCCGTCCCATCTTCCAATACACAAACTCCTTCTGATCCTCAAATTTGTTTCTTACCCTGCTCAGTAGCCTTGTCACCTCATCAACCATCCCTTTGCTAGCGAGCACCTCCACCAGATGCCTTAGCATGCACAGCTCAATCTGCTCAGCCCACACATCCTCATCATCAAGAAACTCCCAAAGATCCTTGCAATCCTCAGCCTCCTTGCCAGCCTCCAGCTTTGCAATAATCCGGATCACCTGCAGCTTTGCATCAAGAGTAATTGCTCTTGTACCCACATGCTTTTCAAACAGCATGTTCATGCCAGCTGTATCAAGCGCATCATACTTCAGAAGGATCAGTTGAAGCACATAGTAATCAGAACAGCGGCTGCCTGCATTCGAAAGATGTGCTTGAAGCTTTTTTGTTAGCCTTCCCAATTTTGCTTTATGTGTCACAGACTGCTTGATTAGCTCAAAAATCCTGTCGTCTGCACCATCAAACTCAAAAAGCTCGATTCTGCAGCACAGCTCCTTAAACGTGTCCTTACCATACAGCTGCATCTTCTCAAGAACCATTTCCCTCATGCTCCCCTTCTTCTGTAGCACCTCAATAAAGTATATCCGCTCCTTCTCATACCCAAGGCGCCGGGAATACTCGTAAAGCTTTCTCCAAAGCCCATAGTTGTTCTTTTGCAAGTGTGCTGCAACAAGAAAGCAGTAGTATGCCTTTGGATACTCCCTTTTTTCTTCAAATATCAGCCCTAGAGTAAAGTACGGGCGTGGATTCTTTGGGCATAGGCAGATTGCCTCCTTGAGGATCTGGATGCATTTGTCCAACTCGTTTCTCACATACATGTTGTTTGCAATCGATATCAGCCCTCGTGCCTTCATGGCTCTCTGAGATCCCTTTGGTGTTGATCTTCTTCGTGATCTTCTTACACTCAGCCACTCCTCCTCCCCACACATCCATCTATCGTAGCTCATTGTGAGGGGATTTGCTTGAGCTGTATTTAATGCATGTGCATGTTATGCACGACTGTGCCCGTGTTGATGCTTTGCAGACATTACTGCAGTGCATTGCATGCATTTGTTCATGCCTTGCGGGACAACAACCCCTTGTAGGTGCGGCCTGATGCATTTTGCAAACTTTAAAAAATTGCACAATCGAGGGGCTTGAAATGAAGCAGCGCATCAACTGTTATGAGACTGATGGAGTAACAGTGAAGAGAACGATGGACTTGCCCGAGGTGTTCTCGATACCGATAAGGCATGACCTTGTGCTGAAGACACATGCGCTTTACAGGATGAAGAGCAGGCAGCCGTATGCAGTGTCGAAGACGGCCGGAAAGCAGCATTCGGCAGAGTCGTGGGGAACAGGAAGGGCTGTTGCACGAGTACCAAGAGTGAAAGGGTCTGGTACAAGACGGGCAGGCCAGGGAGCATTTGCAAATTTTTGCAGAAAGGGAAGAATGGCACATCCAACACAGACACACAGAAGGTGGGCAAGGAAGGTAGTTGAGAATACACTGAGGATTGCAATGGCAATGGGGGTTGCAGCATCTGCACAGGCAGGGCTTGTTGAAGCACGCGGGCACAGGATATCGAACATCAAGATGCTGCCGATCATTGTATCTGACGAGATAGCAAAGATGAAGAAGACAAAGGATGCAATGAAGGTTCTTCGTGCATTGAATATCGAGGAGGAGCTTGAAAGGGTTGAGAGCAGCAGAAAGGTCAGGAGCGGAAAGGGAAAGATGAGGAACAGAAGGTATACACAAAGGAAGGGAGTGCTACTTGTGCATGGACAGGATTCTGAGCTGCTTGCATTCAGGAACATCAGAGGTGTTGATCAGATGAGCATCGATGCACTTGATCTTGTTGAGCTGACGCCGGGAGGGATGGCAGGCAGGCTGATTATATGGACGGAGAGTGCGTTTGAGAAGCTTGACAAACTGTTTGGAGGATTTGAAAGAGCTTCTGAGCTGATGGATGGATTTATGCTGCCGAACAGGATGGTTACGCACGATGATCTTGAGGAGCTCTTCTATACTGATGAGGTGCAAGCGGTTCTTGATGAGCCATTGCTGATAGCAAGAGAGCCACTTGCAATAACGGAGGAGGAGATTGCAGAAAGAGAGAAGTTTATCAACAAGTTTGATGCATCTGCAATACGAACGGTGAATTAAACCTGCGTTTATTTGAATGTTTACACTTGTGCATGCACTTTGCAACGATGCTTGCTTATTTACAGAGATGTGCCTTGCCTTCTACTGCAAAGCCGGCAATGAACAGCGAATACACTACTATCAGTGTGTATCCAAGGTCTCTGGTCAGTTTCTGGTGCCTAAGAAGATAATTGACAAACACCACCTTGACTTCTGCAAGAATGAATACATACGAGAAGTACACGAATGGAGCGTTTGATATGTTCTGGACGCCTGCATGCAATGTGTCTCTGCCCAGTGCTATTTTAATCAGAGGTAGAAACAGGAGGGAGTTGAACACTGGCGAGTACATCACAGAGCATGATGCCATTTCAGGCATGCCGGATCTTGCATAGTGCATGCATGTGACGATCTCAACAATGTTTGCAAACATTGAAAGAAGCGTTCCTGACAAAAGCTGGCTTCCAACTCCTGACACTTCTGCTATATGCTGGACCATGCTGCATGTGCCTGCCATCATTACAGAGAACAGAGTTGTTGCAGCAGCAAGCGAATACAAATGCAGCACATTGCTCAGAATCTTCTTCTTTGTAAAGACGTACAGCAACGATCCAAACAGAAGCGCGCATATCATCAATGCAAGAATCTTTGCATACTCGAGATGCATTCCGAAGTACGACAGTGCAATCATCATGTTGATTGCTGGAGAGAAAATTGCTGCATATGGCTTTTTCTTTGTTGCCTCGTGTGGCATGCGTGAGTGATTGAGCAGCAAGACATCAAATACAAGCCTTAGCGGATACATCAGTGCCCTTCCAGCTGTGTGCGGCGCACTATCCAGTGCAAATGCCCTGGAGGATATGCTGCTGCTCTGTGACTGTGCAATATATGATGGTATTGTGATTGTGTTCGTCAGAAAGATTGCAAACACACACAGCGACATAAATGGAATGAAGCTTGATGACGATACATTCGATAGCATGATCAGCAAGAGCAGATGCGATGCTTCCATGAAGAAGATATCCTTGTAAAAGCTCATATGGTGTACAACAAAGTTGGATTTTGCAGAAAGCAGTATGATTGCAAGGGTGATTGCAACCGATAGCTGGGTGCTGCCTGAAAGCACAGATGAGAAGATGCCAATTGAGGATGCCCTGTGCAGGCTGGCCATCAGCACGATCTTTGGCATGCTGTTCAGCAGGCATAGCATTAGTGCCCTTATGAATGTGTTTTCTGTCTTCATAATGAAGAATCTTGCAATTCTTGTATGGTACTCTTGTGCATAAAAGACACTAAGGAGAGCGGCGAATGCAAGCAGTGATCCGGCAAGCATTATATACACAGGGAGAGGCTGTGTGTCTGGCAACAGCAGCGACAATCCTGGAAACATTGCAGGGATGTGTAAACAAAGGAGCTTATGTTGCCGCAATATGATCTGTAATGCATAGTGATACAGGCAATGCCTGAGTGTGCTTCACAATATCGGGCAGGATGCATGATTGTGTTTAATGTAATGAGCTTGAGGCGAATATACACAAGCGCATAAACAGCATACATAATTTTTTGTGGCAGGTCCCCTCCAAAATGGATAATAGTCATTTTTGCCTGTATCCGGTATACATTGACAGCATGAAGTCGGCATCTGAAGGCAGGAAGTATGGGATTGGTGTGTGTGTTCCAGCACCGAAGTGGCATGAAATAAAAAGTGCTCTGTGCAAGCTTGATATTGAGCATGTTTCTGAGCCAGGAAGCAAGCATCCAAGGGACTTTCTCAATCCAGGAAGATTTCGCATCGATAAGAAGTACGGCAAGAAATTTGTTGTTGAGGGATTGAGTACTACAATACTGGAGGAAAGAAATAGCACCCAGAAGCAGCCTGGAGCTCGCCAGGGACATTCCAAGGCATCGAAAGGCATTGTTCAAAACGGAATTTACGTTGAGAACAAACTCAATCTAGTCAGGAAGAAGAAGGAAAAGAAGAAGAGGCAATGATTGCTGCAAACAAACAGTATACGAAATAAATGATTACAACACATATTTCTAGGCTTTTAATAATTATTGCTTGATTCTATTCAGAAAGACAATGCTTCCCGAGATTCATGATTGACTCAAGACACTCTGGCGCTTCAAAGAGTATAACATACAGCACAAGAAAGATAACTGAGAAGAACATAGTCAGCAGGAGTGGGGCAAGCACGGTCATCAGGACCTCTTTGCTTCCAACAAGCATGCATATTGTGAATATTGCAAGGATTGTGCCCATGTTGGTGTATAGAATAATCTTCAGGCTAAACTTGTCATCATAATAGCTCTCAAGCTGGTCGTCAACAATTGTTATTGAGTCTCCTGTGGAGTTGAATCCGTATGTGAAGCATTCATTTCCATCGGAATTCGAAGCGAAGTATTGCCTTACTGATGAGTCAAACAGAAAGTCTTCACTAGATGCAAAATATTGTGCTTTGATGCTCAAGCATTCGTGGTCGTGTGCAGCTGAGCCGCCACTGCCATGCATTGAGCAATGCTTTCTCCATATGCACAGCAGCTCCTTATGTAATATCTTATAGTACAAGACCTTTTCTGTAATCCTCAGGTTGTTTACTGGATTCTTGACGCCCATCCTGCTCATTAGATATCCGCCCTCCACGCAAAAAAGAAGATTGTTCAGGTATATTGCAGAATAGTAGCTATGGAAGACATGGCCAGTGGATGGATCATTTGTAGTCACCATTGCAATAACAAAATCCTTTTCTTCCTTCATGCATGACACCATCAGTGTCTTGAACTTTTCCAGTGTGAATGCCTCAATCGTGTCGGTATCGAGCACGCAGCAGCAAGATTGCATGCACATGTCTTTGTTACTGCACTCAAATGTAATTTCTGAGTGAGTGCTCAAGACTGCTTGTGCCAGGCACTCCTCCATCCAAGAAGTGCAACAAACATGCTGCTTTATACCAGATATTGTTTCAGATTCAGGTCGAGGCACAAAGACACCAATCAGTCACATATGCACACTGCAATATCAGAATCAATCAGCTGGTATGCATACATTATCCCACTTGCTTATATCTGGCAATTACATCTTCGCAGCATCTTCTTGCGGTTGCCAGACTCGTCTTGTTTTTCGATACGAGATGAATGTATGCTGGCTCATTAGACTCTTCTCCCAAGCAAGGCTCAACATATCCAGAGTGCCTTCCCCTCAATACAGCATCTACAGAGTAGTCATGCACAATCCCAAGCAATTCATTCTTGATCAATTCGCCATCAGCTTCATTCTCCAACTGCAACAGCACTCTTGATGAATAATACTTCGCCCCATTCCTCACCACCTGTCTCCATGCAGATCCATACTTACCTTTCATATATCCATCTATTGCTTTGATCCTGTCTCCAATTTTGCTCATTGCATTGTGCAGAAGCTCAGGTGTTGCTGCATAAACATCATACATCAATGCATCTGATTCATCAGCTTCTGCATTCAACTCAAAAGGCTTGTAGCCTCCACGAACAACAATCTCCACTCCAAGCTCCTCCTCAAGCATCATCACAACACAATTACGCGTCGACATATACGGATTGCTTGTTCTTCCAACATTATATGCTGCCTTGAATTCATAATTATGTATTCTTTTCTTGATTTGCCTCGTGAAGTTCAGCATAAACTCACCCACTATGCTTCCCTCAGGATTCAAGTCAACGCTGTGAAGACGAACAGGCCCAACATCCACACTTTCAATTGCCTCCTTTGCTTTCTTTACTTCATTTTGATTTCCACATCCTTCGTTGCCGTCCTTAACTGCATCCCACTTCATTCAGGGAATGCATGTATCTTGTTTTTACTGCTAGCTCGCGATTAGCATTGCTGCACACCATCAATCGTGCTTTCGTGAACTGCCATGCGCGCCGTTTTCTTGCTTCGTATATCAATCATCATCTTAAATATATACAGCTGTGCAATTCCTGCATACTTGCCATACTTACTCACATACATCTGTTGCACTCTGTCATATGTCTTATCTGACATTCCATTAGCACAGATTCCAAAGTGCTTCTTTGCATGATTGAGCATGTGTGTGTCTATCGGTACAACACCGTGCCTCCCCAGGCCTATCAGCAGAATACAGTCTGCAACCTTCCTTCCTATCCCTCGTATTCCAAGCAGAGCTTTCCTACAATCCGCTCCGCTTACAATGCTCTCGCTGCCTCTCTTCAGATACTCCGCTGCATCACAAACATATCTTGCCCGGTATCCGAATCCATTTGCCTTCAACTCATCCTCAATACCCACCAGCCTGTCAACTGAAGGAAAGTAGTGGAACCTGAAGCCCTTGTACTCCATAATAAACTCGCCCTTCGAATACAGAAACCACACCATCCTTGTTATCCGCGGAATGTTGTTGTTTGATGAGCAAACAAACGAAAAGATAGTTGGAACCAACTCGTTTCTGAGCATCCTTAATCCAGAAAGGCATTCACCATCAAACTTCCACTTCGTCACCAGCTCATGCATGGATATATCAAGCGTAAAAAAATAGCATATTGCATCATGTATGCTCATGGTTGGCTTGCGCCCATAAAGCACCTTGTACAGCACAGTCTTCCTCTTCTGCATAAAACTCATAAGATACTCTCCAACAACACCTGTATATTCACATTCTCCGGTCCTTTGGAATGAAAACACTTGCCCACTAAACAGTGTTTTCTCCAAATCTATTTCTTCGCATGTATTGATAACGGTCCATCCATTGCATTCCGCTCCACTTTCCATGCCCACACAATCTGACATTTACTTATAAATCACAGTACTTGATCATGCACGCAATAACCATACACATAAATATTTAATATACTCAATTGCCGGTGCATCACTGCTTCTTAGAGCATCTGATGTATTTTCTCAACAGCCTGGCTTATGGTATTATCATCCTTCGACTCCAGCGATGGCACCAATGCCCTTGCCTCCTCAACGGACTGTGGAAACAACGATCCCAGCAATGCGATTTCCATCTCGTCAAAGTGCAGTCCTGCAAGATTCGTGCGCAGATCCTCCGCCATCGACTTGTCCTTGATCCTGCAAAAGCACTCCAGATACCCAAGCGTAGACCTGAACGTCTTGGATGCATTCGACCTGTAGTCTGCACGGAAGCGCTCCTTGTGGCTTTCCAACAAATATTTTGCCTCTGCAAGCATCACTGGGTGGGACTCATGCACATCCTTGCTGTGCTGGCTTGTGTTCATGGCTGGGGCTCAAACTCACTTGCTTGATATCTGCATTATCGCAGCCCAACGCCATGCTAGAGTACGAAGACGATATCCACAAGCAAACAGAAGGCCAAAGCTTCTTGCTTGTGATGGGCGGCGGGCTGAACATTCAGGGCATCATCAACAGGTGCATCGATACGTACTTGAACGAAAACAGCTTTGTGCTGCTGGTTAACTTCAGTGATGAGGACAAGGCATTCGTTCTTGGAGCCAATCCTCTGCATATACACGATGTGGGGATGCATCCTAGGAAAAACAGAGCAGAGATCTATCAGGCAGGAGGTGTGTTTATTGCTGGTAGCCGTGTGCTTATTTCTGATATGCTTGATGGAACAATCAATGCTGCAAAGGTAGACTGTTTGATCATATGCAATGCAGAGACGATGACAGAAGCATCACCAGAGTCGTTTATTGTGCATGTTTTCCGGTCGAAAAATGCAAATGGACACATCAAGGCATTTTCTGAGTCGCCCACCCATCTTGCACTTGGGTTTTCTCCTCTGGCTAAGAAAATGAGGTGCCTCAAGATAAGTAAGGTGCTGTTCTTTCCCAGATTCCACTCAAAGGTTGAAAATTCTCTGAATGCAGATGTGGGTGTTGAGGAGGTCAGGCTTAGGATGCCGAAGAAGGTTGGAGAAATCCAGGTTATGTTGATGGAAATTATAGACAGCCTTTTAAAGCTGGTGTTGAAAGGAAATGACAGAGGCCAGATCAATTCGGGGATGGTTATATCAGGAAACATCTACAGGATTTTCAAGCAGCTCAAAGTCTGGCCTATCAATAATGCATGGGGCAACAGTGTTGGAAATGCAAGTGTGGTTGATGATCTATGCGACATGAAGACACTTGTGTTTTTTCTGTTTTCTTGCGATGCCGGCTCACTGTACAAGTATGTGGGCAGGATGGTGAGGAGACAGATGGAGCTGGGCAAGAACAGTACCTGGATAAACCTAGATGCTTCCCATGCACTGGTTGACAAGGTAAGAGAGCTATTCCATGAGGCTGTTGAAAAAGCAGGCTGCCCAATTGCATATGGCAAAAGCATGCTGAATGAAAAGCATACACGAGTTGATATTGAAAGCGAGGTGGAGACTTTGCAAGCACTTCCCAAAGATACTCTCAAGGCATTCTATAGACTAAATCCAAAAGTCAACAAGCTGGTGGAAATCATTGAACAGTCGAGAGATGCTCGGATGATCATACTTGTTTCAAGCAAGCAAGTTAAAGACTCGCTGTTAGATGTAGTTGCATTAGCTCAGCATAAAAACGATGAGGGATGTGCTGCCGAAGGCATCGTTAGAGTTGTAACACATCATGAGTTCAAATACGACACGCATGAATACGAATGCGCTGTTTTGTTCGAGTCAAGCCAGGACAGCATAAGGAAAATCGAGCGATATGGAACAGCTCATTCGGTAAAAACATACTTTCTAATGTATAGTAACTCGCTGGAGGAGCAGAGATATCTTGAAGAAATAAGGATGGAGAAGGAATGCTTTGAAAAGCTAATTGAGGAAAGAGAACGGCTTCCATTGTGCCTGGATGATCTCGATGGCCAGATCGATCTCGATGACGAATGCATTGATAGGAAATACACGGTGGTGGTTGACTCGAGGGAGTTGAGAGCCGAGCTGCCGTTTTTTCTGTTCAAGGCAAGGAATGTGCTGCATGTGTCTACGCTTGCGATTGGAGACTATCTGCTGAGTCCATCGATATGCATCGAAAGAAAGTCGATTGCGGATTTTCTATCGTCATTGAGCAACGGAAGATTGTATGCACAGGCAAGCATGATGTGTTACAGATATGCATCTCCTATATTACTTCTTGAGTTTGATGGAAGGCCATGCCTATCTGATTACTACCGATATGAGCAGGATGCATTTAGAAACAGTGTTTTGTGCAAGTTTGTACTGCTTCTGTTTAACTTTGGGACACTACGTGTTGTGTGGTCTGACTGTAGGCTTTTTTCGGTAAAGGTGATGAGGGATCTACAGAGGAAGGAATGCTTAGCAGATGCAGACGAAGAAATGGAAATGGAAATCGGGATGGATCCTGAGCTTGTGGATGCGCTGCTCAGCATTCCTGGTATTACACAATTTAATCTATGGAAGGTAAGGAAGGGATTCCGGAGTCTAAGAGATCTTGCGTTTTCAACAATAGAGCGCCTTGAAAATGCTCTTGGGGAGAAGAGCTCTATGATGGTGCACAGGTTTTTCAGGCAAGCCCTTGCAGTGAGCAAAGCAGGCTTGAAAGAAGTTGAGAAATGCCAAGATGCAGCAGACTATGAGCCTGAGCAGAAGCGAAGAATTGTCTAAGGCAGCATACAGATGAACTGAGCAATCAAGCTGAAACAATGTGGAATTTGAACATGATAGGCTAGAAGAGTAAGAATGTGAATGGCTAAGGATTATATATGGCCTAAGAAGCAGTAAAATACATTTATATTCGCATCTTGTATGCAGAAGAAGTTCTATACGGCAAGTCCCTGTATGGTGAAGATAGCTGTTATGAGCGGTAAGGGCGGCGTGGGAAAGAGCTCGGTGTCCATAATGCTGAGTGTTGCGCTTTCTGAGGTAGGGAAGACTCTGTTGCTGGACTTTGATCTGTGCGGGCCTAGTGCTGTGTGTGGGCTAGGTGCTCGAGGGAGTGTTCGTAAAGCAAGTAAGGGATTTGTCCCAGTGCAGGTTACAGATAGCCTGTATGTTCTGTCCATGGGATTGATGATGAACGATACAGACACTGTTATATGGCGAGGGCCCAAGAAGATGCACATGCTGTCGATGCTGTATGACTCTACGGATGGATTTGATTATGTTGTGCTTGACATGCCTCCGGGACTGTCTGAAGAGCATGGATTTTTGTGCTCCAGAGACATTTGGGCATTGATTGTTACAACTCCACAAGAAGTATCGCTGCACGATTGCTCACGTGCGATTGACTTCTGCATGCAGAACAATGTCTGTATTCTTGGCTTGGTTGAGAACATGAGCGGATACCGTTGTGAATGCTGTGGCGCAATCACAAATATTTTTGGATCAAAAGGTGGAGAAAGGCTAGCCGAAAGCATGGGGATTCCGTTTGTATGCACGCTGGAAATAGATCCTGTAATGTGCAAGGCATTGGATGATGGAGTGTTTGTTAGCACAAGCATATCAGTGGCATCATACACGAAGTTTAGAAACGCAATTGCAAAAGTGATGGGCCATATGGTTGATACGACGATTTAATAAAAGCACTAGCAGCAGATGTATTTTATGTATTCATCTCGCAGCCTGAATCCCCTTTTTGGCTTCTTTTTTTCTTCTTTCGGAACCTTTTCTGCAATCATGCTGAATATCTCTGCCACATTCTTGCCTGTCTTTGCACTTGTTTCAAAGAGCATCAGCGATTGGCTGTCTGCATACTCCTTTGCCTCTTGATATTGCACTTTTCTATCATCCTCGAGATCAGATTTGTTGCCAATCAGCACCTTGATGAACTCCTTTGGCTTCTCAAAGCCAAGCTCGTCAACCCATTTCTTTGCAGTCTCAAAGCTTTCGACCGACGTAACATCATAAACTATCAGGGCAACCTGTGCACCACGATAGTACATCGGAATCAGGCTGTTGTATCTTTCTTGGCCGGCCGTGTCCCATATCTCAAACTTGACGCTTCCCTCAGGTGTAAACATCGTCTTTGTCAGGAAAGACGCACCTATTGTGCTCTCCTCGTTTGCATTGAACTCGTCCTTGACATACTTCAGCACAAGGCTGCTTTTCCCAACAGAGTAGTACCCAAGAACAACCATCTTGAACGTATATGCACTCAGGTCCTTTCGAAGACTCGTCATACCTTTGTTTATCTTACTGCTTTTATCTCTACTGTTTCACATCAATAAACAAGTTCCATCCTTCAGCCTTCCATCCTCATCACACATCCTATCTCTTTCGCAAAGCTCTTCCAGATCTTTAATTACTGATCGCTTCCAAATATTCTTTGTTTGTTTACAGATCAACAGGTTCGCGATGGAAACAGCAGAAGCTCCCGATGTCTACGAAAAGTCCAAAGGCATCTCCTCAATAATCAGAATCATCGGCTGCCCAGAAGACTTCCAGTCCCCCCAGCCAGACGAGCTTGATGTCTTGGATGCAAACACCATCGAGACATTCACACTCGAAGAGTTCAAGACCCTTGTCCTCGACTGCAGGTCCAAGAACAAAGACTTCATGATCGCAAGAGTAACCACACCTGATCCAGAGGACCAAACCATCTTGTACAACTTCTACTATGCTGCGTCCGAGATAAACAGGATCCTCTTCAGATTCGAGTCAGGCAGAAGGCTGCTGCACAGAATGAAAGTCAGAAACCCTCTTAACAACATGTACATCCTTGGCCAAGTCTATTACTACAAGGTTGTTCCATTGGATGTTGACAGCGCATTGGTTGACTATTTCTTTTCAGATGCCAAGCCATACACAGGAAAACTAGCCACAAGCTCGCCCTCTCGGGTATTCAAGTCAAGCTCCTCAGATGTCATCTTCGACAGCGGCAAACTCAACACTTCGGCAGATCAGCCAGAAACAAGAGGCGCACCGCACAAGCCGCACTCTTCCAGAAGCTCCCCAAAGGAAATAATAGAAAAGCTACAAAAAGGCCAGCTCTCCATCCCAAAGTCCATCCCTGCAGACAGAAATGTGTCCTACAACGCCAGATACTTTGCCTCAGACGACGACTTTCTGATGCAGCCAGAGGTAAGGGAATACTTCCGCAAAAACACATTGGATGCAGACGACGACTTCCTCTTCGAAATAGATAGAACACAGAACGACTTCTTTGCACTTCTTGAAACCGCATCCGAGGATGATAACGAGGAGGCGCTTGGCTGGAAGCGAGTCCTTACTGCACATGTAAGCATGCTGGTAACTCTACTTACTGTATGTCTTGTTCTTGGTGTTGGCCCTCAGATGGTCCTTATTGCACTTCCATTGACGGCCTTATTGATATTCTCCTTCATCGGCTCGATTTTTTATATCTTATTCTGCAGAAGAAATACATTCGATACCTTGGCTGCTAACAATGTTGAAGAGCTGTAAATAAATATGTCTAGATCCTGCCTCTTCTATCCATCATACGCTCAAGCCAAAAGACTCCACAACAACACAGATACAGGCAATTATTCGCTTGCCAATGTGTTTGCAAGCCCAAGGCTCTCAGCTAATCTCAGAATGTTCGCATCGCTTCTCAACACTCTCAGCAATATTGGTATATTTCTTCCAATCGTAAGCTCCTTATTGAAATGCACGCAAACTGCATTTACAGCCTCTTCATTCAGTTTCACTATGCTCAGCATCATCGTAAACTCCCACTTGTTTCCATCAACACTGGCTTTGAACCGACCACATGGAGTAATAATCACCACTTCACTGTCTGTTTCCTTTACTTCATACTCCATTCTTGCAAGACTTGCTATCTGTTGTATTCGTTCATCGTAATACAATTGATGAAGCTTCTGAATCAGCTCCGTACTTACTCCCATCGATATTCCGTTGAACTCATCAAAAACTCCATTCATTCCCTGTGCATACACCTTATATACACTCCTGCTCATCTTTCTCAATCTTAATGTCCCTTGCGATGTGTGCCTGAATTTGAATACCAGCCCAGATGATGTGCACACACATGGAATAAGGCCTTTTGAAAAGAATGCACCGAAGCAAACCAATACATCGACTGCATGTGTCTTTGGAACACATTCCAAAACATCATCCATTCCAAATGCATCTGTCTCAAGATTCATTTTTCCTTCAAATTCGTCAAATGAAAGAATCACATTCATGCCGCCAACCCGCATCACAAGCCCTCTTTCCACATCCATCGAGACTATGTCAACACCGTTCACCGAGTCAAAATCTGTTCTGCAATCTTTCTTCTCAAAATCCATCTTGATATCAAACATAAAAACCACAAATCTTACATACTCCTCAAATGCATCGCTCCTCACCATCCTTTCTACTGGAGCACTTGATGCTGCAAGAAAACCTGTAGATACCGCAAGATTATGCTCTTTTGGGTTCACGGCAATACATACTTCGTCTCCACACACACTATGGTTCACAAGCATTCGATCCATAACTACAACCGCTTGATTCGCAATAGAGCACGCGCTATGCACTAAAAATAACATATTCATGCTCTGCATAAAGTATTCATAGATACGCTCTATCGGAATCGTCCTCCGTATTTGCACGCCGCCTTTTGCATCTAGTACACTCTCACTTTCATCACAGCTACTGTTTGCAATCCCTATCACTCTTCCATGCCCTTCCATTGCCAGCAAAACCTCTGCATAGTCCAAAAATTCTATAATCTCATGGTTCCCTGCATACACCTTCAGATCCATGTGTGTGCTTGTAAGTCCTGCAAGACACACGCACACAAATGCCCGGCTCTTGGCAATAAACACATTCTTTTCCCCAAACACCTCGCTCCTGTAGTTCCTGAAAACATTGCATCTCTGACCTGCTCCCTCCTGCACAGCACGCCCTATCTTTTCAAAAAACTCATAAAAAACACTGTTTTCCCGATCCTTGTCCAAAAAAATCTCCAGGTCCAAGACACTTCTAAACGGCCTACCGTCTACTACAAATCCCTTGCTGAATGAAAATCGGACATCTGCGCCATCTTTGCACAGGTAATTCGAAACCCTGTACTCAAACTCCTCAATGGCATTCCTTTGTATTCCATCAGCATGGGTTTGCATCTCATTCTCTCCAATACACGCCGTCTCGTTACCAACATCTATCCATCCAAGAATCGCATGCCCCTCAATTTTCACTGACATCTTGAACTTGCCAACAACAACCTCGAACCTTCTATAGTGCCCATTCACCTCCATGTCAGCATACACAGAGGCCGCCTTTACTGTCAGAAACATTTGCCTCATCGTGAAGTGCGACTTGTAGGCCCTGGAAAAACTCGATATTGCGCTTACACTACTAGGCATGCAAAAAAGCAGGTGCCTGCTGAATGTATCATCCTCTCCCCGAACATCAATCAGTTTCCACTGGGGCTTCGAAATATCTCCACACAGCGCCAGTGTAAACAAAAAGTGCTCGTCCTCCAGGAAAACCATTCCACTCTCAACCTTCACACTTCTGTATACAGACAGATCCTCTCTACTGAGATACATTCTGCTTGCCCTGTGTATTTCTCCAAATTCAATGGCAGACTCTGCGTCCATACTGCAGCTGCTCTGGATGCCCTCCTCGCCAGCACATCCGCTGTCTGTGCCTGGCTCATAAAGCCTTGGCAAGAGATATTCAGGGTCAAATACAACCTGCAGACACGTAAAAACATCACCCTTTGGCGCAATCATCAGCTTCATAGACTCAAAAACATGCGCTAGATCATCTGCAATCTGCACATATCCACGGCTAGCATGCGATATCATCTTCATCCTGTATTCACTCGATCGGCTGCTCCTCAAGTACTCCACTCCGCTCAGAAGGACAAACAAACACTCAAAATCTGCTGCCTTCTGCCTGAAAAACACGCTTAATTCCTTCCTGCACATCATCTCTGACACTGAGTGGTACCTGCTGAGTGCATCCCGCATCTCCTTCATTGCCTGGCTAGCAAACATACACACAAAGTCGTTGAGATCAACATGTGCATCGCTCCCATGCTCTTGCGCACCATCAGCCATTCCACCTGTACCGTTTATGCCTTCTTCAAACTTAACTCTCCTCAGCGGCAGTCTAATGGGCTCAATCATCAGGATTCAATCCCTGAAGCTATTTCTATTCAAACGCATCAACACCAACATCTCTTTATTTCTTATAGTACTCCTTGCTTTGCACAAACGGATTATAGTTATACTTCTTCATGTGCGATATCAACCGCCTTGCTGTGTACACCACCATGAATATGAAGTATCCAACAAGAATCGGCGTGTACACAGGAATGTCCAGAATCGTGAAAAAAGTCCCAAACAGCGCTGTCCCAAGAGTCTTTGTGACAAAAATCCAGAACTCAAACTCCGGGAGATTCCTCACAAACGGCTTGAACTCATTATCTATCTTCTCGGGTACATAGTCGTCGTCCACATTCTCAAACGGGTCGGGAATCATCTCTCCCTTCGGCGTCAAGAAAAGAATTATTGCATGCAGAAGATAAATCCCCATGCAGTACGTAACTAGGTAAAATGCATTTGTCATCCATATGCGGATGCAGTACAGTACAAAAATAATCCATGTGATGCTCCATCTTATGTCTGGCCTCGATGCAAGCCTGTCTAAGTACACCTGCTTCAATGTTTTCAAGTCCATTTGGGTGGGGCATGCAAATCATCAAAAAATGCACGCATTGCATATGCTGTGCTCCTGATCAATACCACGTCTTAGAGCCATACGAATCCTCAATCCTCTCCTTGCTGGCTCACATATCAATTGCAAATGCCTTGCTACAGTATTTTTCGATCTGTCCATTGTCATGAGTGTATGAAAACGCCACAAATAATCGACTTGATACAATGAATATGCTACTGACACCAACTGGCTGTGTGTGCACCACCTTGCATGTTTTCTTTGATCCAAGCCTCCACCTTAGCAGCTTCCCATCAGATCCGCCAGAATACAGGTGCTTGTGAACAACCAATGCATTGACTGGATAGAATGTCTTTACTCCACCAGAAATGTCGTAATGCCCATTGAAGACATACGAATGGTCTCCGTTTACAAAATCCTCATAGTATATTCTTCCACTTGTAGTTCCAGCAAAAAACCCGTTTGCATGAATTGCCAGTGAGCGCACAGGCATATCGAACAATCGTCTGAAAAACATCGAGCAGCTGCTTAAGCTATATGCCACAACAGAGCTTTGCAGCCCACAAACCAGCACATCTCCAAGAATGGCCGAGCAATGTATCTTTCCATCAACATCTAGTGTGTTCCTTATCCCGCCTGATTCAATAAACACAACTTTCTTGTTCCATCCGCCAGCAACCACTGTGCAGCCATACTCATGAAGAAGCTGTATTCCACCTGCTCCGCTTTGTATTTCCTTTGTCTTGTTGAGAAAACCGTCATACACACAGACTTTTCCTTCAATGTCCCCAGTGATAACCCGTGTAGAGCCATCCCCATCTGCAGCGCTTGAAGACATGATGACTCTTGTAACAGGAGCATCAGTGCTCACCTGTCCAATCAACTCAAGCGTGTCTCCAGAGTACAGGCACAGTTTGCAATCCCAAGAGGCCAGTGCAAATCTGTTTCCACATGCTGCACCTATGATTGTGTCCTGCGGAATAGAACCAATCTCGTGCATTCGTATCTGAGGGATGCTTGCATCATCACACAAAACACATCATGCTTGTATTCAAGGTTCCCGTATGCATGAGTTGCATTGATCATTCCAAGAGTATGTAGCTGTAAAAACAAACATTGCAAATATCAACTCAGCAAGCCCTGAATGGATTGCCTGGACATTGAAGGACTGATTATTGCAGATGTGCATGGAGAGATTCTATTTAAAAAAGCATTTGTAAAGGATAAGGATCTTGCAAAGAGAATTGTTGAGAAGGTTCTGAACACCAGAGAAAGCATGTCGATGGCTTTTGACAAGATAGTCATGTCTAAGAAGATTGATGAGCTACTACTGATCATCTACTGCCCCATGGAGTGCAACGAGCCATTTGTTTGGCATGCATTCAACGAGTTTATGATTGGATTCATGTCAGTCATCAAGAGCTCAACCAAAGACAGGCTGTGGAAGAAGTATGATCAGGTTGTATTACTTGTAGCTGGGTTTGTATATGAAGGTATGATTGTGCTGTGCAAGAGCAGCGAGATGATTGACAGGCTTGCAAAAAGAAACTTTGAAGGAGTAGATGGAATGAAGGTTCCGAAGGGGCTTGCTTCCTTCATTCACAAGGCAACAAAGTCATTCACCATGGGAAGCAGCAAATAAACAGTAAAAGTCTTTATTCTATTGATAAAAGCGCCTCTGCTGGGCCAGACGAGTGTTGCATTGAATATACAGCTCAGGCACTCGAGTAATTGGACAGTTCTACCCTGCTGTATTCCTCCAGTAGCTTCTGGATCGCCTCTTTGCTCTGGTCAAACATCTCTGCATCAACACCAAACTTCTTGTATATGTCAAGAAACGCACGCTGCCTTCGAAGCTTATCAAACTGCCCACAGATCTTGAGCATAACCGATGCGATCCCTGATGAATTTGCAAGGCCAAGCCCTGACACTCTGCTGCCGCCCATCCTGTTACTGATGCTTCTATTGAGAACAACATTGAACGAAGGAGGCATCCAAGGCACAAAGTTGACAACTCTCTTGTCCAGAAGCCTCATCACTGTTCTAGACACCTCACTTGCATCATCGACTCCATGGAGTATATTCATCATAGACACAAATGCCTGTGTTTTTGATGAATCATAGCTTGCAAGCCTTGTTTTCGGCAGAAGAAGCCTTCGCATGACATCTGACGGCGTAGCCTTCCTTACAACCCTGGACATCTCTCCACACACAAACGGTGTATACGAGGGAACAACAAACTTGAATGTGTCGATCGGAACAAGAGATGCGTTTATCGACTGATGTGTGCAGTACATGTATCCTGGAAACCTGACCGTGCTTGTTGCTGCAGCCATGACGGTCGAAATAAGCAAGTTGATGTGATCAAATGTTGGCGTATCGATCCTGAGGGAGTCCAGCGCATATCTGCCAAGAGACGAGTTGTCCATCACAACCACGCTGTCGCAGCATTCAGAAAGCCTCTGCAGAGTCAGTATCGAGTTGTATGGCTGCACAACCACATCGCTGGACTCATCATTGTTTGGAAAGATCGAGTACGTCTGCAGTATCTTCTTTGGAAACTCGTCTCTGATCCTCTCAAGAAGCAAGGATCCAAATCCAGAGCCTGTTCCACCAGCAATTGAATGAAACAGGAAGAAAGTCTCCAGAGAGTCACAGCATTCGGCTTCTCTTTGCAGAATATCCATTACATCGTCTCCCATCCCTTTTCCAGCACAGTATCCATGCCCCCAATTGTTCCCTGCTCCTCCTCCTTCGTTCGAAAGAAAAATATTTTCCTGGTTGAAGAACGACGGGACCTGTGCAAGCACTCTTGGCTCAAGATCAACAAGTACTGAGCGTGGCACAAACACATTGTCATCTGCTTGGTAGAAGAACACGTCCTTCCTGTCCCCAAGGTCTCTGAAGTCATGCAGGATTCCACATGGTGATATCCCATGTTCGTTGCAAAGCATCTTCCAAAACTCTGCTCCCATCTGGTTTCCACATTGCCCAACCTGGAGTGTGATCACCTCGCGCATAAGGGGTGCTCGCCGTGTGTGTTCAAATCGCTGTAGCGGTTCTGTTTCAGACCTGCACAGTATGCGATGGGGCCCTGATAGCGAAATGGCTATCGCGTCTGCCTTCTAAGCAGAAGACTGCGGGTTCGAGTCCCGCTCAGGGCGTTTTTTACTTCCACACTCTCCAAACTTCCCATACTGCATCACACTCGTTTATTATTCGCATTCCTCACCAGAAGCACTTACAGCAACCGTTTTTATTGCATTTTCACTCATAATCTATAGTTGTCTCCACTTCACTTACTGCTCATTATCCAATCCTGTCGCAAGCTCAACAATCTTACTTACAAATCGCTTCTTGTCCGCTGCTTTTTCATATGCCCTCCGGATAGCATCAAAAACATCTGTGTTCTCAACAACACACTCAGACACCGCACATCCCCTCCTCAAATTGCCTCTCACAAACTGCCTGTTGATGTACTTCCTGAGCGACTCAACAAATGCATAATCTTCAGGCACAATCTGCTTAACAAACCTTGAATCCTTGGCAAACTTTGCATAAAAGCACACCCGCTCAAGAACCACCACACTCATTAAATTCGCCTCCATCTCAGCATCACTCACTCGAGGCGGCTCCTTATCATGCCCCAAATAGCATGGAATCGCCATCGCCCTGTTCAGAAGCGACAGACTTCTCTTCTTCACCTCCTCAAGAAGATGCCCAACACATTCCTCCTTCAGCTTCTTGTTCCCTGTCACTCCAAAGCTTGGCCCTGCTGTTCCCATCGCAAGCACAGATATAATAAGCCCATCAATAAAACTCGTCATCCCCAGAAAATTGCTCACAAGCTCAAACACTATCATGTGGTTCAGCTGGCATACTGCTCTGTTCCTCATGTAATACAGAATAATCCATATCCTCAGCCTCACCTCACTGCTCTCCACAGGCGGCCGGTTTCCTTTCAGAAACATCATCATCTTCCCTTCGAGTCCTTGATTCATATGCTTGCTCCGCACCACCCCATATATCACCATCCGAGACCAATCGTCGTTCATCTCATGCAAATAGTCCACACTCTTGAGAACATGTGCTAAATGCCCATACAGTCTGTGAAATACAATCGGTTGATCATGGCATCGCTTGATCAGCTCAACTATCCGTCTTATCTTCATCACAGGGCATTTTTCAGCAAATATTCATACATAAACTATAAAACTTTATCAATACTCTTCATCAGCTCTCCTGCATCAGCATTCAGCATAAGAAGATGGTCCAGATCCGTGTCTATCTCTTTCAGATTCTTTATTATTGCATCAAGCCGTTCCATCACATCCTTCTCCTCATCTGCCATACTCTTCATCAAAGGGCTCCGCTTTAAATTTACTCTACTTCTATGCTCAATATCCATTCATACATTCTACTCCTCCACCTTTAGGCATATATTACTCCCACCAATCAATCGGGCCAAGCCCCATCTCCTTGAAATCACACATCACACATGCATCAGCACAGTCCCACAGCACTCTCAGCCGCACCTTTGACTTCCTACGGAAATAAAACCGGTTGTTCTTATACACCCATACCCATGCTGCCTTCTTCTCTCCTCCATCGTTCACATACACCATTTCAGAACCCTCAGCCAGGTTCTCCTTCCGAACTCGCATCTCATCAAAAAATGGTATCCCCAGTCGGATCCCTTCACAATCCTGCGACAGAATCTCTCCATGCATTACTTCATCTCTAAAGAACTTGAACAAAAGCATCTCAAATTTTGCATGCGCTGCCAGAAACTCGTCATAAACCTGATACTCGTCAACTCCCGCACACTCAGTAACCACCACACACACCCCAAACCCTTCAATAATCTTGCCAACATATTTGCTCTTCAGCACCTCAAGCACCTCCCTCTCTTTCATCTCGCTACTCAACGGAATCTTGACATCCTCTTCAAACCACATTGTATAGAACATGCACAGGGATGCAGCCAAAATCGAAATATAGCCTATCCCTCGATGAGATCACCATGGAGTAAAAAGAGGCTGGAGACATTTGTGGTCCTGAACATATTCATGGCAGTTGTAGTCACATCGCTTAGGTCATTCATCATTTCCAACTACAAAACAGGCGCACTGCTGATTTTTGTATCGAGCCTTGCCAAAATGCTTGTTTCGTACTCAAACATTCAGACGCTCGACTTCAAAATAAGGCATGTGTTCTTGGTTGCCAGCCTGAGCTTCATAGGAACCTGCCTGGGTGCATTTTCGTATTACTACAAGGCATCATCCACATCATATGCAATCTCATCAAGCATCCAGTATGTCTTTATTGCATTTATGTCTTTTGCCTGGAACGGGACTCGCTATTCATTTGCACAATACTTTGGCTTATTGATCATCATACTTGGGGTTTTTATAGAGATCTCGTCTGCTGATGTGATTTATGACATTCCCATGCATTCACTGACCGGAATGATTTCCGGATTGTTCAATGCAGCAAGCTTTGTTGCATTTGAAGTAAAGGTAAAGCCTGTTCTGGAGAACATTAAGAGCTTCTGGAGCTACATGATGGCATATACGTTCTATCTGATGACGTTTTCGTCGCTCCACTTGATAGAGGAGATATTCAGCAATACGCCTAGCTATATCGAGGTGCTCAAGTCTCCAATGGCATATCTTGCGGTGCTTAGTGAGATTGTAATGGCGTACATTTTGTCGAGTGTCTCATTCTACCTGGACTCCGTAGAGAGATCGACCCTTGTGAATGTTTGCACTTGTGCCTGATGTTCTTCTTTCGTACGAGATAGACGCACAAAAGATCCTGGGGATTTCGCTTGCGATGATTGGGACACAGATGTTCAACTTCTTCTGGAAGGAGGAAAACATTGTGCTTCCATGAAGCAGCAGAAGATAGAAAATAAATAATGCAGTTGTCCTTATGGATTCTGATCAGCTGAAGGCTTACTACAGAAAGCTACTGCCGCTGGATGTAATTTTCAAGTGCCTAGGGATAGACGAACGCCGAGAAGTTTCTTTTGGAACGCTCTCTGGATCGTACATACGGTTCCTGAGCTTTGCATCTGCAGATGAGTTTAGGAAGAAGCTGATGAGTGTTGTTCCGGAACGGATTGACATTGGAGCGGTATACAATGGCCGGCCTGCAAAGCATAGCTGTCCGAGGGTTGTTGGTAAGGAACTTGTTTTTGATATTGATTTGACGGATTATCCCAGGAACTGCTGTGAGGGCAAGGCTGTTTGTGAGCAATGCTTTGTGCTTGTGAAGGCAGCAATCAGGATCCTTGACTACTCTCTACGCCATGAGTTTGGCTTCTGCAGGATTGGGTTTGTGTTTTCTGGAAGGCGAGGGGTGCATTGCTGGGTGTTTGATGAGGCAGCACGAATGCTTAGCGATGCAGAACGAAACGAGGTCGTGAAGTACTACGACAGTGTCATTAGCAGCAGGGAGTATCCTGAGCAGTATGCAAGGATATTGCGTGAGTGTGCTATGCATACAGAGAGCAGAGGGCCCAGCGAGGCATGCATGAATGATGCAGAGATGTTTGAAAAGATGTATCTGAGGATAGATCGCGAGGTGACGCAGCGAAGAAAGCATTTGATAAAGATGCCGTTTTCGGTGCACCCGAGCACTCTTGCAATATCTGTGCCGATAGATGCTCTGAATGTTGACTCAATGAAGCTGTCTGAGTTTCCTAGGCTGAAGGATGTGTTGGAGTCGCCTGAGGTGCTTGAACCCTATATTGCTATTGCAGAGCTGTGGATTGAGCGAAGTGATGTGTGAATGGAGATGATAGTTGAGTATATGCATGCGTATGAATTATAAAGTATTTGATGTGCATGTGAAGCCGGATAGTGCCTGTGGAAGATATTTGAATGCCAGTGGATGCAAGATGCAGGGATGAGATGTGGGAAGAATTGATCCCTGGGATGGACGCAGAGGTGTACAGGATTTTGAAGGAGGAAGGAGATGTTGAGGAGCGGATGTGCAGGATACTGAGCTTGAAGGATAGTATGGGATGCAAGGAAGCCGTGGCATATTTATTGAAAGAAAGCATGAATATGATTGCAGTGAGTCCAGAGATGCATTGGAATGTGCTGAGCAAAGTGCCGACAGACTTTATTGGTGGGTTTATGCCTGGGCTGCTATCGTTATACTTCAATGTGCTGAAGGATGTAAAGACACATGCACGGACAAGGAGAAGTGTAATACGATCGATGGAGTATGTGATAGAGAGTGTAGATGTGTTTGATGATGAGTCCGAGAGAAGGATCTACGAGTTTTTCTACTTCAACCGGAATGCAGAGTATGAGAATGGATATCGTGTGTGCTACAGAAAGCTGAAGAAAGAGGGAAGAGCTTTTTTTGCATCTGAGCTTTTGCTGCTGGGGCATCAGCTTGAGGAAGAGGATTATGAAGTGATAAACAGCAAGGCTGTTGAGCTTTTCAGTCCAAGGCTTGTTGGCCGACTTTTGGAAGACGGTAGATATGTACACTCTGAGGAGGTGTTTGAGATGCTTGTGCAGATGTATGAAAGAGGCGAGGAAGTAGGCAAGACTATTTATGAGATTCAACGAATGTGTGGGATACGGAGGGTTTTGGAGCTGTGTGTAGTGAATGAAGAGAATACGCCGGCGGTTCTGCACACAAACAGGATAGAGAAGATTGAGAGGTACTTGGCGGAGACCGACTGGATTCCGATGCATGTTGAAGTAGTTGGAAAGTATCTAGAGATATGTAAGAGTGCTGATGAAGTGATTCGTAGCATGCTTTTTCGAAGGATGGGATTGCATAAGATGGTCTCTGAGCATTATGACGAGCTTGTTGAGTATGGATCCAGGATGATGACAACGAATGCACAGGTTCTGATCAATCTAATTGGAATAGAGTTCCGGCCAAGAGTGAGCGATGTTGTTCTTGAGGTGATAGAGCTTGTGAGTGAAACAAGGAGTGTAGAGATATTGAGCCAGCAGCTATACTTTGTAAAGGCTGTTGTTGAGAAGCGTTGCATGCGAAGATCGATTCTGCGGAGAATATTTGATGGGCTGGTGTATCTTGACAATGCAGACTACAGAGTCAGATGCATGAAGTATGAGATTATTGCCGAGATACTTGACCAATATGTATTAATGGATATAGTTATTGAGGGGAGATACAGTAAGCATGATGGCTTCACCACGGAACGAAATGAAGATTCAGGAAATAGAATATATAAGATATGCAAGTTGAATGGCTACCCAGATGTGCCTGATGGATTGGTGGATTCCGAGTGCATTGATGAAGACAATGTGAATGTGCTTGTTGCTACGCTGTGGAATGAGATTACAACAGTGCCTGTTGAGGGAGAGATGAAGGCGGTTTGTATTCTTTTAAGAAAGATGATTGATGTGAGTGGGAAGTTTATTGAATCGAGGATCATGAAGTCTGGATTTGTTCTGTGCCTGATGGATCAGCACAAGGTGTGCGGATTTAACGAGACAAAGAGAAATGCAGTGAATGCGCTTCTTGGGCTGCTTGAGATGCTTATGAGCTATGAGCTTACAAAGCCAATGTTCCGCAGAGTGTTTGTGTTTTTAGTAGAATACTTCCATGTGATTGATGTTACGCATCTGTTGGAAGTAATGATTAGGAATGACAGATACTACTGCTTACTCATATACCATGAGCTTTATGTAAATGCATGTAAGGCTCCATCCAGGCAGCTTAAAGCCTTTCTGATGAAGAGCTTAAGAAAAAAGTAAATTATCAATGTTCAGCACAGTTCTTGTATAGGATGTTTTATTTGATGCCCAAGTCGATTTTTGCATTTTCCAAATCATCCTTGGCAATGGGCTCGCCATCATCTATTTCCATTAGTCTTGCTAGCGAATCGCCAATGCTTAGTCTGCTGCCTAGTCTTTTTGCAATGATTGAGCAGCAAAACATGATCTTCTTTGTCACACATGAGTCCCAACACGCCAGCACATCAATACTATCAAGCACGCCAAGCAGTAGCTTCTTGTATCTTTCATCTCCGTGCTCATTTGCAAGCTGGATGCAAATCTTGTAGAAAAGCTGCTGCGACCCATTCATACACTTGCTGTTTCCTATCCAGTATAAAGACTGGCTTACAAAGACCCTATGCGAACACTCATCGATTGCCCCAAGAATATCGCAAAATACCTCAATCAAAATGCCACTGTCCTCATGAAACATCTCAAAAAACATAACACTACAATACTGCTTTAGATGATCATCATCTGTGCAGTAGTATTTTGCAAGTGCAAACCTTAAAAACATTACCTTAAGCTCTTTGCTAGGCACACATCCTGATAAAATGAGCTTCGACACCGGAATGATCATTTGCTCGTCATCAAATCCTGCCAATATCTCCCTGGCATACTCTTCTACAGACGCCACAACCGTCTGGTTTCTTGTGCAAATCGCAAGATCCACACACATGCACCACACTCGGTGGCTATCTCTCATCCCATCAATAAGGCCCTGAACAATCAGTGCATTCTCTCTTTCTAATACATAGAAAAACCCTATCTCAAGCACCTCCACAAGCATTCCTCCATTCTTGACATTCGGCACCACGATTTCATCTACAATCGCATTGTGAAGGCTGCTGAATGGGCGGATGTGCCTTATTGCCTGCTTGCACACCATCAGGCATATTCCAGGAGACACATGCATGCTCTTCTTGACCACGCTTCCTATAAAAGTATTCAGATCGGTGTCACAAACCACGCTTGTTATCTGCATTGCCTCCTCAACAACTTCTTCAACAATCTCCTCTGCGCAGCTCTTTGCAAGCAGCTTGTAGACTATTCCTTGTATACACCTCCTTGATGCATCACTGAAGAGATCATACATCTTTGCAATCCGGAACAGATTCCTCATTCTATTCACCATCTCTCTTCTACTCTCCTCATTTGTGCATTCCATCACAGACATGCACGATTCATACATCACCGATACAAACTCGTCTATTTCCGGCAAGCACAGCTCGTCTCTCCCAACCTTTTCCTCAGCATACAGCAGCTCTGTCAAGCACAGAAACGTGTTTTTTTCAGTAGGCCGGCTTATTACATATCCTGGGTCTCTAGAACACCCCACCCTATCAAAAACACACCTCAGTAGCGTCTCCAGGTGTCCTAGTGCGCTTCTGTCGTAAAAATCATCCACCAGCATTTCTAGTTGCTCAGGAACACGGTATGCAGCCAAAATCGCATCCACAAGCTTACCTTTCGCATCAAAATCTCTCTCAGCAACCGCCCTTTCCATCAAAAATACTCTTCTGTCCACCGGTAGCTCTTTCAGATCAATCTTAGGCAAGCAAAGGCTATAGAACATCTTCCTGATAGACTCGTCTGTGTCCATGCATCTTTCAACAACACAATTGTACGTACTTTTCTCAACAGATATCACACTTAATGTAAACATCCTCACATCATTGTTTGGATCATACCTTAGAATGTCCTTGAACAGATTGACAACCTTGACATTTCTATTCAGCTCCGATGCTTGAAACCCAGACAGAACCCGGACTGTTTCTTTTCGCACGCTCTTGTCCTTATCAAACAGTCTCTCGCAAAGCTTCTGGATTACTCCACGATCCACAGTGCTTGGATGCAATACATCAAGCAGAAGGCTAATTATTGGCAACGAGTTCCTCCTTACCTTTTGCATCCGCGACTCTAATGCCTGCAAAAGGTACGAAAATACTTCCACAACAAATCCTTGGCTGCTCGGATCTTCAGAAAGATCCTCAAATGTCCTTCTCAAGAAGTTCAATATGCGCAATGGAATCGATGGCTTCCTGCACACAAGGATTGTGTTCAGTATTCTACAGAATTCATCAAGAAGCTCGTGGGAGCTCAGCATCCCAACGACCTCGTTCAACGACTCAGAATATCTTTTTGAGTCACATCCCTGTATTTCGTTGAAAATCAGCTGCATCCTACAGATATCAGAACATAGATTTGTTTGCTCCATCAAATAATAGGGCACATAGCCTTAGACAATATTTGTTTCAATTGCTCAATACTTCACGGCACTTTGCACTTCTCTGTCTTCTGCAAACAATCGCAAATTCCTGCCGCTGCTTTTCCCAACACACTTCTAATATGTAGAGCCATTCAGTAAAATCAAGATCGTTTAATCAGTAGGATCATAGTCTGCAGGAACAAGCTGCTTTTTCGTGTTGAGCAGTTTCGAAAAAACAGGGAACTCAACATTCTCGTTGCTGAAGTCAATTGTCTTTCCTCTCAGCAGTTTGTCTTTAGAAAGCATCTCGACACTGATTATGTCTACGTCGGCCCTCTTCAGGTGGTTCCTTCCAGAAAGCTCCCTCAGCATGTAATCAACTGCGGCGCATCTGCTGACTGCCCTGCACTCCTTGTACGAGTTGTGTATTCCCTTCTTGCTTCGGTACACAAACCTTACTCCGTAGCTCTGAACCTCCTTAACCTCTGGCTCTGGAACCACTGCACAATCAATAATAAGCCCTTTCGATGCCTTTATCTTGTATTTCTTCTCAATAATCTTGAAAAACAGCGCCTTTGCAAACACGTGGTTACTCGTAAAAATAGTGGCCACATATACCTGCGGCCTTGGATCAGCTGCAGTGGGCAAGGCACTTCCATGTATCCTGTACTCCCTCGTGATGGGAACGGTCATATCCACTTTTGAAAACACGTTCGGCTTCAGAGACTTTGTGTCCATGGGGGCAATTTTTTTTAATGTCAAATGCAGAGTGTCAGGCTATGCACGACTCCATCGTCGGTTCAATGCAGCACATGCACAACAACGCCTGCATGCGGATCCACAGATACATATATTATGCTGTCCACACCCCATTCATGGATGAGCTTATGAATAGAAAACACCAGCTGCAGAGCAAACTGGACATGCTTCATGCAAGAAAACAATCAAAAATAGACCGCGATGCACTTCTTGTGCAGAAAATCAGTCAGCAGAAAGAGACGCTTGCACAGCTAAAAAGAGACCTCAGAGACACACATGCTGTTATTATTGAAAAGCGGAGGCTGCTCGGCAAACTACAAAGCGAGCTTGAAGCATACAAGAAAGACGTAATAAAGAATGCAGAGCAGAAGCTGGAGGCACAATACATTGGGATTGTCGATGACATGAACAAGATCTGCCCTTCAATGACATTCTCCACGTTTGGCGAGTTTGCTAAGCTGAGAGCCCTTATTGACAAGAATGTTTTTAATAGGCTTGGAAAGAGGCTGAATGCAATGCATACCCAAGAGAAGGAAAAGCTCAAAGCATATATCCTGAGCCAAATAGACAAGAGGATGGATGGAAAGAGAGTTTTGCATGAGCTTGTGTTTTACATGAGGTTTCTGCGCAAGTATGATGAGTACTTTGAGGAGGATGCCATGGGAGAGTACATGCACGGGCGTCTTTTGTCTGGGTTTGAGTACCACTTCATGAGCGATAGGGAGTCGAACAGACTGGACAGGCCGGAGTGGTTTCTGGACTATCTTCGGCAGAGAATCAAGGAGGGGAAGGAATTGTTCAGCATGTATATGCATGAGAAGACGCCCAGCGAATCTGGAAATCCTAGTGTACAGAGCGGATTTAAAAGCTTTGTGAGCAAGGCGATGGAGCTGATAGACATGAAGAGCAAAGAGGTTTCAGAATGCAGTAGTAAGCAGAAAAGAAACCTGATGCTGCATTTTGGAAAGGAGGTGATTAAGTTTTGCAATGAGGTGTACAGGAAGTATGAGATTGCTGTTAAGATTGCGAGCATTGGAGAGATGCTGCGCAAGGAGCAGAGGATGTACTTCCGCAAGCGAATTTGTGCAATCCACGAGATGAAGTACAAAAAGTGGTTTGAAGGATATAAGGACGTAACTAGGGAGTGCTTGATGTACATGCATGGGTTTCGGATGCTGGATATTGGGAGTGTGATGGATGAGATAGTTGGATGGATTGTTGAGTATAACAGGGTGTTTCTGGAAAGCCTGAGATATGTCAATAGGAAGGAGATTGATGTGTTATGCAGGTCGTACAGTGAGTTTGAGATGTACAAGGAGTTTCTGGTTGAGCAGGAGAGCGAGATTGTTTTTGACAGCAAGCTGAGCATCAGTGAGGATGTGCCAGAGATGGAAGGAAGCTGTAGGGAAGTGTTGCATGATGCAGTGCAAGGGTCGCTTGAAAGCGTGTCGAGGTTTAATGTTGAGAGCTTCAGAATGATTATGACGCTGGCAGCAAATGATGCAAGCAGCATTTTGCGAATATTAGGGCGATTTGTGTATAATCCAAGCGGCACAGCACGGAACCTGATTGCTGAGGTTGGACGAGAGCTGGACGATTATAGGCAGTGTGTGTCGTTTTCAGCTGTTAGACAGTGCTTTAAGGAGAGGATTGATGAGTATGTGCTTGAGGAAGTGATATTGAAGCATAGGCTTGATGGAGAGCAGTATTTTGAATTGACTGACATGATCAGTAGATTGAAAGAGGTGTTTGAGGAGGAAGAATGGAAATGTGAGATTGGGTGCAGGTATGTTGGGGATATATTTAATGGAAGGGAGAAAGACGAGCCACTGTTTAAGATTATCCAGAATTTGTATGAGTAGTGAGAATGTAAAATTAATGAGTGGTGTTTGTGAAGCATGAATGAACAGCTGTATTGCAAGCGAATTATGAAAGTGCCATGACGATAGGTGATGAATGGAGGTGCTGATTAGTGGGTGTGCAATAGGGGAGATGTAAGCTATAGGCTGTATTAGGTAATTGATAATCCCTTTATGAAATTGTGATGATCAGTTGCGTGGCGGAACCCTAGATTGCAATGAAACTATGGACGATTGGGAGGTTTGAACTCAATGAGTGGACGTTAAGGTTTGTGGTTGCTATACTGACCACGAGTGGAGTGATTGTGTATATGCTGTGTTCGTATGTGGATCATGCGTATGGAGTCCACATGCTAGGAGCAGAGTTGCAGACGAGCACATACATCTATGCATCTGATGAAGGTAGGAAGAGTTTGACAGCGAGCAAGGATGATCTTGATGGGACGTATTTTAGTTTATTGCTTTTGAACTTTGACAGGAACAAAGTGGCGATGGTCCTGAATGGGACGAAGCTGAAGACGATAGAAAGCAGCAACTATGTGAACAGGATAGTCGAGCTTGTTGGGAATGACACCACGCAGTTTATGTTTCTGTTTCTGTCGTATCTGATTGGGTCGAGGTATTTTCCGGTGGGAAGTATCAGCTTTATGATGAATTCTGAAGGGATATGGTATAACGGAGTCCGTCATGAGAGCCATCCGTTTGTATTCAGAAGGATATGCACGATGTTGATAAGGGACATCAAATAAATATAGTATTCAGAGGTTTTTTTGGTGTTTATTGAGGATATCGATGAAGTTAGCATAGAGGAGGAATACTTCGTCGATTGTGGCGGAGACGGACTGCATTGCGGAGACCGAGTCTGAGCACTCCTGGAGTGATAGGCATATTGCGGATAGCTTTGAGTCGAGGAGTTTTGAATGAGTGGCGATTTCCTTGAGTTTCTGTAGCTGTAGCTGTGGCATGGGCATTTTGAGTTGATGGATAATGAATGATGCGATGTGTGGAGGCAAGGTGGGAACATGAATGCAAAAGGCAGTAGCGGTGTTCAAGCAATGCAAGAATGCAGTTGGGGTGGTGGGAAGTGCAAAAGTTGTGTGTATGCGGTGTGAAGGGACAAAAGGGCACGACAGGAGTCGAACCTGCGACCTATCGATCTGCAATCGATTGCTCTACCGTTGAGCTACGAACCCACCAACATCCCAGTCGCTTCCTGCCCATCTAATTCCGCCATGGACTCATCATGTGTGCATGCTACATACCCATGCATCACAAGTCAAGTCCGCTCGATCCGAACACTACTCGCCCACGAGGATCTCCCACACGGCTTGCAACTCCATTCACACTCAAATGCTTGAAATGCAACACATACATACACAAAAACAAAAGACACAATGCATTCAAGGAAACCGCGCATGGAAAGGACTATCTAGGCGTACCAAGCTACCGCTTCCACATCAAATGCACTGCATGCAAGCAAACACTCAGCATACTGACCGATCCAAAGAATGGAGCATATGTTCCTGAAAGTGGATGCGTGAAGGTGGAGGAGCAATCATCACCGAGTATGGAAGCAACTGCAGAGCTGCCTCAGATCACATCCAGCAGATTGCGTTCAGAATCAAGCATGAAGGACCAAATAAGCACTCTTCTTAAGCAGTCCAGGCATGTGAGCTCTGCAAATGCACGTTTAGACCATAGAAACAGGGACAGCCAATCTAGTTAAGCTTTTTATTCAAATATCTATAAGGCTCGTAGCTCCTGGTATGCATCTCGTTTGAGATGTTGTGGATCTTGTAGTGCTGAGAGAGATTGTCTGACCTGGAAAACGACTTTGAGCATCCGGGAAACTTACACTTGTGGGGCCTTTCTCCAGTATGCATGAGAATATGCCTCTTCAAATGCTCGTAGCGCTTAAATGCACGCTTGCAGCTGTTAAAGCTGCATACAAACGGTCGATCCTTCATGCATCCTACGGATCTTGGCTGCTTGGTTCGGCATGCCCGATGCCGTTGCACATCCTCAAGCCCGTCGGCCACCTTTTTGTGGTCTTCGGATGTGTATATGTTCTTTATGATACTGTCCATGACGCTGTCTGTCCATTGATAGTCGAATGGATACAGTTTGTTGACACCGGAGGAAAATGCCTGGTCGTCAACAGGGCTTTTTGAGTCGCAATAGCCTCTGGAGAACATAGATTCAGATCCGATCTCATGACCAGCATACTGGCTGCTGGATGTCTCGTCCTTTTCAAACACCTTATGATTGCAGTATGCACTGAACTTTTCGGCAAAGCAATTGTCAAGAAGGCTGCTCTCTACTGCCTCGAATCCCTCATGGCTGAATACAGAGTCGAACTGTTTGATTCTGGTCACGAATCCATTTTTCCTGAGATAGTCTTCCACGCTGTTTGGGTCATTGCTCAGCCCGAAGCACGAAAGAAGGAACGGAATGTCCGAAAGATCGAAAAACACCTGCTTGTCTAGCTGAAACACATAAATCTTTGCTTCGGTACCGTATATGGCAACTTCGTCTACTTGCTTGCCTGGGCTTGTTTTTGATATTGTTTTTTGTATCCACGACCTGAAATCGAGTTTCATGTACGGTTTCATCTCTCGCTGTTTGACAAGCTTTTGAAGTTTTTAACAATTCATATACCAATAGGTACGGGCATGCGCTGGAAATTACACCAATGAGGATGGCGGATTGCCATTGGGCGGTTGAATGCAACTTGGCTTATATGGCGCATGAATGCGTTGTTTTCAATGGAAAACGATTGGTTAATGTGGCAAGCGATGCAGTTGGACAGAGCAGACTTGAGTGGTTTGGCTGAATAAAAATATTTTTTTGCACCAGGGGTTGTAGACATCTACCGCCATTGATTTGGAACAACACAGAGAAGATTAGCATGGCCCCTGCGTAAGGACGGCATGTATAACTTGAGAGGTTGCCGGATGTAGATCCGGCATTTATTGTAATGTTTGTGTTTTGATGCGTTCTTGCATTGCATGACTGTGCCCTTGGAAGTAAAAATAAGCATTGCCACCCATGCATATGTTTAACGAAGTTTTTTGTAGGATTGCAGCAAGGATTGCAGAGGTGTCCAGGTTTTCGTTTGATGAGATAAACAGATGTATGGAAAAGTCTAATCACAGCAAGAAGCAAGACGTGACGCTGTTTGTAATCAAGATTTCGAATGCACCTGATGCTGATGCCAAGGAGCTTTTTGATGCAATCGTGGATGCAAGGATTGAGCTTATTGAAAATGTAAGCATGAAGGGATCATCAATCAGCTTTGATGTGAACAAGAGGGCGATAATGAAAGATGTGCTTTGTGCAATCCAAAGCAAGCAAGACAAGTTTGGAAGCAATGAAATAGGCAAAGGCAAGAGAATGGTAGTGGAGTACAGCAGTCCGAATATAGCAAAGATATTCCATGTTGGGCATCTCAGAACGACTATACTGGGGCAGTTTATTGTGAATCTGTTGAGGGAGTGTGGCTATGAAACAACAAGCATAAACTTTTTTGGAGATTGGGGAAAGCAGTTTGGGCTTGTTCTGCTTGGATATATGAAGCATGGAAGTGAGGAGGAGCTGGAAAAGGATCCGCTGAGGCATCTGTTTGATGTGTATGTGAAGATAAGCAGAGATGCAAAGGATGATGCAGGCGTGGATGCAGAAGCGAGAGAGATATTCAGGAAGATGGAGGAGGATGGAGACGAATGGTGTATGGGGCTGTGGAAGAAATTCCGGATGCTAAGTGTGGAGAAGTACAAGCAATTATATAAGAGACTGAATGTTGAGTTTGATGTGTATTCGGGAGAAAGCATGTACAATGAGAGAGGAAAGCAGATTGTGGAGACATGTGGCCTGGTGAAGACGGATCCTGATGGTTCAAAGGTGTTTGACTTTGGAGACAATCAAAAGGTGCTGGCAATGAAAAATGATGGAACAACGCTGTACATAACGCGTGATATTGCCGCAGCAAAAGAAAGGCTTGAGGAGTATATGCCTGAGAAGATCATATATGTTGTATCAAGTGAACAGAACAAACACTTTGAAGATCTGTTCAGGACATTAAAGCTGCTTGGGCTTGATGAAAGCAGGTTCCAGCACGTAAACTATGGGCTTGTGGCAGGCATGTCAACAAGAGCTGGCAAGGTTGAGTTTCTTGAGGACATAGTTGATGAGGCAACAAGCGTAATGAAGAGGGTTATGCAAGCAGATGACAGCAGGAGTTCGTTTACACCCGAGGAGATTGACTCGACAGCAGAGATCCTCGCTCTCTCCACATTACTTGTGATGGACTTTACTGCGAAGAGGATCAAGGGATATGAGTTTGACGTTGAGAAGAGGGCAAGGAACACGTCTGGAACGGGCCCGTATCTACAGTATGCACATTGCAGACTGAAGAGCATTGAAATGCGTAACAATGAGGTTGACTACAGCAGCATAGACGCAATTGACTTCTCGTTGATATGTGTACCTGAAGTGTTTGAGCTTGTATATAAGCTGCTATGGTACGAGCATGTTGTTGAGAAATGCCTGGATGATTATGAGCCGTCGAGGATTGTTACATATCTTCAAGATCTTGCTGGATGCATCAACTCAGCAATTAATAGTCTGCGAGTCATGGGTGTGGACAAGGAACTTGCGAAGGCCAGGCTCCTTGTGCTGTCATCAGCAAGGATCGTTCTACAAAATGGATTGAAAATCTTGGGAGCAACACCGCTCAGTAAAATGTGATTGGATGCTCAGATCTACACGATATGCATCATTTGAATAAAAGTTAGCATTTGATTTTGTAAAATATAAACCAGTGCATCATTTGTCCTTCAGAATGAAGCCTGGAATATCAAGTTATCTACTACATCGAGTAAATGTCACAATGAAGGACAGTAGGCAGATCGAGGGCACGATGCTATCTGTCGATACAGACATGAATGTGGTTCTTGAAGACAGCGAGGAGTTCAGATGCATCAAGAAGCAACCCGAACAGCAAAGGCGAACACTAGGGTTGGTGGTCCTAAGAGGAGAATTCATAGTCGACGTGCAGATTATAAGCAAGCCTGCAATCCAAAACACATAGATTTCTTATAGAATAGAATAATAAAGTGATAATCGCATTTAATTGATCTTATATTGTATAAGTATCAGCTATATTCTTTAATCATCAACTATGATGCCAATTCAATTATTTAGTGTGAATTTGCTGTTCTTCCACACAAGAAATGCTTTGCCATCATAAACTATTCTGCTCCGGAGTTCCTAATCCCATTGATGTTGGATATTTAGAAACAGAAAAGACGGTAGTTAATCAGAGAGTGCTCATCCACTCACTGCTTTTGCTTGCTGCATAAGCTCCCCGGTTTGCAGCGCTGTTGGTATTTTTATGTCGATAATGTTCCAACAACTCCGTCATAATAATGCACAGGCAAGAATGAAATAAATTACCTAAATAAATTCCCAAGCGTTTTGTTGATTCAAGCAATAAGCATTCTTTATAATTATCAAGCTGCTAATAAACAGCACAATCGCTGTAATAGTTATTATCCAGTTTAGCATATTCTTGGGCTTTGTCATCGTCCTCAGATCAAATGTAAACATGTTTATAAATGCCATAGCTATTCCAGCCGCTGCATATCCATAAGACACATTTCTATTATCAATCTTCGACATCATATTAAGAATAACCGTTGCCAACATTATTAAAGCTCCTACTCCTATACTTATACTCCTGACAAGATTGCTCGTGTAGCTCAGGTCTCCATTAAATATCGCCTTCACACATACATAGAATATGTACGACAGCACTAATCCAGATGTTTTTCCAAGCCCTCCTGTATTTATTTCCTGGGGTTGGAATGGTAGGCTTTGGATTGTGGACAAGACAAATCGTCTCGAAAGCACCAGCATCGCAACCAGCATCAATCCAACGAATACTACGCTCGGATTCGTCTTGATATTCCGTATAGAGTAGCTTATCTCCTTTCTTCGCATCGCCATAGATCCACATACACTCAATAAAAATGACCCTGCTGCAACCCACTTGTCAATATACGAATTTACCTTATTAAATACATTGGGGGTTTTCCATATTCCAGACATCGTTGTTAGTAGAACAAGCGATACATATGTTATAAACAAAACCGATGTAACTATCTCAAGCCAGTTGATTGCATAATTCTTATAGTTAACTATTCCAAACACACCACCATCATACTCGATCTCCGTATCATTAATCTCATCCTTATCAATAATATTAATTTCAATGTCTTCGATAAACGCTGGCATCTTCAAGTAAAGGGCGCTTCATTTATTCTTAAATATTATAACTACTTAATTAACCATATCCATCCACTAAAGCTGCTGCTCATCATTATACATTTCAGGTAAATCAGGTAGCAATTTAATTATAGACGTATCTCTTGAATGCATACCAAATAATCCAAATGAATATATGGCCAGCATCCAATCAGGCAGGCACAGACTCCTTGCTGCACATTCTTGTTATACCTTGGCTCTCTCAAGAACAAGTCGTCTCCCATACAAATGCGTACTGCTACCAAAATATTCAATAGCACCAGAAACATCCTCAGGCGTTTCCATCGTTACAAAGCAGAATCCTCTACTCGATCCCTCTCGTTTTATTGGAATCCGGACATCCTTGACATGAAACTCACTAAATATCTTCCGTATATCCTCCTTTGTTGCTTGGAACGGAACATTCCTTATTAACAGCTTGTTTCCAAGCTTATGCTTGCTCCTCAGATCACTTGTGTCTTTACTTGCTGCTGCATTGCTTTCCTGCTCATCTTTGCATCCATCTACACACTTCTCGGGTACTCCACAGATGGGTGCGTATTCACAGTAGACAACTGCCTCCTTGATCCTTCTCAAGCTCAGCTTTCTATAGCACCGTAGTGCATCATCCTCCTCGCTAAACTTCAAAAGCGCTAGGCATTTCGATGGCGAAATACAAACCCTACATCCCTCGCTTATATATTCCAAGCACTTCATCAGCTCAGCACAGCGGACAACCAGTGTCTTCTTGTCTATGGCTCCAGTAAGCGCATTCAAGAATATCCCGTTGCTTTCAAGAAACTCCTTTGTCTGCTGGACCAGATGTGTCTCAATCCGTGCCATCCTTGCTCCAAGATCCTTGTCATCTACATCAACAACATCTCTGACTCCAATGCGTTCGTTTTCGCAGATTTTCTTGACTACTTGTTCAAAGCTAAAGAAAAGCATGTTGTAATGCTCTTGCGTACCATTACTCTTGGATTCTCTCCATGGCGACACTTTTGCATTCATTCCTCCAACAAACCTCATCTTCCTGTATGCTTCTACTGCTGAATATCCGCTGGAAAATACAACACATGCACTTCGTCCTATTTTTCTTTCGGTTATTGTGACTCGTTCTACTTCACCATACGCCTCGGCCTCTTTGCGTACGAAGTCCTCGCCAACATCTGCCGGAACATTCTTGACAAATATGCTTCTGGAATACTTGATCTTCCTTGTGTCTGATTCACACTCTCTCACCTCGTCCTCCTTTGCAGCCTCACATCGTATTCTCTGCTTGTTGAAAAACGATCCGTCGTGGTGGCGTATTGCATCCATGCCGGCACTCTCGTCGAGATATCCAACGAAGCATGTTCCTTTGCACTTGTTGCTGCTGTCCATCACCATGAACACGTCGCTGATCCTCCCATGCTTTGAGAATGCTCTTTCAACATCATCTTTCGTTGTGCACTGCGGCAGATTCTTTATGATTATCCTCATCGAGTCGATGGAGTACGATTCTTGTAAATTGTTGCGTGGATCATTTTTGTACTGTGCGATCCTCAGCCATGGATGACGCAGAGTCTTCAGATATAGTGTTGGGCGTGGCAATGGATGAAGATAGCAGCGACGTGGCGCTTGTGAACACCGCAAAGCATTCTGCACGCCGAAGTTCTGCACGAAGGACATCCATGGCATTGGCAAAGAATGCACAGAATCGTTATAGTGCAGAATCAGACACTCACAAGCCAAAATACAAGCGAGAAAAGCGAAAAGAAAGTCCTGGAGCATTAAGAAAGCCACCACAAACAAGAAAGAAGCTAAAGCCAAATGCAATGCCTGAGACACCGAGCAGCCCAGTTGCTGTAGGCCATGCGCTTGAGACCGAAGGCCAGGTGAAAGTCAAAGTAGTCGATTTGAATGGCGAAAGAGTGGTTTACCTGGAACGCACAGACACACTGGATAAGATTTACCGAATGTATTGCAAAAAAGACCCAAATGTAAGGATGAAGCATAAGTCGATCCCTGTCTCAAGACATCTAACACTCGATGAGATCAACTTTGACGAGAACCACTGCATCAGCATACACGGTCTGAATGGCGTTGCCAAGGAGCCTGATGAAATACATGTAAGGGTGAATCTCAGCACGGAAAACACCATTGAGATGGATGTTGGGAAAGGCCTGAGGGTTGATGAGGTGCTAGCAATTGCAGCCAAGGACAGCCATGCAGGAAATATACTTGTGAGAAACGGCGAGGTGCTGCCGATGGAGATGCTCATTGGGAGTGTGGTGGATTCTGGAGATGTGCTTGATGTTGTGAGTATGAGCGATCTTGAGTACTTGATATAGGCCTGTGCATGGCCTCACTGGGCTGTATATTTTGGATGACAGCAGGGGTTGAGATGTTGAATGTGGAAGGGAATGCAGACAAGAAATGTTTTCGAGTGTTTTGCGTAAAGGAGAAGGAGGAAATTGCGAAGATCATAAGGCAGGAAGTTGATGAGGAGGCTACGCGGGGTGCCTTGAACTTGATGGGGATGTATAAGTGATTGTAAGCATGCGTGAACGATCATAGATGCTGTGTCATGTGAATCGAATAAAAGCGAAGAAGCTCGAGAGAATTCTGAATTCCGAAGGAGGCAGTGCAAATGCATAAAAGGATTAATTAAAATATTGATATTAATGTAGAAAGATCTGGGATGTGAATGGAAGGACGTTTGAGGCTTTACAACTCTATTACGAAGACAATGGAGGACTTTGTGCCAGGGAAGGATGGGGAAGTGAAGATGTACATATGCGGTCCGACGGTGTATGACTCGCCGCATATAGGGCATGCAAGGACATATGTGATGTTTGATGTGATTAGGCGAGTGCTGAGGGACTATATGAGGTACAATGTGGAGTTTGTGATGAACATCACGGATATTGATGACAAAATCATCAACAGGGCGAGAAGTCTAGGCGTACCGATTGGGGAGATTACGAAGAAGTATACCGAGGAGTTTTTTGATGACATGAAGACATTGAATGTTGAGTATCCGCTTGTTGTGACATATGTAACAGCATATGTTGAGAAGATTGTGAGGTTTATTGAGGATCTTGAGCAAAACGGATATGCATATGAAAGTAACCGGAGTGTGTACTTTGATTTGGCGAAGTACAAGGAGAAGCATGAGTACCCGGTGATGAGGAACTCTGAAGGAATCAACTCTGAGGGGGATGATAACAGCGATAAAAGGAATGCATGCGACTTTGCTCTGTGGAAGAGGGCGAAGGAGAATGAGCTAGCATATGAATCGAGGTGGGGAGAGGGAAGGCCTGGATGGCACATTGAATGCAGTGTGATGTCGAGCGATGTGCTTGGAGATAGCCTTGACATACACGCGGGAGGGATTGATCTTGGGTTTCCACATCATGAGAATGAAATAGCGCAATGCCAGGGGTATTTTATGAAGAAGCCGTGGACAAGGTGTTTTTTACACACTGGGCACCTGAATATCAACGGAATGAAGATGTCGAAGTCTCTCAAGAACTTTACGACGATTAAGGAGATGCTGGCAAGGGCAAGTGCACGGCAACTTAGGATAATGTTTCTGCATTATCATTGGAACAAGGACATGAACTATGAAGAGGAGCAGTTGAGGTTTGCAGAAAGTGTTGATAAGAAGATCTCGAACTTCATGTCGGTCACAGAAAGCGTTGGAAAAGGTCTGTGGCTGGCTACTGAGCTGAATGAAGCAGGAAGAGAAACTATTGCAGAGCTGAGGAGCACACAGAGAGCAGTGCATGCTGCAATACTAGACAACATTGACACTCCGACAGTGATGAGGAGGATCATGGAGATAATTAACTTTACAAACACTAGGATGTGGGACGCGCCTGCAAGCGTCATTATATCTGTCAGGAAGTATGTTCGCGGTATTTTGGATGTGCTTGGGCTCTGTGAGGAGCAGATTGAAACCTCTGCCAACGAGGATTTAATTGCACAGATGATCTGTGAGTTTAGGACAGATGTAAGGCGAATGGCTAGGCAGAAAGAGCATCATTCAAAGTTTCTCGAAAGATGTGATAAGGTCAGAGACGATATAAAGGAGCATGGATATTTGATTGAGGACAAGAATTCCGAATCCATCTTGAGGAGGAAGTAGTTTTTCATATGTTTCTGGAAAATCAGGAGAACAAGTACTAAAGCTTTATTGATTTTTTTGTGTTTTGGGGCCATGCATGAATTCCTCGACGAATCTATTCCTGTCCTTCGCGGACCATATTACTTGTGGAAGGCCAGAGAGCCTGCTGATGGCTTGAATATCCATGCTTTGCTTAAATTTGACATCCACAGAGCTGTTGGATGCAAGGAATCTTAGCATGAACCAAAAGCAACTACCATACAGGTTTACACACTCTCCGTTGTATTTGATTCCACAAACATGATCCACACGGATATTTCTTGAAAACTGCAGAACTGCCCTGTTGTTTGTTCTGCATCCCTCGGGAAACACAACGCATGGCTCGACCACATTCGATGTGAACTTGTTTGAGCTGGCATCAGCATAGCCTGTTTCAGTAACATAGTAAAAGTTTCTTATTCCAGTCAAGTGTCGCAATACATACATGTCAAGAAACGACGACGAATTTGCAGCCAAGATTCGTGGCCTTCCTGCTGCATTCGATCTGATCCTGATAAGATATTTCACGACATCGATGTTTGTAGCAAGCATAACCACCAGTAGCGGTATCTTTAGCATTGCTTTAATGTACTCAAGTATCGAATACGACGCCCTTTTTCGATCGATAAATGGATTTACTCCAGAAAGAGGATCGTTGTATGCAGAATACTTTTCCATCAAGGGTGCAAACATTGAACCAAATACTCTAAGTATACAAAATTGTACATGACTATTACACAATATTCAACATTCACGTTCCATCACATGCTCATAACACTACAGCATCAGATAAAATAGAGTTTAATTGTTTGGAACTTCTCCACATGCAGATATCTGAATCTTGTAGCCATCTTTGACCTTTCCACTCTCCGTACCATACTTTGCAATATTGTGGACAACACTCATTCCCTCAACAACCTTTCCAAAAACAACATGCTTTCCATCAAGCCATGGTGTCTTGGCAAGCGTAATGAAGAATTGCGATCCGTTTGTGTTCTTACCACAGTTTGCCATTGAAAGCAGCCCTTCTCCAGTATGCTTGATTTGGAAGTTCTCATCAGCAAACGTGTTTGTCGGGAATATGCTTCTGCCACCTGTTCCGTCGTGTGCTGTGTAGTCTCCCCCCTGTATCATGAACCCAGGAATAATCCTGTGGAACGTAGACATCAAATACCCACTTCCTTCTGGCCTCTTGCAAAGCTCTCTGAAGTTCTTGGCGGTTTCTGGAACAGTTGCATCATCCAAAGACATAACAATCTTTCCAATAATGTTCTTTGTGCTTCCCTTCACCTCAGACACCTCAAAAAAGACATTTATACTCATTCTGCTTGGGGATGCTGCATCTCATAATTTTATGCGCTGCAAACTTTTCAAATGCATTTGGATCGTCGTCCTCAAAGACGGTGCATGTATGGGCTCTACGACAGGCAGATCAGGCTTTTTGGGCAGCAGACACAGGCCTTGATAGAAAAGGCACATGTGTGCATACTTCAGGCACATTTAGGCCATGATCAGCAAGAACACCGAGACACAGACATCGGAGGAGAAATCCTCAAGAACCTTGCGCTTCTTGGTGTGCCCAGGATATCTGCAAGTAAATGTGTTATTGAGTCGTTCAAAAGAATGTTTCATGGCAGTATCAAAGACATAAACCCAGAAATAGAGATAAATGAAACAGACACGATCGATATACAGCATAGCCACACGCTTATCATATTTATTAATGGCTGGAACGAGTATGAGTCTCAGGGTATTTATGCATGCTCAAAATGCATGTCATTTCACAGCACTCAAAAGCAGCACTCGTGCTCGGAGACATCTACATGCATTTCATTTGCAAACGACTGTCTTCTTGGCGCAATCATTGTCCAAGAGTGGATAAAGAAACTCCAAGGCAAGCCTTATGCTGAGTGCTATAAACTCTGTCTTTAGTAAAATCAACCTGATGTATTAGTATTGCACATGCCCTGTGATCTAATGAATAGAAAGAAGGCAAAGCCGACTGACAGCACACACAAGAAGTACAACGAGAGTGACGTGATAAAGAAGTTCCTTGTTTCAAGCAAGGGAGTTTCATTTCTTGTGGATCATGTCAATAGAAAACGGTTGTACGAAAGCAATCGTGCGAGTGCAGACACCATTATGAAAGACGTGGACAACCTAATTGACTACTATGCTGCCTGGATACACAGTTTTCCTGTAAGAAGATCCATGCAGGCAACACGGTATGAGTTTTTGGAGTATCTGGAGTGCTTCTGTGAACGAGCAGACGTGTGTGGCTTATTCGACTTCCTTTTTGTATGATGGAAGTCAAGCACTAACAAATATTCAACATCCAAGAGAATAAAACTAAAATCAAACCTTTTATTCCGTATCACTCGATCTATAGTGCAATCAAACGGTTGAGCTTATATGACATTTAAATACATCGAATATACATCTCATTCGTCGCATTCTGGACTGAATATCTCCTGAGTCCATTTCTGTACCAGTTGCTTTGCCATGGACCTGACTTCTTTTTCTTCCTTTGGATTGATACTGTAGAAATAAACAATTTTGCCTATTCCACTCTGTAAAAGATGCTCCCTGTGAATCTTCATGTTCCTGAGCGCATCCAGCAGCCTCTTCTTGACTTTTATGTTTGGCATCGATCTGTCTGGAAGCGGCTCCAGCCATCCACGAACCTCGTCTAGAATGCCCTCATCAAGCAAGCTTTCTTGCACTGCCCTGTTCATCAAAGTCTCGGAGACCTCGGCTACATTATTGATTTTCTCGATTGCCGGCTTTCCTTGCGAATTGTTTAGGTTGTCTCTTCTTAGAATCCCCTGCATCCTCTTCTTCAGGAGCTTTGGCATGCTTGATGCATTGCTCGCATCATTCTCCACTGCAGTATACTTCTCATGAAATGCCTCCCCAGAATCATTTATGGCATCTGCCTCCTTTTTGCTATTCTCACTGGAGTGACCATTTATATTACTCATGGGCGCCCCTGGCTCGATTCTGTGGCATTTTCTATCCATGGGATCGGGCATATTGCCTAATTTGTAATTCTGGACAATAAAATATATCATGCGGCTTACCGATAGCATGCAAGAAAATCAAGCGATCATATGAATGAATTTGAAAACAAATTCGAAGATGGTATCAATGGCAACAGCAGCGAAGACAAAGATTACAAAACAAGAATAGTGCGCTTTGTGAAGCAATGCTACTCTAAAACGGTGGAATATGTCTACATGTTGATTGGAACATACATACGCACAGTAAAAGGCGATCAACGCGACGACACTGAATCGGACATGCTGGACACAGAGAATATGAATAATAAGAACGCAGACAGTCATATAAAAATGCTGAATGTGACTGAGTTTTTGATTATATTTGCTGGATGTATTCCTGCAATCTTAGATATGACCTTCCATCAAGGCGTTTTGATAAGCTTGCTATCGACTTGCCTGTATACGCTTTTTGCAATATCAGCAGTTTTGATGTCATGGCCGGAGATATCGAAGATCTACAATGAATTAAAAGAAGAAAAAGCATCGAGCCTGGTTTCGATGAACAATATGCTTTTGGTAGCCGAGATACTCACGGTTTTTGTTTCTATGATAACGTTTGGAAATGCATACTGGAAAAAACAGTCAGACGAAATGATGGAGATCAGGAAGCTTTCGTCAATTATTCTGATGATATGCCTTTCAAGGCTTCCACGGAAACTCATGCAGCTGAAGGATTGTGATTATCCAATCCGCATGATTGCTTGGCCAATTGCTTGTGTGATCGTCTTATTCATATCTAGTGCTATTGCCATGCTGTCAAATAGGTTTGCGCCGGTGTACGCAATGCTTTGCTTTATTATGCCTACAATGGTACTGTTTAATAATGCATTCCAGGACACAGACATTCAAAGCGACGCAAACACCACAAATGAAGTAAACACATACTTCAAACATAATAGGCGCAGCATAATCAACGCAGTTGCAGCAATGCTTGCAATCATAACGATATACGGGTTATACAAGATAAACTCTGACGTTTTTGCCATAACGACGAAAAAATATATCAATCATGACTATGACAATCATTAAAATCTATCAAAGATTAAAAATATTAAGCAAAATAATATTTATTCTTCTACATTCACCATCGCTCTACACGAATGATGCTGATATTCTCTATAACATTCAACCAGTGGCATTCCAGTCTCACTTCTTCTTTGGCAATCTCGACATGTCTTTCTTTATGACTGGGCTTGAGTTGTTAAATGTCAAATCTGCAAAGTATGAAGAATTCTCAGGCATCACAAGACCTCCCGATGCAAGCAATCTCTTCACAGGCGATTTCTTTATAGTAGGCATGCTTGCTCCATCATTTGCCTTAGTTTCTTTAACATTATTGTTTTTTTGCAACACCACCTTTGGCTGGGCCTTCAATGCATCCTTGCTTTTGCACATCCGGGATCGTTTTGCAGCACCTAGACTTCCAGATTTTTTTGCTGGCTGCTTTCTAGTAATTACTCCCACATCTTTCTTTGCACTTGTTACATTTGCATTTAATCCATACACCCCTACTCCACTTATCTGTCTGTCAATACCCAGTTCATCTATATCAGCACATCCTTCATCCAGCATCAGATCATTCCCACTCTCCTCAGCCTCAATAATATCATCAAATACATTACAAATCACATCTCTAGACACCACTGACTTCTGCGCCCCGCTCTCAATCATCCTCTTTTGCATCTCTATCACTTCAGACTTCTGCTTCATGTTTTCCTTCAGTGCGCATATTATCTCATCCTTCTCTTCAAGCGATCTTGTTACACGGCAAAGCGCATCACTGTCTTCCATCAGCTTCAGGTTCTTGCCATTCAGCACCTCGTTTTCATGCCTCACTCGCTTCAACTCTTCTTCAGCCTGCATCTTGCTCTCTTTAATTATCTCGTTTTCTTTCATTCCTGCTGCATGCTTAGCTCGCATCTCATTCATCTCCGCATTCATCTTTTCAATGCTGCTCTTATGCTTGTCACATTCAGTTTGCATATTGCTAAGCATTTCACAAAGCTTGCTTTCTGCTGCCTTAACCACCTCATATATCTCATCCATCCTCTTCATTCCGCTTGTCCACATGGCATTATTCACATTCTCATTGCTCTCATCTTCCTTGATCCTCGTTTCTGTTTCCCTCACAACCTCATTCATCTTATTTATCTCACCCATCAGCCTCAACTCATCAGCTCTCTTCCTCTCCAACGCCTCTTTCAGCTTCTCCATCAGACATCTGTTTCTTTCATCCATCTCCTCAGCCTTCACTCTCATCAGATCTCTTTCATGGCAAAGCCGCCCTATCTCCTCGTTCTGCCTGCCAACTTCCTCCATATGCTCTTCTTTCATGTAGCTCATTGCTCCTTCCAGCTCTGCATATCTTCGCTCCAGCTCCTGATAATCCTCCTCAACCAGCAAAACCTCCATCTTCAACTTCCTTGCAAGAACGCCCATATACTGATGCTCAAGCGTCCTTGTTCTATCAGATATCTGAAAGTACTGATCCATGCTTATATGGGTGCCGAAAATCACACTTTAACTCACCCTCCTCTTCGTCTATCCAGAAACCTGCAAGCCCCACATATGCACCTGCAAATCAACACAAAGATTAAAGTGCATCCATTCCCTCCAGATCCGCACAATCCCGCCAAAAAGAATAAATAAAGAAAAACTCCCACCCTTTGATGGCAAAGTCTGCAAGGCATATCACAGGCAAAGCACCAACAGATGACACACAGGACAAGAAAAAGTCAAAGAAAAAAACATCATCGATGTGCATGGGCATGATGTTCAGATCAGCAATCAAACGTATTTCTCGTGAGGTCAGCCCAGACAACAACATCATGCTGACAAACAACTCGATCCAGGTTCTGTGTGCTATTGCTTACGACTTTGTTGACACAGTGGCCGATCTTGGAGGAGAAATGGCAAGGAAGGTTGGCAAGCAAACTGTCGGCTCCGATGATATCATAAGTGCATTCGAAATCATCCTAAAAGGCGAGCTCAGGAAACTTGCAATCAGGGAAGTGCATACTGCTCTTGCAAAAAGCCAGGTAAAACCTCGTGGAAAATAAATCTGTCTTACTAATCATCAACAATCTAGAACCAAATCCTATATTTATACCATCTCTGTGAAAATGCAGCAATTCATTCAAATCCTCCTGGATCACAGTCAGGCCGCAACAGATGTGCTGTACTGCACACTAGAGTGATACACTGCCTGCTCCAAAACCTCGCCTAATTCAATGCTGTCATTCATGAAACAAGCTCCTTAAGTGCCTTTCTCAGATTGTCGTTCATGAATAGTGTAAATGACATCGTGTTGCCATATCCACAGAGGACAATTCCGATCTCTTGAACCCTGATGACCGAAATGCCCACACATTCAAATCCTAGAGTGTCATTGCTGACAAAAACATCATTCAGCAGCAATCTAAAACAGTCCAAGTGGATCTCACGGCAATCCACAAACTCATGACCAACATAAAAAAGATTCTTCAGGTAAAACTCACAACGATCCAGCCCAGACTTTTCCAGAATTCGGTATCCAGCAGATACAACTTTAAGTTTCGGATTGCTCATAATAATCTTGCTTGCTAAACACGAAACAATACTTAGGCTTCTTTCGCCTCGCTTATACAGCTCTCCCTCCATAGAAATAGAATACTCTCGAAACAACTTGTCTTTGTCATCTTTAGCCATAAATTCAATTCGACAATGCTTTGGCTGCATACATTTTTGCTTTGATGTGCATTCTTCAGGATGAGATGCCTGCGATCGCATCTTTCTTCGTAAGATCGCAATAAAAAATCCTCCAGTATTCTGATCGTGTGGATACAGCCTGATGCATCTCTCCAGACCAAGATCTTCTTCACAAGGCCGATGCCTCGGGTTATTGGAAACGCCCGCTGTTTTCCATGTCCGCAGCCCCTGCCTGAAAACAAGCTGTTTGCCATCAGATTCCATCGGGAAAAGGCAAAGCCTTGTGTCATTTCTAAAATCAACTAGCTCAAACTCGCCCTCCAATAAAATTCTCTGCACTACACATTCGTTTTCAATTGGATTCAACGAGCACGTCGAATATGCCACCAATCCTGCTTCCTTAGCAAGCTCACATCCTCTCTTCAGAATCCTGTATTGCAGCTCAGACAGCCCTACTCCTCTTGAAATCTTCCATTCATCAAACACATTCGGGTTCTTACGGATGGTGCCATCACTTGAGCACACAACATCGCAGAACACACGGTCAAATTCCACTTGGCCATCCATATACACCTTGGGAAACACAGATGCATCATGCTTCGTTACAATAAGCGATCTATTCGGCTTCTTGGATGTCTCGCTCACAAGCACATTCAGCCTTTTTGCATTCACATCATTTGCTATCACTAACCCATCAGTGACTATCTCAAGAGCCTGCTTGGCCTTTGATCCAGGTGCTGCACACATGTCAATCACTTTTGAGTCATTCTTGAGATCCATTAGCATGACAGGAATCATACTGACAATCTCCTGCCGCTGTATAAGCCCTATGGCTGTTTGCTTTACAAGAAACTCCACAAATCTTTGGTAATCACTCGATGGATCCTTGGTCTTGCAGAACTCATACACATCATTCAAGTACTGTATTTTATTCACAAACGGATACTGCTCAATCCTTTGAACTATCCGATCATGCATTGGGCCCTTTGTAACACGGAACGAGTACGGAAGGCCTGTCCTGGTTGATGCACTCAGCTTCTCAAAGTCATCCTCCGCCAATCCCAACGTTTCTCTGTAGTACTCCATGTATTCTGCCTCTGTCATTTAGCTGGGTGTTTTTGCTAGTATAAAACATTCTTGCTAATGTAATGTAACACCGCGCCCTCATGAAAGGTTGCATATTCTGCACGCTGTATGAAAAGAAAATAAACATAATATACGAAACAGAAGGTGCATTTGCACTTTTGGACAGAAACCCGCTCTCCACAGGGCACTTCATGGTCATTCCAAAGACACACCATCCGTCTTTTGATCAGTATGAATTGAAGGATCTAGAAGACGTGCTTCCGATGATAAAGCATCTTATTGAGCGGCTTGGAATCAAGAAATACAACATCTTGCAGAACAATGGGAATCACCAAGGAGTGTTCCACGTACACTTCCATGTGATTCCGTATGTTTCTGATAATGAACGTCTGAGGATTGACTGGGAAACCATGGAAGTTAATGATGACGATTACTCAGCACTGGTTGAGCAGGCACGCTCAAAGGCTTCTGATTAGACATGCAATATATCGATGTATGCAGTGCCTGAATATATTTGTTATTTGTTCTCCTGCATTGCACGGGCAAGCAGATGGTTTATGCTTTGTATTGCTGAGGTTTTGTAAACCAAATTGGCAATACCCATGAAGAATGGATGCAGTATTTTTGTTGGAAACATCGACTTTGAGATTCCAGAGGAGCGGATAATTGAAGAGCTTGGGTCTGTTGGTAAGGTTGTCAGCTTTAGGATGGTTTACGATAAGGCAACAGGTAAGTCGCGTGGGTTTGGATTTTGTGAGTACGAATCGCCACTGATAGTTGAGAAGGCACTCCAGAATCTCAAGATATCGTTCAATGGGAGGCCGGTGAAGATCAACTATGCAGAGAACGATATGCCTATGAAGTCGAAGGAGCCAGAAAGCCAGGTTCCAGAGATCGACAACCTGATCAGCGTGCTTGATTGCATGGACAAAGACAATCTGAAAGAGGTTCTTTTATACCTCAGGAAGCTAGCGCTTGACCAGCCGTCTTACTTAAGGGAGCTGCTCAATAAAAACACAAGCCTTGTGTATGCAATTATTCATGCTGCATTGAAGCTGAAGTTGGTTAACCAGGAGGCAGTCGATGAACTGCTGAAGGAGTCGTTTGATCTCAGCAAGCAGAAAATGCAGGTCCTTGATAGAATATGCTCGATCCCTGACGAAGACCTGTGCTTTTTCCCAGACGATGCCAGGAATAAAATCAGAAGGGTAAGAGGAATGATTCTCAAAACTAGAGAGAGATAGCTCAACTGCAAAGCATACACACTACTCGATCATGTATGCCACCATTTATCTCATGGCATCAAGATCATAAATAAACATGTTTGACTCAAGAAAAGATTTATTATTTTTGAGCAATCATCTCCTCTTGCTTTCGTCTGAGTATTTCGATGTTATACTCCCTTGATGACTTCTTCTTCTCAAGTTGCTCCTTCCTTCCATTGCCAAGGAAAAGCTCGTTTATCGTCAGCTTTGATGGATATATGGGCACCATTGCATTCTCTCCGTTGCTCTTCGTCACAAAACACCCCTCAACATACACTTTATACTCGCTGAGCTTGATCTGCTTGATGGGCCCTGTCTTTCCATCAAACTTGCCTCCTTTAACGGTTACCACATCCTCAGTCTCCAGAGGAATCGTCCGGAACCCGTACTTCGCCCTCAGCTCCTTAGACAGGCGTGCTGAACACCTCCTCCTTCGCTCCTCATCAGAGGCCGTGTAATGTGCCTTCCTTTGCTTCCTCCTACTGCATGTAACTTTCCTCTTGAAACTTCCCATCCAGGGATAAAAAATTTTAGAATATATCATATCCACATGCCACATCCTTTACCATACGCACTATCACACCTTCATCCTCAGCACATCAACTGCCTTTCTATAGCATATAAGAATCCTCTTTCCATCGGAAACCAATGCCTTCATTGGCGAAACACGGATCGTGTTGAATGGGAACCCATCAAAACATTTCAGGTCCGGAAGAACAATCTTCAACGAGTTTGAGTAGTCCGATCCATACAGGATGTATCCGTTGTGCTCAACACACCCTGTAATCTCGTCCTTCATATTCATGGCCTCATTTAGCAGATTCATGTGCCGGTCAAAGATCTTGATGCCCAGGCTCATTCCAATCACAACCTTGCCATTCACAAAATATACAGATTTGAAGTCAAACTTGTCGTCAAAGCTCACCTTGTTGATGGGATGTAAGCCCCGTGTCATCACAATAATATCTCCATTGAAGCCCAAGCAGTACACTGCATCCGAAGAAACCGCAATGTCCCGGAATCGTCCATCAAACTCTTGCACAACCCCGTAGCTACTGTTCAGTAATACAATCTGCTCCCCAACAACATAGATTCCATTCTCAACACTGACCATTTTCCTTATGCATTCCGTCGTCCTGACCTTGATATCCTTGACCTCGCCTGTAAATGCAACCTCTTTGAATCCTCCGTATTTCAGTGATGAAAACAGCATGCCTCCTTCAACAAAAACAAAGTCAGATGCTCCAAACATCTCAATCCTGAGAACCTTGCATACCTCAAGATCCTTCAGAATGTATATGCTGTTGTATGCATCTACAAGCACCAGGTAATCTCCATGTGCCTTTGCAAGCTTGATTCTGCATTGGCAGCTGAACACATGCCGCTCATACCCAAACTTCAGTTTCTTCTTCTGAACCTCTATCTGTTTCCTTGCTTTCTTCGTGCCAATCCAGCTTGCTGTTCTGTGGTAATTCCTGCGAAGCTTCTCATCGTCATCGCTGTCCTCCCATGCACAGGCTTCGTGCTCATCGCTCGATTCAGACACACTTTCTGCAAAATACTCCTTCTCATACTCCAATATATCAGACGAAAGCGACTCCTGCACGTCCGAAGACGAGTACTCATACGACATCTCTAACCCCTCATCCTCTTCCTCCGTCCTTACCGCCATAGGGATAAAATTATCCACTCGTTTCCCTTCGCATCACAACTCAATAAAATCAGAAATCGTTTATTTCAACGGAACAAACTTCGAAGACGAGCTTGCTCCGATCCCCGGCCTTCCATGCTTCGGTGTAACTCGTGTTGGCGCAAAATCAGACAGCACATATCCCACCATCTCAGGTTTGATCTCCAACGGCATAAATCCATTTCCAACATGAACCCCAACAAGTGCGCCAATCATCGATGGCCAAATAATCGCAGACCTCTCATATGTACGCACCATCTCGGGCTTATCAAGATTGTTCACACATGCTGCTTTTGTCGCTGCACACTCCTTGATCAGCTGCACCTCCCGCTCAGAAAGCCCTCGCCTTATCTTTCTCCTCAGCTTCGAAGGGAAAAGCTTGGCAACCTCGCTGAATGCCATAGTCTCAAGCTCCTCAATAGGCACCCCCCTGTAGGTATACCTCCTAAACGTCCTCTTCTTCTTCAGTAAATCACTTGCATCGTTTACATCCTGATTCTTCGACTCATTATTGATCTCAGCCATTTCAAGGGCAATTTTTTACTTCGATTTACATCCACTGCTTCCTGCTATTAAACCTGCATGCCCATCATCCATTCACCAATAAAAACAACTGCTTTATTCATCAACAACAACAAACTTGTCAACCTCAAATATCTTCTTCACATCAATCTCATCCACCTCTTCACCATCCATCATTACCCTGTCAACACTCAGCTTTGTAGAAACAAAGTCTGCCGTAAAATACACATCCAATGGGAAAACAGCCGATGGATCCGTGCATGTGCAGCTAAACTCCAGGCTATCTGACCCTCCCTTCTCAACAGTGCCGATCTCCCACTCAATGTGCATCTCCTCCTCCCTTGCATCTCCGTTCAGCACAACATTCGATATCCGCGCCTTCGGGAAAAACACCCTTAAGTTCTCCACACTCATCTCAGCCGTATACTCAAGCATTATCTGGTACACGTTCAGGCTTGTCTCGCATGGCCAAAAAGTAAACGTAATCGGTGTCTCCTCAACATCGCTACTCTTCCACTTCACAAGCGCAACATTCTTATCAACCGGAAACCCCTTCTCACACTTAATCACTCCTGACACAGTCACAGACTTGTCAATGTTCGGGCTGAACTTCATTCCCTTTGCATGATTCCTCAGAACTATCTCTATATCCTTGTACTTCTCGTCCTTGATCATAAGAGTCATGTCACCTTGTACCTCCCTGCTCTTGACATTGTTTTCTTTATCTATCTCCATCCTCAGCTTCTCCTTCAACACAATAAGAACAGGGTCTGTAGATGTAACCAACTCCTTCCTTCTTTCTTTGACCGGATCACTGCTCATCTTTGACATGCTTTTCAGCTGCTGTATGCTTTCGTTCCTCATCTCAATCTCAAGATTCCGTACTCTCTCCAGCTCCCTGTCAATCTCACTCACCGGCTTCCTCTGGAATTCTTTGTGCTTCTGCATAACCTCCTTCCGTTTGTTATGCATCATCATGTCGTGTATCTTCTCCTCTTGGCTATCCATGCCCTTTACCAGGCTCAGGTTCGTATCAAACACTACCTGCCCATATAATATGTTGTCCATTGCAACTAACACATCAAACATATCCTTTCCTCCGTTCTTCTGCAAGATGTCCAGCAGTGCATATGCTTTCATCTCACTGTATCCCATGCTAACTACCACCACATACCACACAGAATCAACTACGCTGTACACATACTTATAGAATCCCTTCGCAACCACACTCCCCTTCATATCTCCAGAACTCACAAAGTCAAGTATAAAATGCTCAATCTTGCTCACTGCCATCCTGCATGCCATCCTGCACACCACCTCCTTTGTTTGCATGTCCGTGGCAAACATTCCAACAATCATTCTAGGGTTCTGCTCCGCCACTTATATACACATCTTCTTGCAAATCACAACATTCGCAAGCGTTATCCCCTTTGCACATCGCTCACTCAAAAAGTCATGCCTTCAAAATTTTATTATTCTGTGCCCACAAACTCAAAGCACACTCTCCCTTCTCCCTCTCTCCAAAACAAAATCCTGTTTCTACGGAACTCCTCCAGAAACCTGTTCCCTGCCTCAAGGCACTTCACATCCTCGTCGTCTCCACTAATTCCATACTCCATACAGATACACTCCAGCATCTCGTCTCCAGAGTCAAATCCACAGATCTTGTAATGACGAGCAACCTCATTCCTGTCGATCTGCTCAGCAATCATGTTTATGTACTTTCTAAACGGAATACTCTCCAGGCTGTGGCATCCTCGAAGAACACTCAGCATGCATGCCTCCTTCGGTGGAACACTCACCGTCATTGCCACATTCATCGCCATCCCACTATTCACGCATATCTTCTGAATAGCAAAACTCTTTCCACACTTACTGTTTCCAAATACTCCAACCCTCATTCCGTCTTCAACCCAGTCATTCTCCTCAGGCGTTCTTACTATCGCTTCACTCACCTTCTTGCACAAATCACCCTTCAAGCACTCAACAACACTATTCGGAACATATTCAGTAAAGTTCAACACAATCACCAGCTTCCTTCCCCCCTCAACAATCATCTGCTCAACATCCATTCTTCTGCTTGACTCTGCATCCCTGGCATCAATAACTTCAATAATCGTCTCGCACTTGCTAATCATCCTCTCAAGCACTTTTACATATTCAGCTACCTTCACCACATTCCTCATGCTTTCTTCATACTCAGCTTTTCTTATCCTCGATTGCCGTTTTATTTCCTGAAGCTGCATTATCTCCTCATCGGTCCTCATCACAGACACAGGAATCTTCTCTACCTTCGCCATCATCTTCTTATTCAATCTTGTTTTCTTAATCTGATCAACCTTCAGCTTCTTCAGAATGCTCTTCCTCTTCCTGGTTGTTAGCCTCCTGCTTTGCTTCTTCTTCATTCCCATACCTCTGGGGGCATTTCCAGCAAATTTAACTCGTTCTCCATCTCCATTCAAAATCGCTTGATATTTAATATCCACGCATTCCGCAGCGCCATCACCATATTTGCAATAAGCCACACTGCTACCCTCTCAGCTACATCCATACTTGTGAGCTATTGCATCCTATCAACATTTCCTTCGTAAAATCATCGAGCTTTATGCCTGGCTAAGCTATTTCTGCAAAACATTTATTATTCTCGGTTCCACCCTTGGCATGATATATGATGCATGGATTCTGCTTGGATCGCTTGTCTTCGTCTTGCTGCTTTCGGCCATCATCATGGCCTTGACAAAGGGAAAAGCCGTCAACAACAAACATGAAATACGAATAGGAGTGATAGGCGCCTTGATGTTCGGATGGATTGCATGGGCCTGTGTGTACATGTCACAGATAAAGCCATTTGTCAACCCATAGCATACAAGAACCACATAAGCGAATCGTCTTCATAGATCCAACACCCAACTGCTGTAAACATTAAACTACCTTTCCACAACTCCTCGCATGCCACTGAGCTAACTCTATTGGAAATCCACCCCAGGCATCAAAAGCTCATCAATCGCCCAATCCTCAAAACTGCCATCGGGAAGCCTTCTGCGGATAATGAACGGAATCTTCTTCTCATTCAGCTCCAGCCCTGCAATCTTCAGCGGATTCGATTCGTTTCCTATGTCCACGAACGGAGGAGCGCCTGCACTCAGCTGAGACGCACGAACACCGAGCACATGTGCCTTTTCATACTTTGTCATTCTCGGTAGCGTCCTCCTTTCTGTATTATCAACCTTTACTTCAGAGACCATCTTCTCAACGACCTCCACATTGTTGTCTGATGACTCTTCTATCGAGGATGCATCTCCACTATCCATTTTCACGAGGGGATTCGTACAGATTAAAAACAGCGCAAAATCATGGCCTGACGCTCTGCCAATGAAGTTTGCAAATATAGAAATGGTGAGGGATCTTGGATACACAGCAGCATCGTTTGACATGGCTGTTTCTGAGGATGGAAAATGCCTGGTGTCGATAGGTAGCTACAAGCCGTCAGTCAAGATATATGATCTGGTCAATTTATCGCTGAAGGTCGAGCGTCATTTGGAGGCGGAGCCTTTGAGGGTGATTCCGCTGGCACAGGATGCATCCAAGATCTGTGTTCTGAAAAGAGACCGATCACTAGAGCTACATGCGAAGTATGGATTCCATGAAAGCATCAAGATGCCTTCTATATGCCTAGATGCGTGCTTTAACAAGTTCAAAGCAGAGGTGATGTGTGCAGGTGTTGGGCCTGATGTATACAGATTCAATCTTGAACAGGGGCGGTTTTTGAAGAGTCAGGGCACAACCATCCAGGAAATACTTTGCATATGCATGTGTGAGGCAAATGGATTGATCTGTGTAGGAGGAGACAACAAAATACAGTTTATTGACCAGAGAAGCAAAGAGGTTTTCAGAACGGTAGACTATAGCGAAACTCCATTCAGCATGTGCTTTTCAAGCAGCGGGATGGAACTAGGCGTGGGCACTGAAGAAGGAAGTGTCTACTTGCATGATCTAAGAGCAAGGAAAGAAATATGCAAGGTGAGCCATGAAGGGAGTGTTAGGAAGGTTGGGTTTAATGGCAAGATTCTTGTTAGCATTGGAGGGAAGGCTATGAAGTGCATTGATAGAGCAGGGATGATTGGAGAGTATGCTGGCGACGTGGGTATGAGCTGCTTTGCATGTGCTGGAGGATTTATGTTTATTGGATTTGATAATGGTGAGATCCGTGAAGTGATTTCCGAGGAGTTGGGGGAGATTCCAATGCATTTGAAGATGAATGAGGTGTGATGCGAAGAATTAAATAGCATGGCTGTCTGATTGTCTTACTGAGATTGATTCTGCAAAAGTATGCCCAAATGGATGCCTGAGAATGCGACTTCATGTAAAGAGAGGCGCATGCAATATTCGAATGGCAGCAAGAGCTGCGGGAATAGCAGGATTTCTATTGTTTATTGCTAGAAACATAAGAAGGATGGCTGGGACAAGCCTTCCTGGTGGACGATGCCTGCTATTGATAGCACATCCGGACGATGAGTCGATGTTTTTTGCGCCCACACTGCTGAATCTCAGAAGAAACGTGGATATACTGTGTCTTTCGAATGGAGACAAGTATGGGAAGGGAAAGATCAGAGAAAAAGAGCTCCGCAAGGTTGCTGAGCACACACAGGCCCGCCTGACAATATCATTGCTTTCTGACGGCAGTGACTGGAACAAGACAATGGTTTGCATGTATATTGCCAAGCACTACTTGCTAAGGCCATTTGATGTGCTTATTACATTTGACGAGAAAGGTGTTTCAGGGCATAAGAATCACATATCGTGCTATGAAGGCGCAAGGCTGTTTCTCAGGGCATTCAGAATACAGGGTCTGTTCCTAGAGTCAAAGGGAATACTGAGGAAGTATTGTGTTGATGTATCAGCAGGCAAAATATCATGTGCTGTTCCGTTGATGATGTACATGGAGCCAGTGAAGATGATGCTCATGCATGAATCGCAGATGGTGTGGTATAGATACATATATGTGATTCTTTCGAACTTTATGTCGTACAACGACTTCAGGGAGATTGAGTAGATGGGGAGTGAATGATGTCTTGAGAGGTTTGATGGCATGCAACGTTTTTTGAGGCCCCTTTGAGCGATGGAATCGAATTGCATAGAGGCATTCAAGAGCTTTGCTGAAGAGTACCGCACAGCACAAGGCAAGGATATTGCAGAGGTGATTGCAAAGATGCCGCATGACGGTGAGCAGCGCGTGCTTTTGAACATGAACGAGATCAGGGTCTTTGACAAATCGCTAGCAAAGGGCATTATTGACAATCCTATGAGTATTGTTCCATTCATTGAAGATGAGCTGAGCATGATTGGAGGGCGAAAGGTATTTATGGGTGTGTATGGGTCGTTTGGCGATTATTCTGTGAATCCAAGGACGCTTTCAAGTGCGTATCTTGGAAGGATGATCTGCCTGGAAGGGATAGTAACGTCGTGCTCGATCTGCAGGCCGAAGGTGATGAAGAGTGTTCATTACAGTGCAGCCAGGAACCTGTTTTACTCGAAGGAGTACCGAGATTCAACCATGATTACAAAGCTACCGATTACCAATACGGTGTATCCAACTAGGGATCCTGAGGGAGGTCTGCTAACGACTGAGTTTGGGCTTTCGGAGTATTTTGATTACCAAACTGTTGTATTGCAGGAGATGCCTGAGAAAGCGCCGCCCGGACAGCTACCCAGGTCTGTAGAGGTTGTGCTGTCGTTTGACCTTGTTGACAGGGTGAAGCCTGGAGACAGGGTGAATATGTATGGAATATACAAGAGCCTTTGCTTTGGAGGACAAGGATTTCCACTGAAGTTCAAGACAGTGCTGATTGCAAACAACATTGAAAGGATAGGGAGGAAGAAGGAGGAGTGTGTGAATGAGGCTGAGTTTCTAAGGCTTTCTGCAATTCCGGACCTGCACAAGCTGGTTGCACCGAGTATTTTTGGGCATGATGCAATCAAGAGGTCGATAGGGCTGCTTTTGGTTGGAGGAAATGAGATTGTGATGAAGAACGGAAGTAAGATCCGAGGAGACATCAACATTCTTCTTGTTGGGGATCCGTCCACTGCAAAGAGTCAATTGCTAAGGTATGTTATGAATGCAGCACGGCTGTCTGTTGCAACAACAGGGAAAGGATCGAGCGGAGTGGGGCTGACAGCAGCAGTAGTACAGGATAAGGATACGGGCGATAGAAGATTGGAAGCGGGGGCAATGGTGCTGGCAGACAGGGGAGTCGTGTGCATTGATGAGTTTGACAAGATGAATGACGGAGATCGGGTAGCAATACACGAAGTGATGGAGCAGCAGACGGTGACGATAGCGAAAGCAGGGATTCACACGACGCTGAATGCAAGATGCTCTGTGCTTGCCGCGGCGAATCCGATGTGGGGGCAATACAGAGAGAACAAGTCGCCACAGGAGAATGTACGGCTGCCTGAGAGTCTTTTGACGCGATTTGATCTGATATTTGTGACGCTGGACAAGTCGAACACAGACATTGATCAGATGATTTCGAGCCATGTTCTGAGAATGCATATGCTTGAGAATGGATATGATGAGCCTGCTGGAGTTAGCCAAGATGTTTTCAGGGCGTATATTCAGTGCTGCAAGCAAAAACGACCTGTGCTTTCGAGGGATGCGGCGGGGCTGATAACAAAGGAGTACACATTATTGAGGCAAAGCAAAGACAGGAAGGAGCAGGTTGTGTCCATAACACCCCGGCTGCTTGAGACGATGATACGCCTTGCGACTGCAAATGCAAAACTAAGGCTCAGCGATGTTGTTGAGTATTCTGATGCAGAGTGTGTGATATCGCTGATCAAAGACTCGCTGTTCCAGAAGGTGATCAAGCCAGGAAAGAAAGTGAAGGTTGCAGGCACGGATGAGAATGACGAGTTTGCGATTGATAGCACAGGAAGTGGATTGAAGCAAGATCTGGAGGCAGTGATGCTTGGCGATGACAAGGCAGAGTACGTCAGCAATGCATTGTATGAATACAGCATTGATCTGAATAATCCAAGAGTTTTTGGAATTGATGAGTTTGTAGAACGTCTTGGGGTAGATGCAGGCGTGACATTGCAAGAGGTTGAGAAGGTGCTTCAAGATCTTGCCGCCAAGGATTTGATTCTTTTTGAGAATGGAAGGATATACCTAATCAACTAGGCTGGCTCCAATATAATCCAAGAACGATCTTCAATGCATTATAAAGATGCAAAGACCAATAAACCTAATTGCTTTTTATTTGAGGATGCAAAATTTTGGTGATTATTCCATCATCAGTGACTATTTTGATCATGAAGCTTTCCAAGTTGATCATGAGTCTTTCTCTTATTAAATTGATACATTTTTGAATGATTTCCAGCGCTTCTTCGATGTCCAGGGACTCCAAATACTCCTTGTCGAAGATACCATATGCGAGATACATTGCATATCCATTTGCACAGAACGGCACGGGCGACATTGCTCCGTATTTATCGATGGACCACAATTCGTACCCATTGGGGCCTTTTCCTGCAATTATGGACGACACATTGAGAGGAGCCTTTCGGGAGTTTTCATGGATTTTGTTCTGCATTATATGAGCAACAACGCTAGGACTTGGCTCAATCTCGTTCTGGATGCTTTGGAAGAGTGCCTCCTCAGAAATAGACAGCATTGCTCTGAATGCATCTCCTTGGTCTCCGGTGGCTGATATCACAACTTTTTCTTTGATGCTGACGAACTTATCTTGTGATTCTTTGATAACAAACACAGACCTTGCAACTTTCATGTCTGTGGCAATGACTGCAAAGTTCCTTCCCTTTATTGCTATCGATGTATCCATTGTAGGGTGTGTCAACAAAAAAATACATGTTGTTTCTAGGTAGTTTTGTGGCTGAGCGTTGATGCTTCGTTCATGCGGTCGAGCCCACAGAAAAGATCACGTAGCCTGCCTGGCATTAAAGCATGCGGAAAAATTCTCCCTCAATGCAGCTCCAGATCCCAAGGATCAACAAGACGAACTATGAGCGCATGCTAAGAGAGATTAGGCAAGCAGAGGACATAAAGGGCGTGGCAGAGGACATAAGAAATGTTATACTACTGATGCCGCACAAGTCGTCGATAATAGCATCTCTTGTGTGTGAGCTGATTAAAGACGATACAGAGCTTAAGAGCACCATTATTGAAATGCTAGATAGTATTATTAGAACAACCAATGCTTATGAGATGATTTCTGCAGTGTTTACTTTGAAAAGGCTCGGCATATGCTGGGTTAGCTGTTTTTCATGGATTGAGCATGGGCCTGCATCTTTTGTGGCTGGGGAGCATGAGTTTGACGTTTGTAGCAACGACTTGGTCAATGAGTGCAATGCAAAGGCTAACGAAATCCTTGGAAGAATCAGTAAAGAAGATTTTGAAGATACGTTTTGTATTATGCAGGTGGTTAGAAGCTTTAGATTTTCGGTGCAGGAGTGTGTGATGCAATTGAATGTGTTTAATAATCACAAGCAAGTTGTTGATGGCTTGCTTCTTCTTTATGGAGAAGGAGAAAATGCGCTTTATCTGACGATGGTTGTGATTGAACTATGCAAGAAGCAGGGGTTTATGAAAACCTTTATCCACGAGCTTTGCATGAGGATGGGCCGTGATGGCAAGGAAAAGGAAAATGGACAAGGGGCTAGTGGGATCAATAAGATGGCACTGCCGCTTGTCTTTGAGTATTTTTTCTGCAATAATGAAGAAAATAGTGTCTATGCAAGCAGCTCGTATGTTCCTCTTGGAAGTGTTGAAGACAGAGAGATGTTCAAACAAGCCGTTGATGAAGAGGTAAGGATAGAGATGGAAAGGATTTCTGGAGTGACGAAAGTTAAAAGGTTCTTTGAAGATGATGCGATTGCTGAGGCCGATTGCATGGTGAATAAGATCTCGAAAGAAGAGTTTGAAGACAAGGTTCTGAGTAGACATTATTCGAACGGAGATGCAGGTAATAATACTGAGGACAAGGAGTTTTTTTTCAGAAATTTCTGTTATCTTGGCTCTCCAAGCATTTCGCACTTCTTGACATATCTTGAGATGTACAAATCGCACTTCCGATTAGAAGCAGATGACCAGCAGCTATTTGTAAATGTGTTTCTTGATGTATTTAAATCTTCTGAGTCATTCAGTAGGATTGTATTGGAGAAAATGGTTTTGTTTGGAATGCTACAGAAAGAAGTAGTCGATTGCACGACAAAGCAATGAGCATATAATGTGATTGTGGGCAATATCCATTTATTAAAGCAAAGCTTGATAGTTACTTGTGTAGATAGAACTAATTGTTCAGGTAAAGATGCTTTCCGGCCAAAACCAATAGCATCGTCAGCAGGAAATTCAAGAATACAAGAGGCAGATAGGCAATCAACTGAAATGGAGCCACATGCTTTCCAATTGCCACGCAAATTACAGAAACTATATAAGAGATGCTTATAGTGAATGCTATAAACCTGTTTGTCATTTCAGGGCATCCATATAAACAAATATGATGTAGGCATAGATGTGTGCGATTATGCATATGTATGCTTTAGTGTTTGCATTTTAGTATGTAATAAGAGGTGAGCAGTGTTCCAACTTTTGTAAATCTTTTATTTCGTCTGCAATGGCTATCTGAAGTGTTTTTTTGAATATTCCTTGGTAAACGACGACACATGGAAGAATTTTGGCAGGTTATACTTGTTCTGTATGTTTTCAAAGGGGATGTCTTCGCCTATGATATGCACAAGGGCGTTGAAGCATTCTCGTATGTCTTCTTTTGTGTGCCCTGAGTAAATCACGAATAGGTTCTTGCATTGGTCCTGAGAGGTCATTTTCCTTGAAAGATACATTGCAGTTGCAGCCCTTATGGATCCTTTGAATGCCAGGAACTCTTCATAAAGAGTCATCAGCTCTAGCAAATACTTGCCAACCATTCTACTATTGATTTCGTAATTGTTGGCTTTTGAGCATTTTCTGAGAAAGTTCAAAGGCGACACATATTGCAGATCATAGTTTAAGGTGTGTAGCATGTACTTTTCTGCCTTTCGTACCTCTTCATCTGTTAATGTCTTTTCGGTGAGCAGCACGAATGTTTGGAGTGCAGGGCACACCACCTCCTCATACTTACAGGCTATCATGAGTGCCGAGATTCCAACGAGTTGAAGCTTCGAACTAGGAATCACTCTGAGGCCAAGAAACCTGTCTATTAAATTGATTGCAAGAAACAGCGTGTCATGGCACATTCCAAGCTTTTCGTGTATATCTATAATCCAATCGACGAGTAAGCTCCTCATTTTCCAAGGAACACCTTCGTTTGCATATGTGTATGGCTTGTCAATTGACAGGAAATATTTGAAAATGTCATCTGAGTACTTGTCAACCATGACTATCTGCGATTCATCACCTATTTTTTGTTGTTTGTACATCAGCTCTTCCATTCTGTTCAAACGTACTGCAGTCTTTTCTGACTCCTTATCGACCTTGTTGGTTACGTTTCTCAAAGGTTCTGGCTTCCTGAACGGTGTTGTCATTCTGGGAGTCTGAGGGATGGCTTTTGTGTGTTGAGATCATCATCCATGTAATGGTCATCGGCATACCGCATCGCCACATTATACCGTAAATGCTTGACTAGCATTCATTCCCATACTTCAGCATGAGTAGCTCAGAACAATCGATCGTTTATTAAGCCTTCTCTGGCTACGAATTGCATCACACCAAAGATCCTTAAACAATTAATGCAGAAGTCCTGATAGGCCAATGTTTTTGGACAAGCTTGAAGCAAAAATGAAGGAATCAATGTCTGCAAATACACACGCTGAATGTATCAAAATGTTTAATGAGGCAAGAAGTTTGGGGACCAAGGAAGCAATGGCACTGCTCTTGAGTAGTGAGGACGTTGCGTTTTCTATACTTTCTTCATCTCCAGAGATGCTAGATGAAGACGAGTTGATAGGCTTACTTTTCTGCTCAAGCAGCTACTCTAGATACAAAAGCGCAGAGATTATAACAAGAATGTATGCTAATAGGGTACACAGAAAAGAATATCTGTCGTTTTTCAAGCAAATGCTGAAAGAGAATGCGTCTTATGACGAAGGCAATTACCTGCTTTGCCTGTTGATAGATTTTCTGTCATACAAATCAAATTCAGATTTCAGCGTTGATTCAAGAAAACTGGATCTCATGTCGAGCAGAATGTTCAAGGACATTCTTAATGTTTTTGTTTTTGTGAGGGAGGTTCAGTACAATGCACTTATGATTATCCTCATAGCTTCATACAGCGAGGAATGTATCCAGAAGATGGACAAGCTGATTGATGATGTTGTTGTTGTGATGAAAGACAAGACTAGGGAGAAGATCCTCAGGGTTTGCTATGCAATTATTGCAAACATTCTTGATCATGGATATGTTTTTTCACCTGGCCGATTCAACGATATCTGCCGATGCACAGAGTTGCTTTTAGAAAGCGGATACGGAGATGTGGATTTGATTGCAGATCTTAAGAAGGTAAAGAGCAGGATAGTGAAAAGCAGAGAGACATTCTGCATCAGGAATTACCTCAACGAGCTGTTTTCTGGGCGCTTTGAAGACTCCGAGTACCATCACAGAGAGGACTTCTGGGCTGCAAACCTTGAGATGCTGATGAAGAACAAGGTGGAGATAGTCAAGGTTTTGAAGAAGTACTTGAAATCAAACAATCCTTCATGGATATGCCTTGCATGCAATGACATTTTCCAGATGGCCAAGGTATCTCCAGATATAAATGTGCTACTGAATAAGTATCAGGTTAGGGAGGTTCTTTTTGGGCTAGTGCATAGCGAGGACGATGATGTAAAGTTTCATGCAATCCAAGCTCTGTACATGTGCATATCTTCAGAGTGGAGCTGATCTAATGATGTATGGGAATAAACAAGGTATTATTGAAACAGATCGTTTATTGTTGTAATGCAAGTAAGTTGTTAATAGCTAGTGCCAAGAATCAAAGCTAGTTAAATGTGTAGTGAATCGCCAGGCATATATTGCTGGAGTTACATCATTCCTTCGTTCTCATACCAGTCAAAAACTAATTCAAGATTCTCCACCTCTCTTTCATATGCAATTCTTCCACAAGTAAAGTCCTTTATAATCATCTTCAGGCATTTCCCTATTTTCCATCCCTTCACAGATGACATCAGATTGATGTAGTTTACTCCCTTAGTGCATCTTGAATCGTTGTAGAATCCCTTCAGTGAATAGAATCTGCACAGCTTGTTGACACCAACAAAATCAATAATGTATTCAAGATGCTTGTTCAGATCAAGCAGCTGGTCAACATTTAGTATTCCATGGAGCATTAGATCTATCTTGCTGTGTCTTGGAAAGACCAGTCCTGGGCAGTCCAATAGACGCTTCTTGTGCCCAAGAGGAATTGTCTGAATCGCTTTAGTCTTTCCTGGCGTTTGGCTTACTTTTACTTTCTTCTGGTTCATTATCAGATTGATAGTGCTGCTTTTTCCAACATTTGGGTAGCCTATGAATCCAATTGTGTCTCCATCAATGCCAAGAACAACCTTAGAAACAGCCTTGTTATCCAATGCGGAATAGTATAAGCATTCATATCCCTCAATTTGCATTTTTGTGGACGAAAGGTCTTCCTTGTTGATCATAAGGACATGTCTTTTTGCAGGATACATTTTGCGCACGTCGTTGTTAATGAAGAACTTCGGATTTCTTGCATCAACGATCTGTACTATCGTATCGCTTCTTTCGCATGTAATCCAAAACTGCCTCCATATTTCTATGTTTCGCTCAAAAATGTCGTTTTTCTGACGCCTCCTCCACTCCTCGAAAATCTTTTCTTCGATTTCTGCATACATGCTTTTATCAATCGAGTCGTAAGGAACTCGCGGAGGAATGCTTAGCGATAAGTCAAGGCGCTCTTTCAAGCAATCGATGATTGCATTTGCTTGGCTTTCCTCTTCTACCTCCTCAATGGCATTTGCAGGTCTTCCCCCAGATGTTATACTACCCTTGAGGTTCAGCTCTTCGGACAGTTGATTCGTTCCTCCATATTCTGTAATAGAGCATCTTTTAACACCTGGCTTGATCTTCAGCCTATCTCCAAATCTTTTTTCGATTATCAGCTTTCCCCATTCATACATCGTTCCGGGGCCTTCTAGTGCCGATATTTGAATGCATCACAGGAATGCTCTCCATCTCTTGGGAGATGCCAGAATAGATGCCAAAACAGCCTTCGCTGTGCAAAAGCCGCATTATTTCGTCCATGGTCATTCTGGCCTCGTAGTTCAGATCAATGCACCCTATTATTATGTTGGAAACTGCTTTTGGAATTCCTTTTGATTCAATAAATTTCATAAGCGGCTTCTGAGCACCTGCTATTCTTCTGATCAGTGCCAGCTGATTCTCTTTGCTTTCTCCCGGAAAAAGAGGCTCCATTGTCATTATCTCATACACCACGCATCCCAGGCTCCATACATCAATGTAGAACCTATAGCTTGTGTTACCCACCAGCAGCTCTGGAGACCTGTACCACAGAGTAACAACATCGCTAGAATATGGCGGAACTCGAACCTCCATATTTCTAGAGAGCCCGAAGTCTGCTATTTTGAGCACGCCGTCTTGTGTGACCAGTATGTTTTGTGGCTTGATGTCTCTGTGTATGACATTCATCTTGTGTAAGTAATCCACGCCACATGCCAGTTGGGCGATCAAGCTCATCTTGTCGGCATTCTGATGCATGGATATGTAGTTCTTCAGCTCATATTCGACGTATGGAAATACCATTGTCAAGAGCGTGTCTGTGTGAATTATTGTGATGAGGCGTATGATGTTTATATGATCTAGTCTTTTGAGTATTGATATTTCTCTGAGGGCTGTTCCAGGCATACCTTCACGCTCATTGAGCCTTATTCTCTTCAATGCAACATGCTCTCTTGTTTCTGCATTGAAAGCCTCGTAAACATCGCCATATGTTCCTGAGCCAATAAGCTCGCCAAGAATGTACTGTGTCATTGTGTTTGTTGCATCAATGGAATAATGCTTGATGATGTTTCAGAGACTAAGGGCATGGCAAATTATGGCGCAGCATGAAACAAAGCATAAGTTACAACACGTGAGAAACAGGCATAGTGCAAAACCAGGCAGATACAAAAGCATTTACCACCAGAAACAATCTGAACTTGTTCATGGCACAAAACGATAATATCCTTGTTGGTCCAGTGGTTAGGATGGCTGCCTCTCACGCAGCAGGCTCGGGTTCGATTCCCGGACGGGGAACTTTTTTGCATTCAACCACATCCAAATCAAACACAACTGCATGCATGCTTCGATCTTCAATTCTCCACATCTTTGCTGAGCATATGCATCCACACCATTAGCCATACATGTACAGATCACACATTAACAGTACATGGTACTATAGCATACAGAACGATTGCTCTTTACACACAGCATGCTTTAATCCAACACAAAACATCAAGCACAATCTCATTTAATCATCAATGATAAACAATCTGCAACAGTGTATACACACATGGCATCCATATTTCTGCCATGTTCTCTCCACTTTCTGCACATTCACAAACAATCTTCTGCACATTCTGCTTCATCTCCTCAGTACTTGCATTCTTCTTCATCTCCATGTTTATCCCGTTCAATCCTCTCAACACCTTCGCTCCAAAAGTATTCCTAGGCACGCTCTTATACAATGCAAACTTCTTGGATATATCCTTCAGCTTGCTTTTGATTATCAAATTCGCTTTCTCAGATGCTTTCTCCGTCAATCCTGCTATCAAAGACTCAAACTCAGTAAGAATCTTCTCAGAATCCAGATCTGCTTCCTTTGCTGCATCATTCACATTTTGCTGACCCATCTGAGGCGATGGCGACCTCAAAACAGAGCCACCCATTCCTTTCATGCTTGTTTCTCCAGGTTTCAAAAAACTCTCCCGATTACTCATCATCGGGCTTGAGATCATTCCAGGCTTAGGTATCCCCATCTTTGGCGGTGTTCCCTTCCCAATAATCGGGCTTCTTACTCCTTGGGACATCGATCCATACACAGGCATCGATGGTGACTTATTTAAATGCTCAGACGATGAATTCATAATCGATGCATACAGCTTTGACATTATCTCCTCAGATGTATTTGCGTATCCTGACGACCCTGAAGTGCCATATCCAGGTCTTGGAATGCTTGTCCGAGACTGTGGCATCTGCAGAGTAGGCGACTTACCCACTTTTCCTAAACTTGGCGTTGAAGATACCGGTGGCCTCTGTGGAATGCTTCCAATCGCAGGCATCGGTGGCATGATTTTATTCACCTTACTTGTAGATACTTCTGTATTCACAGACCCTCTTTTTGCATCATGCTGCGCATGAAAATCCTTTTCTCCAAGCTTCAGAGGCATTCCATACATTCCCGTATTAGCATGCTTTGGAGAAGCAATCCCTTTCAATGGCTCTTCTATCTTCTGTTGCTCCTGTTTAGGAATGGCAGGCTTGTGCATCTCTTTCACATCATAAATATCCTCGCTCTCAGGTACATTTCTGTCAACAACACCGTGGCTCTTCAAATTCCCAAGGTACGTGTTTATCCCCACATCCTCATACTTAATAGCAGGCGGCTTTTCTCCATGCGCCATTCCATACCAGAAATATTCATTAATTATCTGATCCTTGTATGCTCCTCCCATCAGCTCTAAATCACAGACCAATCCCTTATACTCCTGGAAAAATTCTCGCACTTCATACACACTTGTTGGCTTCTTGTACATGGACGACTTCAGCTCAAAATACTTCTCAAGATCATTCGTAATTGCATACACACATAGCTTTTGCCTATCCTCTAGCTTCTCTGCCATCTTCAGTGCATTCTTAACAAACTCCTCATCACTCAGCAGCGAAAAGCTGATCGTTGCGAGAAAAACCATCCATTGGTCCGCAGATATCTTCTCCAAAAGCTTCGAAAACACAGAACTTATCTGTGTAACAGAAAGCAAAATCAGCATATCATCAAAGCCATCCAGGCACTCAGGAAACTCGTCCTTATCCTTTGCTAATGCAAGCAAAAGCGATAACGAAACTTTCTTTTTGCTTTTTATTGCATTTTCATACGCCTCCTCCATGTCCCCTCTAATAAGAGACAGCGTCAGCGGATCGCAAAGATCAAGTTTTGCATCAAGCTTCAGCCCTTCAATACCCTTATTCAAATCCTCCTCGTCTTCAGAGCATTCTTTATTCGTTCTCATGCACTCCTCCAGTAGAAGCTCACCCAGCTCTTCTCTGTTTAGTTCATATTTGCCATCCTTGTATAACAACTCCTTGACTTTCATATGAAGCTCATCCTCCTCCACTTCTTCCAGGCACTCGTCTTCAATCACATACTTTTCTTTTGCAATCACTTTGTCTCCAATAATACACGAAGAATACCGTGAAATCACATTCATGCTTACCCTAGGAACTATCTCAGTGGTTCCAGATGCATACGAAAACGCCATCAGCGGATCTTTCCTCGAAAAGCTCATCTCAATCACCCCATCAACATCAATCGTATCAACCACCCTGTTCTCAGACATCTCAATTATGCTTATCTTCTCCTTTGACGCCGCTGCAATGTGCAACTCGTCAATAGTAGACAGCCCAATCATTCCGTTCTCGTGCTCTCCTATCTCAGACATGCTGTCCGAACTCAGGTTGAAGCACTGCAGTGCTTTCTTGTCCGTAGCAGCAATCACAGATGTAGATCCACTGGGATGCCACATAACATCATTCACCATGCTTATTCCCTCCCCCCCAAGTGTCATCGCCACATTCTTCGCCCTTATGTCCAAAATAAGTATCTTTCCATCGTCTGTCCCAGCACACAGAATCCTCGACACCTTCTTGTTCCATGCAAGACACGTAATGTTGGACGAAATCGATATGTCGCTTGTGTACTGGCTATCAAGCTTGTTCAGATTCCAAAATATGATCTTCCCATTCGACGACCCCGCTGCAAGCACCTCCTTCGACAGATTGAAGTCAAGCCCAAGAACACTTCCTTCCAAAACATTGCAGCTCGAAAGCATCTCAAAAGAGGCTTCCTTCTCAGGAACAGCCGCATACAACGTCACCTTTCCTTCCTCATTCCCTGTTGCCAAAACACTGTGCCCTTTACCCTCACACCACTTCAGTCTATAAAACTTGTTATCTGTTTGTAGCGATGGATACTGTACGCCAAGGCTGTAGTCATATAGAAACAGCTCAGATGTCAACGAAAACGATGTATCAAACAGCTTGCTCTTCGTTCCCATCGCCATGAATGGGCTTTCATCAGAAAACGCAGTCAGGCATCTTTTGTTGAATTTCATTTAAGGGGTCTCCAAAACACACAATCTTAAATCAATTCATTCTATCTATTTAATATCACATTCACAGCATATCCCAGCAATAAATAACAGCAGTATACAAACCACAAACACCAGCATGCAAATAATCGTAGCATACATCTGTGGCCTCATCTATTCTGCTCTGCAGCACACATTCACTAAAATTCATCTGCTTTGCTGCTTATACATACTGCAGTAAAAAAGCTTGCTTTAATTTCATCTCCCACAAGCACAATTTTCATAGACGAGCTCTGTGGCCCATATTCCATCTTCATTGCACAGAATAGGTCAGATATTTCAAAAATATTCCTGAGGTTCCTTCCTATTCCTTTCGCCTTCCACTCATCTGCACAATCCAGCCTAAATCTAACCCTTGACTTGTTGCCGCTTACTTCTCCCATTCCATTTGATATTCTTACTTCAACCTTTTCATTCTGAATTTCCTTGCACATGGTCTTCATCATGCCTGGATCAAGATCTGTTGCATACATTCTTGGCTCAGATCCAATCTCAAATGGCTGTGCACATGCATGAAAAACACTCCTTCTAAACACATACCCTTCGAACACATACTCAAACACCATCACATATTCATTCGTAGTTATTCTCAGATGCTTCATCTTCTTCATGTAGAATCTTTGTCTTGGAATCGATACATGCTTATTCTTCAAAGCTAAGTCTTCAAACATGCAGTTTGCAAGAGTAAACTCAAGAATTGCCGTCTTGTCGGTAGAAACCACCTGGATACAAACCGCATGCATTGTGTCAATCGAAATCGTGGGTGTTTTGATCACTTGTATCATCCTGTCGATGATTATTGAATTGTGTGCAGTGATTGTGCAGTCCATTATGCCTGTTCGGGGCATTTAGTGGCTCTACATTGTCGTTGCATGCCGATCTACGCATACTTGCAATACATTAATAGCCATATGCATGCATTGTATCAGCTCGGTTAAATGTGCAGTATTGCGCATGCAGAATGCCATGGCCAATGCTATACAAAATTTGCTCCCTCAGAATGAATGAGAAGGAAATCAATCCAATAGGCTTTGTGAACGAGCGAGCAAAGGAAATACAGGCAATAGAGGCTGCCATTGATGCAAGCAGGAGAAAGTCCATGATGTTCCAGAGACTTCCGTTTTATCTGAGAAGGCGTACAAGAAGCCATGAAAAGAGATCACGAAGAAGAAAAAACGTAAGAAGGAAAGATAGACACGGGCTAAGAACACATACCTGGTATGCAAAGAGATTTGAAATGGTAAAGGCATGGGGTACATCAATCCCATTCAGAAGGCGGCTTAAGAGCAGCAAATTCATATACAAATCACAGAGCAGAGGATATGTTTTTGACGAATCGTACAAAAAGGCTGTTGTTTATGAAAGACAAAGCACACTATCATTTGCATCTGTACTGGGAATCAATCTCGAGATGGAGGATGTTATCCAGACGATTGTCTTCGGCAATGCTATGCTTGAAGTGATTGTGAGCGAGAAGTATGTTGTTGTTATTTCTGCCGAGGAGGAAAGCCTGAAGGTTTGTACTGAAGGGATGGCTGAGCACAGTAGAATTGAGTGCTGTTTGTCGATCATAAAGGCTGATGAGATGTTTTTGGACATTGCCATTGAGGAATCAAGCAGGTTTGCAAAAATATATTGCAATAAGAGATGCCTGCGAGTTGAGGATGCGGTAGATGGAGAAGTAGATAGAATTTTATACATCAGAAGCATGTCAGAGCACGAGTCTGGAAAGATTCTTGTTAAGAGGGGTCAGGTAATGGGTCTTTGGCAAGATATGATAAATGCAGGGATGGTGCCTATATGTGTCGAGGAGCTACAAAGGCTTGCATTTGAAAATGAATACATGGTGTATCCTTTTGATTATCCCAACAGCAGTCTCTATAAAGAGCTTGAGCGCTCGTGTGTGGATCCTGTCCGAGAAAAGTACGAGCGAACACCGATTTCGAAGAAGATGCATATTGATACTGGCCTGATGTATCTTGCAGCTGATGGCATTGTATCGTTTGTGGTATTTGAGCTGGAAAAGGGCCATGCCGATAGATGTGCACTCATTTATGACGAGAGTGATAGGCTGATAGGAAGAGTGGTAAGGGGAGGGTTCTGGTTCACTAGAGGATTATGCGGAGGCCTGGCATATGTTACAAATGATGTGCAAAGTGGAGCAGAGTTTTATCTGAGAAACATTGATTCAAAGCATTTTTATCAGATCCGAGTTACAAAGGTTTTTGATTGCAAGAAGGAAACGGAATTTAGCCAAGCAGTGTTTGGTGGTATGTGTATGACAAATGCATGTACCTAATATTTGAATGATTGCTGTTATGTGGGATGATTCTGAACCCATATATGCATGGATATGAGCTTTGTGGTAAGGTGTTTGCTTATGATACAAACCATGATCTTAAGGCGTACTCAAATTTGGTAGACAGCGTGGTGAGTATAGTGTATATTGGAGGATTGGGATCACATATGGCAGTAGATGCATTTACAGTATCTCTTGAGAAGTATTGCTCAAGAAACGGCTATAGATTTGTCATTCCACAGCTAAGATCACATCCGCATTTTGGATTGTTTACGATTGATGATGATGCGGAAGACTTAAATGGATTGCTAATGAGTCTTGAAGGTGATGTAGTTCTTGTGGGGAATTCAACAGGATGCCAGGACATTATTCATTATTTGAAAGTATTTGGGAATTCAAATGTGAAGCTGGCTGTTTTGCAAGGAGCAGTCAGTGATGTAGAGTACGAGGAGCATGTGATGAACGATCTTGGCAAGTACTTGCATCAGGCACGTGGTATGAGTAAGGATGCAGTCATGAACTACCGGGGAATGTACATCAAAGCACAGAGGTTTATGGATTTATTTTGCAGGTACGGGAAGGAGGATATGTTTTCAAGCTACTTATCAGATGAGTTTTTTATGGATTTGAATACTATGAACACCAGGATTTTATTTGTTGTTTCTGGTAAAGATGAGTACAGTGTGTCAGACATAATGCCAAAGTTGAAGCTTGTAAGCAATTCTTCCACAGTGTGTATACCGGAAGGCACGCATCTTCTTTGTACGGGCAACGACATATCATTATTCCTTGGATATCTTGACAAAGAAATAATTAGAGTTTTGAATGTAGAATCAGTTTAGCAATGTCTCATCTACGAAGATTTGCTTTTACATTCATTTTGGTATACAAGCACATTTCGTGAGTATTAAATCGTTTACATTGTCTATTAAGGTGTCCACCATCCGGTCGGCCATGTAGAGTTCTGAATGATACTCTAATGAGCACAACTGAAGCCTTGCTTCTCTGAGAATGTGTGCAGCGGCATACCGATTGATTCCTATTGAATCCATTGGCGTATCTAGCATCATTAGGGCAATCAGGCATAAATTTCTGTGTATATCTGGCCTTGTGTAGTCATTGAATATCTCAATAAGCTTGGTGGTGATCTTGCCTGCCCAAGACGTCTCAAAATTGAAGATGACAAATACCAGCAAGTCCAATGCACTGCACATATCCATTCTATCAAGCATTTCTATTTCGCTTATGATTTTTGATGTAACTGATTCCAAGGATGCCTGCTTGCCATGAAAGCATCTTAGTGTGCATATTCTGTATGAATCATACTCTGGAAGGTCAAAGCTGTCGTGCATCAAAAGATAGTCTGCTAGCAAATATGCCTCGTTTCGTTCAGTGGATGCTTTTTGATTGCATGCGTTTGCAACATTTTCTGCAGAAATCAACGCTAGTGCCTCCTGTGTGTACTGAGCATTATCTTTTATGATAAGGTATATAAGACGCCACTCATTTGAGCTGACTAGCGACTGCATTTCGATTCGCTTGTGCACTGTGCACTGGATCTTTGAGAAGTCTGGATTCTTCAGGTCTATAAGCGAAGCCAGAACCTGGCCTGTTTCATTTTGATGTGCAGCTCTGTACTTCAATACGACATCCCAATTCAACTCATTGAAGTAGTTTTGATTGAATGTGCAGTCTTTTAGCAGAAGAACCAGCAGTGCCATCATTTCCTTAGAAAACCCGTTTCTAAGCATTCCTAGTGTGTTTTCGAATACCTCTGCAAACGTGAGCTCCTTTTTGAAGTTGACATCGTATTTGATCATTCTGGATATCAGCTCTGTTTTCCCTTTCCTTACCATACGAACACAATAGTAGGCTGCATTCGATATCTTTGACATACATTTTGGAAATGCTTCAGATACGCTTAATTCGCACAGCAGGTCGTATACGCTTTCTTCTTCTTTGTTTTCCTGAATACAGGTGCATATTGCATTCAAGCTCGAATGATTATTTACAATGATGTCGATGAATTCCATCCTGTTTACACAGTCAAGAGTGTTCTTTATTACCTCAATATGCATGGAAACATCTTCCATCTCTTCCATTGAGTTTATTACGCTTTGCAGTGCACAAACACCCACCTCGACAGGATGTATCTTCGATGCCTTCAATATCTCGTTCAATGCATCGACTCTGTCCTCATAGTATATGGAGTCGCTCAATCGGTTCGACAGGATGTCCAGCTCTTCCTCTGTGCACATACTGACTGGCTCGGCATGTCTTTTGAAAAACATTCCAGGTGGGCATGCATTGCAAATTGATTAATGCCGTGCTCTTCACTCATTGTTCTGTCATACTCTCATCAAAACACATAAACACAAAGAACATGCTTTAGCCATGCCCATGCACTGATGCGAATCAAACAACAACCATTTATTAACGCATATTACACAATCAAGGTCTCACTCATGCCTCGTGCTTCGATGGCCAGAGAATCTGCATAAACCCCACCTGTTTATGCCGCCTCAGATTCTTAGAAAAGTCAATAATCATGTTTCTATCAATCGACGGGCTGCTTTCGTAGAAATCGGTGAAGTCTGCCTGATCCATGTATCCCTTGCTTCCTTTGTCGTAGCTATCCATCAGGCTCTTGACATCCTCCTCTCGGCCACACTGCCCCATTATGTTTTCTAATCTAATAAATACATTTGTGCAGAGCTTTCCGTCTCCGTTCAGATCGAGTATATCAAACAAATACTTCACCCTGCTCTTCACATCACTCTTTTCAGAGAATATCCCCAGGAATGCAAGGAAGTGTGGAAACGTCATCCTGTCATAGTCAACCATCTTTTCGATGCTTCGCATGATTAGCTGGCTGAACGGATTCGATTGGAACTCCGGAATGTTGTTCAACTCGTTGTATGTCAGATACCCATGTGTCTCCTTGTCCAAAAACTGAAACCTTTCGTACAGATTTTCAATTTCTCTGTAGTCAAACACAGTGCTATTCTTAAGCTCCTCTATTTCCTCCTCGCACAGCATTGTGCTACTCAGTGATCCCATTGGGGTGTGCCATGATTCTTATTAAGAATGTTTCATGATGCTTCATAAACATGACTGTGTTTACGAGTATGATCAAGAAGATATATGGATTCAGTTCAAGTGGCGAGACAAGGCTTAAAAGAACGTATCAAAAATCGCTTGATGATGCAGGTATCAGAGAAATTGTTCTAGGCCATGCAGAAAAAAACATCGTGGATGGCGATCAGATGGTTGTTTTCAATAGATTTGGCGACATATTCATTGCCTTTGTCGTTGAAAATGAAAACGGAATGTACATACTGTCTTTGATAAACAACCTCATGTCGATATACGACAGATTTTTCAGTAAAGTCTGTGAGCTTCACTTCATTTACAACTTCAAGGAGACTCATCTCATTCTCGATAACTACATCGTGAATGGAAAGTGCATTTCTAGCGACGCACTTGAAGTAATGAAGCAGGTAGACTGCCTGAGGTAGAATACCCAATGAACACTGAAGCAAAAATAAACCAACTCAAAATTTAATCCATTCGGTACTGCACTATATATTGTCCTTCTTATAATCCATTTGTATTCTCATCATTGCGGTTTTCGTTTTCAGACATCTCGATGTTTAGTTTTTTTATTTTCTTGAGAAACATGTCGATGTTTCCCTTGCATTCCTTAAGCACCACTCTTGCAGATGTTCCCATTCTATTTCTGGTTTCAGGTGAGTCGTAGTGTCTTTTATTGGCAGTGTTTTGTCTGTCAGACATAGAGGGTCTGCGGCGCTGTTGTTTATATCTAAGGTACTAATCCATAGTAATGTGTTGCATCATGTATATCATGTACATAATGTTGTGAATGGAGTATTATGCGAGTATTTTGCTGTGTTATGGTGGTGGTGCAACTGCACATATGCAGCACTTGTTGTGTTATGTGTTTGCGTATCTATCATATGCAGTGTGTGCCAGCCCATCATGTATGCATTTACTCTTTTGTATCCAAATATCAATAATTTGGATGAAGTAAAGGAAATTGCATTGAAGGCATGCTTAGACAGCGATTTTGATGATGAAAGCCAGATAAATGCTCTAAATAGCGGTTGTGGTGTGCATTCGATGTATTCCTGCATTAAGAAAAATTACATGAAAGTCATGCTGCAATTGGAAGGCAAAAAATTACACGACTTTCTAAGATTGAGGAGGCGATTTGCCAAGAAAAATCACGCTATTTCTGAGTTTTGCAGGTTTAAGCTTGTGGCTACTCTCGATAGTAGTGGCCCAACTTACGAGCTTGTAGATGGAATGCACAGAGAAACGATTGAGACAAAGCATAGCAGATGTCCTTTTTGCAACATGAGTGTGCCAGTCAATGCCATGACTATGCACCTGAAAGAAGCAAAGTGTGGGCAAGAAAGCTCGGCCACCGAAGGAAAAGTGACTGTTTTGTTTGATAAAGGGGTCAAAACGGAATATGAACAGCTTGTGTTTGATGCCATGAGTGTTAGAATGCTGAAAAGAATGGTTTATGACAGAACAGGGGTGTCTGTTAGCAAACAGACTATGTATAGGGGAGACACAGCATTGAAGAATGATGAGATTGTTACTAACGAGACGATTGTCTTAAGGCAAAAGAGGCGTGAGCAGAGATAATGAATATGAATTTGATGTGTGGAGGCCCCTGCAATGGAGTTTCAAGCACTCGATGTTCTGAAGAACTCCAGGAATGGATATGTAAAGGTGATGACGTTGAACAACAAGATGTACCGTGGGATACTTGAGAGTTTTGATATGCATGTCAATACTTATTTGAAGGAGGGATACATCAAAACGGAGGGATCTGAAGAAATGTATGTAGGAGATGTGCTGATCAATGGAGTCACAATAGCGTTTTTTGACATTGTGCAAGACAAGATGAAGTAAATGATGTTATTGGTATTTATTTGGGTTTATGCATTAGTTGAATGGGGGTTGTTGAGCTTTCATCACAACTGTATGATGCACTTGTGTTTATCAGTAAGTTTGCGTCAAAAGTAACAATATCTGGAGCTGGAGTGTGTTCGGAACATATTTTAATTGAAATACCGGTGCTGTGCGATTGTGAGTTTACTATGTGCATCAAGGATTTGATGAAGATGCTTGAAAGCACCAGAGAGTTTGTTTTTGAGGAAAGGGGGCTGAAATACAGATATGAAGTTGGTGTTGGCGATGGTAAGATGGAGATTGAAAAAAGTGTGCAGATTTTTGATGGCATGTATCGAATAAGAGGTGGTGTTTTGTTGCTAAGCTTGGTAATAAACGATTTCAAAGTGTTGAGCAGAGATGATATTGAGATTACTGCAGACAAGGAAGGAAATGCTGTGTTTAGATCGTCTGGGATGGTGAGAACGGAAGTGAGGTATGCTGGGGTGAAGGTTATAGATCACAAGGTTGATTCTGTAAGGGTATTGGCAAGATCGAAGGACTTACGTGTTGTTGAAGCATTGCATGGAGAGGCTGTTTTTTCATTTCTTGACACGCATATCCTTGTCTATTCGTTTGAAAGTGGGCATACTGTGGTTGTTGTGGTACGCCTGCTTGCCGATAGCACCGAACTCTAATGAAGCGAGATTGTGTAGCTGTGCTGGGAATATTAAGCTGAATGTACCTGAGGCATTTATCTATTGTATGTGATATTGATTTGTTTTGTTTTTTTGATCCCCTATGCATGACATTGAGTATTTGCTGAGGTATCTGCTGGATAGCGCGACACTGAAGGTTGAGAAGCTTGAGGATATTGCTGATGCTCAGCAGGTAGCTGCATTTAACAAGAAGTTTGGAGATACGCGACGAATTCGTGGGTTTTGTGCGGAGATAGGGCCTACGACGTATTTTCCGGTTTTCAATGTTCCTCTTAAGGCAGACTCGATTATTCACAATGTGAAGTTCTGCGAGGTTGCGGTTGGAGAGGCGATATATGTATCTAAGGAGTATGTAAAGCAGATGAATCCTCCAGGGCACTACGACTCGTTTGTTACGAGCGAGCATGGATACCAGGTTGGGTTTCTTCCTGACTCGCAGATGAATATGAGAGAGTACTTGTATGCAGTCAAGGACACAAGCAAGGTTCTGCCGCTTTTTGATGTGACGTTTGAGTATGACATGGAGTTAGAGATGAGAAGCAAGGGGTGTTTTGTTTGCGACAGATGTCGGACGAACCAGTCTGTTTCGTTTTGCCCGGCGGAGCGAGCGAGTTTCTGTGAGGTGTGCGACTCTGAGGTACACAGCGACTATTTTCTGAAGAGGCATGTAAGGTACTACTTCAACGAGGTGGGGAAGAAGAAGTTTATTTACTGTGCAAGCCATCCCGAGACGATGGTTGACTACTTCTGTGAGGAGTGTCTGATTCCTGTGTGCACGAAGTGCAAGATAAACGGAAATCACTCTGAGCTTCCAAACGGATCGCACAGCTTATTGAATTATGTTGAGGCGTGCGATAGCCTACAAAGGATGCTTACGACGGGAAATTTACAGCTGATTGATGAGGAGAGAGTTTTGAAGGACTGTGTGGTTGAATTCAGAAAGAACGTAAGGATGTTCCAGAGCAATATCAACGATGTAAGGAGCAAGATCGAAAGCGAGTACAAGAATGCATTGAATGAGCTTCATGCGTTTGAGAAGAAAGAATTCCAGGTTATCAATACGCATTACATTTCATATCTCGGGAGATTAGCGGAGCTCGAAAGGATGAAGGAGTATCCGACGAATCTTGAACCGTCGCAACTGCTTAAGGCATTCAAAAGCGTTGTGATGCAAAGAGAGGCTGTGCCGCAAGAAACTGAGAATGTAGTTTTCAAACCCGCAGAAATTTCGCTAAAAGGGCATCTTACTCTGAAGGATGAAGAGACATACATTACAAGGAAGGGATATTCGTCTAGAATGGACAAAAGTACGCAGTTGTATGTTGAAACCCGAGGAATCAATGTGAATGGCCAAGGCAAAAATAAATGAGTTCTATAGTTTTTGATGTTATTTTTTGGGCAAATTTATTTCTCCTTTTGCATGAGCCTTTTGAGGTTTTGAGAATACAATAATCCTTGATAGAAGCAACAATTAAACTAAAGCAAGGATTATGCATAAGGGAATGCAATGTGATTGACAGCTGCTTCTCCTATAGTAATCAAAATAGTTTGATTCATGAAAGGCCATGGAGGAGCAGATTGCTTTGAAGTTTGAGGATGTGTTTCTGAAGGTGCCTTGCAGAAGCTTGGATGCAAATAAAGAGTATATAGAGCTAGTCTCTGGCATATCTGGCCAGATTTGTTCAGGAAAACTTACTGCAATTATGGGTGGAAGCGGAAGTGGCAAGACAACCTTTATGAAGCTATTGCTTGGAAAGGTAAGCAGCAATGCATTGACCTCGGGAATTATATCGCTTAATGGCAAGCAAAGGTCTGCTTATGAGTGGTTAAAGAGTGTTTCATACATGGAGCAGTTTGATACGTTTTCTGCATATCTGAGTGTTGAAGAATCCATAAGATATTCTTTTATTTTCCGAGGGAAAGCGAAGCCAAAAGACTTTAGCATATCTAAAGCCGTAGACGAGATAATAAGCGAAATGGGATTGAGGAAAATAAGAAAATCTTTGGTGATGACAATTTCTGGTGGCGAACGCAGAAGACTTATGCTTGCCATGGATCTTGCTGCAGAGCCCGACATAATTTTTCTTGATGAACCAACGAGTGGACTTGACTCACAGCTAGCATTAGAAATCGTCCAGATCCTAAAAAAGTATGCCGAGTCAAAGAACAAAATCATCTTGATGACTGTGCACCAACCAGGTAACATGATGCTTGGCATGTTTGATGATATAATATTTTTGAATAAGGGGAAGATGATGTATATGGGGCCTACATCAGGCTTGCAGGGGTTTCTTGAGCTGAATCAAATACATAAGCCAGATGATCTATCTATTGCAGAATGCCTTTTCGCGATCGAAACAGACTCGTTCGTATCTGAGCAGTATGGCATGGAGTTACACACTTCCAATCGCAAAGAAATGGAAAAATCAAACGAATATTGCATAGTCACTCTGTTTTCATGGAAACATGTATGGCATTTACTTAATAGACAAGTAAAGATAGACTATAGAAACGGAATGATATCGAACATATTGCTGTTTAAGTTGACTATCCTAACATTCTTGTTTTTATTTCTGTGTTGTAAGGTGAAGTATTCTGTTTTCATGTTCATTAGCAAGATGTTTCCAGTATACTCTGAAAATAGCAAAGGATACATAGATGACCTCAAGATATTCCTTCGAAAGTTATATCCAAGGCTGGATGTAATGTATGCAGACGTTACGGATTTTCTTTCATATAACCTGATTCCATTCATAACATCATTCTCCATATTCAACGACTCCTCGTTCCTGGATAACGAGGCACTCTTGAAAAAGGAGATGTTTCGATGTGATTACAGCCAATTTTCCTTGCTTGTGTCCATACTAATATATGAGTGTGGATTTTCGTTGTTGAGATCGTTGTTTTTTTGCATGCTTATTGGATTCACACAATTCAGAGACATACTGACGTCGCGAACTGTCCTGATGCTTACTACAATGCCTCTTTCAATGGTGATTTTCATGATTGCGGCCAAATCATTTTCGTGCAAGACATATCCGCTCAACATTACCAGAGTTGCAGCATTTGTGCTCACAACGTTTTTGAGGCCGTACTCGCTGAGCATAGAGCTTGAAGAGCTGTATGAAAAGTATGTGTTTATGAAGTACTTGTATCCTCTTTCATATTCTCTGTTTTTGTGCCCGTTTCTTTTCATAGACACGCTTTTCTATGCTACTCTTGGCGAGACAAAAAGCATATCGCCAGGATTCAGAATACTACTGAGCCACTTCAACAACATAGTGCTGTGTTCAGGAGGATCTGCCAAGAGTGCTATGAACAGAAGCATAACATTTCTGAACAGAAGCTATCTTTCAAACAGCTCATTGGCGGTGCTGATTGTATTTTCATTATTATTGACTCTCGTGCTTTCGATGGCGTTCCTTATGTTTAAATTCAGTCCAAGAGTCAGGCTGATACTGAGCAACACGAGCCTGGCAATGGATCTCAAGGAGGTTACCACCAGCTAATAAATAATTTCAAGATTTAGATTTATATGTGACTTTAGCGATACGCATGGGGAGGGTGTTCAAGAAGTTCCGTCTACAGAAGGCAAAGGAGCGAAGAATCGGGCGAGAAAGGCCAAGGATAGGCAAGCTACGGGAAATAGCAAGCCATAGAAAGGAGCACGACAGCGTTGAGAAGATTTTTTATTGCCTCAGTGTTTCTGGCCGAAGAAGAATGGCATACCGAAGAATACTGGACTTGGATGAGCTCGAACTGCAGAAGAACATATTTCTTGTGTCTGAGAAGATACTGGGCACAGTTGTAAGCTTTGATCCCATAGACAAGCTGTTCTATCCTGTAATGAAACGAATACTCGGGTTGAAAAACAGCTCTGCAATACACGGCATGCTGATTGACTATTTTACTGCATCGATTCTTTGCAGTGTGAAGTATCAAGAGTTTGGCATGTTTTTACTTAGACATGCTCCTCAGCTGCTGTTCAGCAACAAGGACAGAATTGCTGGCATTCTTCCGAATGGAGAGCTCAGGGCAGGGATTGAAGGTCTGAAGAGCAGGCACAGGTGCCCTGTAGTCAAATTCGACCAAAAATACACACTGCTGAAGGCAAATGTGCTGCTGGATTGATTAAATAGCTTGAGCTGGATCTGGCCTAGCAGTGTTATGCTTCCTGGCGAAGAATTAAGTTGTCTGAGCGGTCAGGAAATAAAACGCAGAGTTGAAGTATGCTTCATAGAGGATGTCAAATACCTCAAGATCCTCGTCCATGCTTTCAAAAAATGCAAAAACAGGCCACCTTACATCATTCTTCCACTCAACTGCGGTTGTCTCAACTCTTTTTTGATTCAGGCAAATCATCTTTGTAAGCGTGGCATTGCCTACGAAGTTATTTTCATGCAGCTCAGCATGAACCCTGTACATGTATCCATCGAGGTAGTCAACTTCTAGCAATTTTATCCATTTGGCATCTATGTTGCCATCCTCGTCAACAGGAAGCAATGCCTTTGCAATTTCATAGTTCAAAAGCACCTGCTCCCAGTATGTGTTCGAGAAGTCAGGCAATCTGTGCACAAACTCTCTACATTTTGCAAAAAGCGGCTTGACTATTTTGTGCCACCTTAGCTTGCATTCGAAGTCTTCCCGTGCAAACTTTTCATATTCATTGTCTATTTCCGATTGTATGTCGTCTAGACATTGAAGTATTTCGTTATTTTGCATTCCAGGGATATGGGGACTGTTTTAAGATACAGTGCACTTAATGGCTGTGCCTTGGCGTATTAATTATCAATCCTTTGGGTGCTGGATCCTTCAATCTGTCTCTTACTAGCATGCAACAGCTGTTACTTAATGGCTATTGGCCTATAATCATAAATATCCATTACCATTAATCCTTTATTACCTAGCTTACGACTTGAGTTATATCTACTTTGTGATCCTCCACTTCAGCACTTCAAGACCTTTACCTCAATAGTTATTAAGAATATCATTAGACTATAGCATACATAAATCCATTCTTTCTTTCGGCTATGATCTCCCTGGCCAACTCTAGCATCCATTTGCTATAATCCTCATTGATGGTTTCTTCTATCGGCTTTATGATTTGGATCATTTTTACCGCAATTTCTTGCATATACACCAATACTGGTATTAGGCCACAGCATTCTTCATTACAAGTTCTAAAAACTCAGAAGGCATGCCTACTGATTTCTAGTATTTTTCTTGGCAAAAGTCTACTGTTTTATCTATTGCATTTATCAAGCCTATCTCTATCTTGGTGATGCTGCATTTCCATTACACTTTATGCTGTTCAATCACTGGAAAGGCAGGCCATACACCATGTCATACATCAGAGCTATACCAGCCAGAGCGCACAACACATAAAAAGTTTTCCATCCTATCCCCCTGGCCCTCTCCCATGCTATTTCGTTCACCATCTCCGCCTTCTTCCTCTCAATGCTTTCCTTTATTGCCCGTATATTCATCTCCACCTTGCTCTGCTCCGTTCTTATAGCATATATATCCTTCAGCTTGTGATCTGGCACATAACGCTTCTCTGCACGTGCAATCCGCTCATTATTCCGCTTTAAGGCACTATCGTGCTTAGTGACATTATTCCTAAGATCTCTTTCCTTCTCCACAATCAGTCTTTTCATATCTCGCATTTCTTGATTGCATTCTCCTTCTTTGCGTTTCAGATCGGACAAGCCTCTTATGTACGAGCTATTTCTACAGTTCCTCTCAAAACTTGCCATGCGCTCATTTGACACTCTCCTGTGCCTTGCTTCCAATTGCTCAATATCATTCTTATTATTCCACGCTCGCTTGCACACAGACTTGTACTCTTCGCTCAGTTTCTTTATGTCTTCATTGATGTGCTCCACTTCTGTAGCATGCACATCTTCCATCTCAAACACCTCTTCTCGCAGCTTGCATATCTTCCGAGGCAGCATCCTCAGCTCTTCTTTGCGCAATTTCTCCTTTTCCGCAGCTATATCGCCAAGATCTTACTCATACTGCCTTATCTCTCCCGCCAGCACATCCTTTCTTCCACGCTTGCTTTCTGTAGCCATCGGATTCTTTCACATCCATGCAATACCCAATATCAAATATCTACCAATACAACCAATGTAGCATCATCATATGCCGTGCCGCCTTGGAATCTTGCTCATCATAGGCATCTCAGCCAGGCATCGATCGCATTCATTTCAACACTTGCTGCATATTCATAGCACTCACATGCATATCTTCAAGTCTCGTAGCACACACTCAGATTACTTGCCATTCCAATCAACTTCTTAAGCTGATCATTCTCTATTACTCACATACACATCCTTCTCCTTAATCACATATACTCATTCAAATCATCACACATACACTATTAACATACTCAATTATTCACTATTCGTTTATTCTCATTCCACATTTCATATCCCATCACTAATACTTATCATTATTAATACTGCTTATTACTGCAGCATTTCATTATTCATGCCACTACTCCCATTCATATCCATAATCTGTCTCACCCATCCTGTAATTGCCATTACACATGCCCTCCCCCCAACAATCC